TCACCCACCCAACTACTAACCTCCCGGCGTGTGGCTTAAGTACGGCTGAGCGGACGGGAAGCCCTGTTTTCCACACCCTGTGGTCGTATGTGCTTGGGAGATCCAACTAGTAAATGATGTGACTATCACAGCACGCAAATAGGCAGAAGCGATAGAACATTCAGGCTGCGTGGCGTAAACCCGCAATGTTCCTGCCGCGGGGCAAAGCATGCCAAGATGCCAAGTCTCAATACTCTATCGGATTTATTTCTACAGCCAAGTCTGCAAAATTTTCCCTGCTCAATTTCCCCTGACAGCCAGTGCACAATATCCCTTTCAACTTTGACATGACCGACGACATCGAGCTTGAGCGGCTGCGGGGATCCCTTGTGAGCCCGCCCAGCACTTCGGCATGGAGCCAGCAGCTTCACCGGCGCATCCGGCGGGCGCACAACTATCACACGGAACAGAACCTGCACATCAACCGATTAATCCAGGTGGCTGAAGACCCAACGGCCGCGCGGCTGCTGGACGATGAGCCGGATACGTCGTCTCTGCACGTCAAGGCCGCCATCAACACCTCCATCTACGGCACCATCCTCGTCGCCGCGCTGCAGATCTACGCCGCCGCGACGACCCGGTCCCTGTCTCTCTTCGTGACCATGGCCGAGAGCTGCTGCGAGGCCGTCAGCAACATCGGCCTCGACTACCTGCACCGGAAGGCGCGGAAGCTCAACCACTCGACCCAGTGGCCCGCCGGCGCGGGCCGGCTCTGCAACGCCGGCAACATCTGCTTTGCCTTTGCGCTGATGGCCGTCTCGCTCGTCCTGGTCGTCGAGTCGATCCGGTCGCTGGCGGGCAGTGACCGCGAGCTGGGCAAGTTCGACGTGGCAGCGGTTATCGCAGCGGCGTGCGGGTTCGGCATTAAGCTGTTCCTGGCCGTCTACTGCTTCATCTTCCGCAAACACAGCAGCCAGCTGCAGATGCTCTGGGAGGACAACCGCAATGACTGCTTCGAGTATGGGTTCGCCATCTTCACGTCGGCGGCGGGCGCGAAGCTGAAGTGGTGGGTCGACCCGGCCGGGGCCCTGCTCATCGGCCTGGTGATCATCGTCACCTGGGTCGGCACCGTCCGGAGCGAGTTTCTTGAGCTGTGCGGCCTCGGCGCGTCGCCCAACTTGGTGCAGGAGGTCGTGTTTCTGACGCTGCGCCACTCCGATCTGATCTTGCAGGTCGACTCGGTCCACGCGTACCACTGGGGCGAGGAGTTGTTTGTCGAGGTGGACATCGTCATGGCACCGGAGCTCAGTCTGCGCGAGGTCCACGATGTCGCCCAGGAGCTGCAAGATAAGCTGGAGTCGGTCGAGGGGTTCGCTCGGGCCTTTGTTCATGTTGACTACGGTAGGACCTCTGTGTGATCCCTATACTGATTGTGTTACCGCTGATTGATTTTTCCGAATGCCAGAAACTTCGCATATGCCCGAGCATCGCAAAACCCGCTGATGAGGCAGACATTAAAACTGTGAAAAGAGCTCACATCTCTGACGCCGGATTTATGGCACTATATCAGCTCGAATAGGAACAATTGACATTGTATTTTTAGATGACTTGTGTAAGCGGTCTGAAGGATCAAAAACCAGTTTCAACCCATATGAGTCTGTAATGCTGTGTTTGACCAGACTTTTCTCAATGAGACAAACCTAGTATATTGCCTGAATTGATGAGTACTATTGGCTATTCTATCCAGCTGATAGTGATGTAGAAAATATCCATGTTAAGTTTCTTCTGAACATCTTACTATGAAATGTCTATTTGTCTAGAGTTATATACCAGCAATTTGATTATAGGAGCTAATCGACTATTTGAAATCTATCAGAGAATCCCATGCTCCTCCAATTGTCATCCGCCCAATTTTATATTTGGAAGGGCAGGGGATTTATTGGGTGAAATAGGTCGATTCCTGGGTAGAGCAAGCCTAGCTTAATGGAAGTATATTTGAATTAAGGCTCACGTGATACTACAGCTTTGAACAGCTCCTGAGCAGTATACTAATGACTTGCAGCTATTGATGTCAATCGGCATTGGGCTTACATTGAAGACAGCTATACCCAAGTTACTGTACATATGCTGTGATGCTGTGTTTCAATTTGCGCTAGACAACCAGAAGCGGGAAGCCGGGCGAAGAGGGAACGGGCCTCAGGCTGCGGAAGTTCCGGCGTCAGAGCTGAAGCAAAATTCAAATACCTTATTTAACTATGTCTACACTTGCAGAAGGGGTCTAAAACGTAGTCTAGCTGATTCTGCCTGGGGATGGAAATGCATGAACTTCTTGGAAGCTACTATTCTATTGGCGAGCTCGGGTGGTGGTGGGGAAAGTAGGGCACGGTAAGCAGGGGAGCAGGTGATTGGGTTTGGAGAAAATAGAGTGCTAGATGGCCAGATCAATCTTACTTCTCACTGTACTGTCTCGAGTGGACAGGCTTGGCTAGTGCTTACGGAAATCGAGCAAATGGGCTAGTGCTTACACAACTGTATATAAAAGGTTGCGATAGTTACCCTGTATTTCGTACTAAAGGCACACATCTCAGCCCATTCGATTCTCACATATTCTATATAATCCAGAAACACATAACTTTCCAGTTCTATATTAACTCCCTGTTCATATCAAACAATATCTCATAGCTATATACACACGACAGTCAGAGCTTTCCCACCTTCCAAGTTGAATGTGTTAACAGATCAAATCAGCATGAAGACAACCGCTCCCACAATTGCAATGGCAGATCCTACACCCGCACGTAGCGCAGCACCCATGCTATCAGTAGTCGATGACGAAGTCGCATTCGCCGGCGCAACGGCGCTCAGAGAAGGTGTCGGCTGATAAGCCGCCGGAGTCTCGTCGTCAACGGTCCCATTCCAGCAATAACGTTGGAAACACTTCGTGCAAGCCTCCGGAACGGTAGTACCGGTCCGGTTTAATGAGCGACTGAGAACCGCACAGCCCACGCAGGTCGACCAGTCCGCATCCAGCGTGCCATTCGCCTGTGTCGCAACATTGTACCCATTGGTGATGATCGCATCGCGCTGGGTATTGTTAAATTGACCCTCCGTGAGCGAGTAGTTTGAGCTATAGGTAATCGGGTGGTTGGGCAGGTAAACCACCAGGGGTGTCGGCGTGGTCAGTTGAGAGGCGTTGCAGCCGAAGAAAGTCGGACGAGCGTTCAGGCCCAGATTGAGGAATGTATCGAGGTCTGGGATCTCCGGGAAGGAAGTGTCGTTGGCGACATTAAGGAGAGTGCGGTTGTAGGTTGCAATCAGTGATGAGCCGGTCGGCCAGTAGTCGTAGGATGAGGAGCCGAGGGAGTCGACGGCAAAGATCACGTCGACGTTGCGCTTTTGCTGGATCAGTGGGTACAATGGGACATTCTGGCTGGTTTCGCCTCCGTCTTGCACGATCAGATTGGTGGTTTGGGCGTATGGTGAGGTGGCCGTGTTGTATTGGTAGAATGGGTTCGGGTCGTAGGCTGCCGGTCCGTCAATGCTGGAGTTGGTTGAGCTGGCGGCGTTCTCAAAGTCCTGGACAGCGGTCTTCAAGAACGCTGTCATGCTGGAATTTGGCGCAGCGGCTTCGTACTGCTCTAGGATATACTCCAGATAAAAGAGAATATCCTCTCCGTTCTCGTTCCAGATATCGCTTGACGAGCCGGTAATGAAGCCCGCATTGTCGAAGCCCCGGACGCAGGTTTCGTTGTCTGGCACTACACCGTTGACGAATCGAGTACCAAGATATTCCAGGGGCGCGAAGCCGTAGATATCGTCATCATAGGTACCCCATTCCCAAGGCGTGGTTTCGTAGATGGGGTATGTTGCAGGGGAGGTTGACAAGGTCTCGGTGCTTTGCTGGTTGCCAGTCATAACTACCAGAGGCATCGGGATGTCACCACTCTGGAAGGACTCGGTCTCTGCGATTGAGGACCAAGTGTAGTCAACACCCCCATCGCTAGCATTGAAGAAGTTGTATCCCTGGATACGGCCCCTATGAACATGTGTCAATGTCATTCCCTGGCTCAAGGGAGCAAGCAAGCTTACCAGAAATCTGCATCACCAGTCTTGAATCCAGCCTCCCGCTTGCTCTTAACGTCGGCCGAGATGTTACCCCAAAATTCGACATGTGAAATCTTCTCAGGACCATATATGATTTCCTCCGAGTTGAAGTCCCACAAGTTCTCCTGTAGATTAGAGACCGTCGTGAAATTATTGACGTAGATGGATCCGAGAGCCCAAGAGCCACCGCTGAGGGCAGCGAAATAGGTAGCTGATTGTAGCAGGCCACCGAGCTGACCTTTGGCCGTTGATCCCTCGGTGCGTTCATCGAAGGCCTTAATGACTCCTCCTCCATTGAGACACGCAACAAGACCACCACCCGAAATGCCGATCGCGACATTAGGTAAGTCGCTACCAGTGTGGTTCGCAATGTAGCTCACAGCATCAAAGTTTTCAATCTCAACATGCCCAAAGAAGTCTTTCAGGGCGGACTCGGTCTTCTGACGACGAGCCTGGAGCCATGCTGTCTCATTGGAGGACAGTGCGGAAGCAGGCCGAATTGTAGGTCGGCTCGATGGACATGTGACATGAGCCGGGGCATAGCCGCTCGGAGCGTCTGGAAGAGCACGAGGCTTGATATTCACATTCCGTGAAGCAAAGTCTTCTTTGATGGATATGGCTCCAGCATGGGTAACTGTGATTGGTCCTTGTGAGCTTTTGGTATTCATCAAATAGAAACAGGTGACAAATTGAGACCACCACTCCTTCTCAGCGACTCACATTCTATGATGTTGAGGGACATCAAGCCCAAGAATGTAGAAGTCTTCATAGCACCTCACTGAACAGATCAACAAGAAAATAGATACTGCGCCTTGGAAGACAGAAGTTTTCATGTACTGGGACTTCGATCTGGGTATCGGGAAAAGTCGAGCTATTTATCCTCACAGCCCGAGTTGAAGACCAGGTCGATGCTAAGCAGATAATCAAACAGCGTTCCAAGAACAAGGGAAAGTAAATTGCGAGAGTGGAGTCTGAGGCTGAGAGGGCGCAAGTAGCCCCAACATAAGTAGAAGATCGCATCTGCAATTGGCGACCGGGTGCATCTCGATGTGGTATATGACTCGGGATCGTCGGGCTGGGGTGGATCTCCTCAGGGCCCAAAGGGGCGTTAGCGTTGGTGCACTAGACTAGATCAAGGAAGCAGTTCGGCACCATAACTCATCCGATCCACATGGCTGAGCTTACATCGAACAAGCCTCACATTTTCCCTCGCCGTCAAGAACAGACTCAATCCCTGTCACTGGCTTTTACAAAGCAGTATGATCCCGTGAGTCAAGTAAGAGGCTGTAACTGCCACGTCATCAGGTACACGTGTAGTCATACCAGGTTCCTGGCTGGCAACCCCGCCACCATCGGTTAAGGAGACGCATGAAGCATACATAATAAGTGTGGGTGGGACACGGACGCAGATTACGTAGCTGAGCTTCCGTGCGGGGAAGTTACTTGTCTTCTCCACAAAACCCATTTTGATGATATAGCTGTGCACGGTACCCGGGGGTGAAAGGCTGAATGCGACCTCTAACTGAAGCACAAGCCTGCTCACCTGCACCCTATAATTTAATATATTGTAATCCTGACTCATTGCAACCAACCCCTGACAAAACCCATACCTACTAATGAATCTTCCTTGATCATTTTTTTTGGAGTTGTTCCTCCATATCGAAATGTCCGGAACTGTCAATACGACTCGGCATGCCACACATGCGGCGGGTTGGTAACTTAGGGCTAAAACAGGATCCACCAAGCAGGCCCAGGGCCCCGCACATCTCATCAGCTTCGAATGACTACTCTTTAATATAATACCCGAGGCGAAAATAAAAGTCCGATGGCAATTGGCAGTGAGCGCGGAGTAACACTTCAGAACACATCGGACAAGCACAATAACTACTACTAAAAGTGTTCAGGGCAGCGACAAGACGGGCGGAGAACCGTCGGGGCTTTGGATTTATCGGCAGTCGGCAAATCCGCCCGGGTGCGAACCACAAAAGAGATAACGCCATTTCGCTCCCCACACACGCACTGCAACTAGCACAAGAACTGTAGTACCATACAAATACCCTCACTCCCCTCTCACTCCCCTCTATCTCCTCCTATCTACCCCGCAAATCAACTTGAGAATTAAGATGCCAGACCACACCCGTCTCCCAACCTATTTCATCGGCCACGGTACCATCACCTACAACCAAGCCCCTTCACCATCCACTAACCCAAGGGGAGGACAAAAACAGGCGGCGTCTCCATCCTCTTCAAACCCGGTTACGGCCCCGTCCAAGACGAACTCCGCCAAATCGGCCGGGAGATTCACGGCCTCCGTCCCGAAGCCATCGTTGTAGTCAGCGGACACCACCAGAGCGAAAACCCCGGGGTGGTAGAAGTCAACCTCAAGGAACCCACGAAGGTCTGGCACGACCTCGGCCCCAGCTGGAAGAATACTTACCCGCACGTCTTCGAGTACGAGTACCCGCACCAATCATCGCGCGCGCTAGGTGAGCAGGTCTTGCAGCACCTGGAGGATCATGGGATTCGTGCCGAGGGGGTGGAGAGGGATTTGGATCATGGAATGTATGTGTTTACCATTTTGCTAACTTTCGATATGATGTGGATTGTCTTATCGGTTGATCGTGGAAAACTAACCCGATCCTCCGAAAATAGTTGGGTCCCCTTCAAGCTCATGTTCCCCGAAGGCAGTCCCGAGGAATTGATCAACGTGCCCATTCTCCAAGTCTCTTCGTTTGCAGGGGATGATTACGGGGCGCATGTAGAGTTAGGACGGGCATTGGCGAGCCTGTGAGTGTGACATATTTTTCACTTCACTCCCCGCCCCTTGTGGAGTACTCTCAGCAGGAAAGAGAACAGAGAAGAGCCAACCTAACAAGACCGAACAGCCCCGGTCGCATCCTCATCGTCGGTTCCGGGATGCTATGTCACAACCTCAGAGCCACCCGCGAGAGCACCGACCTGACTGTCGTCAAGGGGATTGAGACAGCGGCACTGCAGATTCTAGAGACAACTCCCCAGACGACACAAGGTTTGACAGAGGCATTCCTGCAGTTGCCGAGGCGGCCCGATTGGCCGCTCGCACATCCGACGGTGGAGCATGTCTTGCCGTTGTATGTGACTTTGGGAGCGGCAGAGGAGATTGAGTCTGTAAAAGGGAAGGAGGGACTTGAGGAAGGAGAGGTGGAAACGTGGAATCGCAATCAGTATATTGTCGGTCAGTCGTATTTGTCTTTCCGGCTGGGGCGGGCTTCGACTTAGAGAGATCTTGTCGGAAATGGGACGATCATAGAAGATGCGAGCGATACAGCTGTGAATATGTCTGTAGTAAACGGAGCAAACAACCACATAGTGCAGTGAGCATTGATACGGAGTGATGTATTTAATGAGATATAAAAGCAATGCGGTCTATGGAGTTGTAGGGTTGCCCTGTAAAGTAAAAGGGGCCTGCCTAGCTTGATAGGGATTGGTGCAATCAATCCCGACTGCAAATTAAACCCACTGTGTAGGATTCATAAGTTCTTGGCCGCGCTTTATGTCTTTTTTTTTTGATGGAAAAATAAAAAACCCAGAAAAGAGAAAACCCAGTAAGTTGCTGAATTACAGCAAGGTGTCTTTTTACTCGAAATTGGCACGGGAGCCAAAGCAAGACCGAGCAGCCAGCCACTACAAAGCAGCTGTGGATGAATACCCTGCATCGCATCCAGTAAACGCTTCGGAAAACACGTGGGACTGATGATGAAATGGTATGTACGTATAAGGTATGTATTAAGTATTTTTAGGATGACTGGGTGTGTGTAAACAGACGGGAAGGCTGTGTATTATCGTGTCTCAGTTACCTCTGAAAGCTCTCACATTAAGCCATCCCAGGTATATAGCTCGGAACAACCGTAATTTCCATACAAGTCATACTCTGTTAGGCTGGGGACAAGGGTTAAGGCTGCAAAGTTAATGTCTGTTGAGTTTTCTGTATTTAACTATGGTCACAGATCGCAACTTTTGACAAACCATGTTCATATATGTTCTGGTCAAATGACCTGATTTGGAAGAATATATATACAGCAAGAAGGTCCTTCTTCTTGGAGCCAAATTCGAGCCTTCCTGCTCCATGTATATATGACCCCGGAGCGCAATTCTTCTGTCCACCCACAATATGTCACTTGTGCGCAGATGGTCAAAGACTCACACAACAGAAGCAAGTTATTGCATTCACTTGTACCATTTTCCAACCAGTGAAATTTGAAGATAGGATTGATGGCTCCTTTTATCCTGGCATTAATTCAACACGCACCAGGTCTTCCACAAATAATACTGCATTCAGCAGATCTAATACCCAAAGCAGAGAAAAGGAAAAGAATATATAGATTCACTACTACTCTGCCACCCTCTAAGCCAAGAAGAGTCTAATTCGAAACTAACTGTTCAGCCCCAGCCAAAGCCTCGCAAGCCCGCCTCAAGGGGGTCTGCATTATCACAATGATCAAAAGGATAGAGCAAAAAGGAATTTTATCGCAGTTCAGAATATCTCTGTGAGTAATGTTACATCAGCAAGCATCTACGGACTAAGTGGCTTGAGGAAAGAGACTGAGCAGGTTGAGTTCCAGGTTACGGAAATTTGTAATATAAGATTCGGCAGAGATATTCCTTTTGATAATGTTGACTATGGATTGTTGGTACGTATGACTACATCGTCGAATAATGCTGACCCTAATCATATATAGGTCGGCTCCGCTCGCAGTTTTTGCTACACTCTGCTGGATGGACTGCGAGCCAGTTTAAACTCACACGATGAGACAACCAACTCATGTTGTTTGGCTGAAACAGCCACAGCAGAGTCAGCTGACTAACTTGGCTGGAGGCCTTAGGCGGTGGGGTGAGCCAGCTAATCTGTTTGCTGTCAAGAATGCGCTACAGTTGGGTTCTTCGTATACACAGGAACCATAGCCATTGCCCCAGCCTTGCCAGCGCAGCGGATGACGGATCGTGCTTGGCAAAGTGGGTAGTTACTTGGTCTTACGCCATGGAAGTTGCCGACTGGCCAAATCGTCAATTCCTGTTCCTGTTCGAGTGATTCCCGATGTGGATCTGGCGGGCCAAGCCGCCCAGCATCGGATGGCTGTGCGGCGGATTTTGAGCGCCATAAACTCAGACGCAAGGCTACCGCAAGGGCAGCTTTGCACTGCCCGTCATGCCGTGCCCCATGCTTGGCAGACGTCTGCTCACGACCTGAAATGTATATAAGTGCTCAGCACGACGCAAGATGCCCTTAGGAGGTCCCAACCCTGGCTCTCATTCGGAACTAGCTTTCATGATGCGGCAATCATCACAATCCATCATTTTGTTATCAACTTTGGCACTCGTTGCAACTGCTGACCGCCTGGGTCCCATATACCCAGCACCGGCCGACCTTTCCAGCCCCAAGAGCCTTGTAAGGGCTGTCTGGGAGAACCTCACAACTACCATCGATGACTATTTATCCCACCCTTCCAGGAATGGATCGACTACTCTTTTGGGAATTGAGAACATTACATTCTCAGCTGGGTTGTTCTCGGTTCATGATCCGGAAGCGAAGAAACTCCAGTATCATTGGACCAGCCCTGAAATCGCAGAATCCACCAATGGAACCAGGAAGGTGGATGGCGATAGCATTTTCCGTATCGCGAGCGTCAGCAAGCTGTTTACCACTTATGCCGGCATGCTCTCTCTAGCCGAGGATGAGTGGAATCTTCCCCTCTCCGGGATCTATCCCGGTTTCGCCAAGTATGCAGCAGAAGCCGCCGATGCCCCGGCTTGGCACATCAATTGGGATGAGATCACGCCGTGGGCTTTGGCCTCCCAGAGCTCGGGTATCCCTACGCAAGGGGGCCCGCTCATGGATCTACTGTGGGAATACGTAACGGGGCAGAGCCTCATAAGCCCGATCACAGCCTACGGACTTCCGCCAGAAAATGCGAGCAGCCTGGGGCCATGCTACGGCTCGCTTGAAGAGGCACTCGAGTTATGTGACGGCACAAATGTGATCGATGCTATGGGATCACGACCTCCGACGTTCAAGCCTTGGTGGACTCCTATGTACTCCGACGCAAACTTTGAGATGCTGGCGCTCATGATCTCCAATATCACTGGGAAGTCGATATCAGACATCTATCAGGCAAAGATCTTCGACTCGCTAAACCTGAGCTCAACCTTCTCCTCTCCGCCGACTAGCAATGTGACCCAGGCCCGGGCTGTTGTCGCGGGTCCCGCAGCAGCGGGATTCTACCTGGAGATTCCTTTTACTACCCCATCCGGAGGGATTTACTCCACAACCAACGACCTCGCCACATTCGGTGTTTCCATCCTCAACCACACGCTACTCTCTGAAACTACCACGCGCAAATGGATGAAACCTCAAACTCACACAGCTAGTTTGACCGCCTCCATCGGCGCCCCGTGGGAAATCGTTCGTGTCGTGAGTCCCACCACGGGCAGGGTGACAGATATCTATACCAAGCTCGGAGACTCGGGCTACTATGGCGGCATTGTGGCTCTGATTCCAGATTATGATGCCGGTTTCAGCATCCTAGCAGCCTCTACGAGCGATCAACGTAGTGCCCTGACCAACGTGATCCTGGACTATATTACCCTGTCTGTGCTTCCAGCTCTAGAGGCCCAGGCCGCTCTGGAGGCAGCTCAGAATCTTGTAGGCACATACGTCTCAGAGGATCCCAGTCTCAATTCCTCCGTCACTATTGCCGTTGACAATTCGGTCGGTTCCTCGAGTTACTTCCATGGTCTGAGACTTACTCGGTGGATATCGAACAACACCGACCTGCTAGCCTCGCCCTATTTGAGCGGCTACAAGCCTCGACTTCTGCTGAGCATCCCGAAGTCCACTCCCCGTGGCGTGGCCGGAGAAGTGGCCTTTCAGGTTTCCAGGTTCCCACAGACTTACAGCTATTTCGCCTCCAATGCGGCGGATCTCGGCGTGATCGGTCCATTTACGGGTCAATATAACACTAACTTGGATTTCTGGAGTACTGACACTATTTACTATGGAACTCGTGGTCTGGGAACGTTTGTTTTCACCGTCGACGGCGACGGGAAAGCTTCGGCTGTCTCTCCTACGGCTGCGAGAATCAAGTTGAAGAGAACGACATAGTCGGAGTCCTCCTTTCCAAGTTTATTGTATTCATCATTTTTACTCCACTGCTAGTTCTTGGTCTCATCCGATTAGCTTTCCTATCGAACATAGTGAATTCTACAGTCCTTCAAATCAATTACCGGCCTTTTTCTATCTTTTCTCGTCACATGAATCAAATTCCAGTCTTCCAATATGTCACACTGCATTTATGGCATACTTGCAATGCTGGAGAACCAATCTTCGCTCGCTGTTGTCGGTGTCTGGGATAGTGCTTAGCTTCCAAGGTACCCTGCCCTACATCCGGTTGTTGTGAAGGAATGGCCCTTCATCCAATTTATCTTGACAAGGAATGCATGTTGCCTTACTGCCGAGTTCGACCCTTTTCCGAACCTGGATTATAGACAGGTGCGTAATCACCTAAGATCATACTACCGAGTTTTGATTTTTGGCGGGATAGGAACCTTGGCTCTTTTTGAATATAGACTGGTACACTAAATCCAATCATTGATCATTTACCTACTATGAACCTGATTTCTATAGAGACTGACGATGACCTATATGATGCCCTCATTAGTTGGGTGTTTGTTATAAGAGATACCCTCTAGACAAGGCACATGGACTACCGGGGGAAGGAAGCGATAATATACCTAGCAGGACCCCTTTTTTCCTCTTAATATCTCCTTCTTCTCTCTTCTTCTTTATCTCTTCTGCTCTGTATTATCCTTGCATCCAATGTGATAGAGATCTCCGGAGAGATAGCATAGACAATGCGACATCGTTCCAGGTGACACAGTTTGGTAGGGAACAGTCAGGTGGATGGGGGAGCCCTGAAGGAGCGGAACACCGTCCCGGACCCGCGGGTGACCGCCGTCATGTGGTGTATGTTTTCTTGGTTTGTATCTTCTTTTCTTGCTTATACAGTTACTTCTGGAATTGGGAAGCACTAGTGTCTAACAAGTTTCACTATTCCATAACTTCTGTCAAACTAGAGTTTCCAGGTAACAGGGAATTCCTTGCGCACCAAATCTTGGATTGCCTACCAAGTGAAATGGCTTCATCAAGTTTCATGAAATGGCGCTCTGGTATGCAGACATCTTCAGAAGATTGACCACTAGGGACCTTCATATTGGGAGCAGCCTGAGCCAAGAATCCGCATTGTAAACTTGTCAAGACGTCACTTGAACCCAGCACCATGACACAATAAGATTAGCCTTCACATGACATGTAAGTCGCATGCAAGGGACCGGATCAGGTAAGATGTCCGTCACTTTCATGCCTCTTGACCAAGTCTCTGAATGGCAATACTCTTTACCTGGCACACCGAATCTGGACTGGTCATGGCGTAAAATGTTCTCGGATTCTGCCTGTATGTGGCTAGTGCGCTGTTCAGGACCGGCCAAACCTCTACAGCCTGCCTCCTTGCTCGCGGTCCATATTGACTTTTTCGTGCACGCCTATGGCACAGAGATCCCCGGATCCAATATCGTAGAAGTCAGCCCTTGTCAACGCCATACGTCTTCCCAGATTGACCATGCGGCAAACCGCCCGGACCTCGGCGCCTAGCGGAAGGGGATGCAGGAAGGTCATGCGCATATTGCGACTGACGCCCGAGTCCGAGAATCGACCCGGCGTGGCCGCAGCGATGATCAGCACGGTCGTAAGATTGTCGACGAGAGTAGCAGCACATCCTCCATGAAGATGCAGTTGGGGGCCGCACATTGATTGGGCCACCACGAATCGGTAGGTCACGGAGGCATCAGGGCGTTCAGCTACGGACTCAATCCGGAGATGGCAATGTTCTACAGTGACATCCCAAGTCTTATGAGCAAATACAGTTAGCTGGGTCCCTCTTTCACTGCCTTTGGAAGATGGAAGCACATACCTTCTTGAGCTCCTGATGTCCAACGAGCTGAAAATACCAAAAGACCTTCTTTTCGAAGTTGTTGACAATATCTTCCGGGGCGGAAATTGACATAATGTTTTTCGGCATGGTGAGAAGATTGTAGGGTCGGTTTAGAATTATGTCTGAGTTGCAAGGCACAATTCAAGGTGGCTAGCCTGGTCATCATAGGAAGAGCAGGATATTCAACCATTATATGGAAGATCTAACGGAGGTACATCATTATCTATTTTGATCCACACCACAGATGTTAGTAAGGCACGAAGGTGGTGAGGAGCTAGAAAGGCATGCTTGCCTTTTTCGTCATTACACCCATCACAAGACCAGCATTATATGTACAACTTGCATAATGCAGGCGCTCTAAACAAGGTAAAGCTCGTGCAATGACCCAATATTATATAGATGCAGAGTTTCTATGCTGCATTGTGGCTGGCCCAGTCGAGTCTGTAATTGGCACTTTCCCACCATGAGCAGTTATGCATAAATGAATATGCATTGAGGAATCTAGGTTACGCTATGAGGCTATTCTTACAGATTCATCACGCTTGGCATGACATACTTCGCCTCATTCGAGGTGCATCAGACTAGTTCACAGGGACTTAACACGCATCAATTGTTCGCCGGCAATCGCCTCCAAGTCAACTCGGGAATGATTTTCCTGCCCTCCGGGGTGATCGTCGGCTCCTCCGGGGTGAGCCTCAATATTTCGCAACCATTGTCCGTTTCAATATGTACAAGCCGCCTTTCCAGTTGTCCAATCATGTTCGGGTAGATACAATTTGTAAAGCGATGCTGAACGGCCGGTTTCTCTCGATCTTCTTCCACGTAGAAATGACCGGAGTATGCAAAATACCGTCGAGCCGCCTGGGAATGCTCCCCGGGCGTGGCAGTCCAGTAGTCATCCGACCTGAATTCAGCTTGGCCGGGAATACGCAGCTGCGCGGAGACAAAGCCCGCCTCGCTGTAGATCAGATGACCTGAGATCTCTTTACCAAAAGGATAATCCTTTTGCTGAGAGCCTGTCTGGGAACTGGACACCGATGTACACTCCACTAACTCCCAGGCTCCCAACAACCGTTCCCGCAGTTGACCGTTGCTCACCTGCTTCTCGCCTTCTTTCCGTGGTTGGGGCAGCAATCTACCAGTGCCTGACTCCACATATTTCTCTCGGAAGAATTCCAATGCGTAAGATGGGAGGTACGTTCGCTCCTTCAGATAAATCTCCTCAATGTCGCATACTGTCTGCAAGCCCACCAAGTCCATGAGCTCGCAGGGCCCATACTTAGCATGCATGGCCTGCTTGAGCATCGCATCAATATCCGTCGGTTTTCCTGCACCATCCGCAAGCACCATCATGATCTCACGCTTGACTGCCGCCCAGATACGGTTCATGATGAACCCAGTCGAGTCAGCTTGGCAGACCACCGGACGGCGCCCGATCCCGCGGAGCTCCTTCGACAGGAACTCGATCACATCAGGGTCTGTATGCCCGCATGACATGAGTTCGACAAAAGGCCCCTGCCCTTGGGGAAAGTAATGAGCGTTGAGAATGCGACGTTGGCTCGCAGCCGCGATGCCTTGGACGAGGACACTGCTGCGAATCGAGGATGAGTTTGTCGTGATGATTGTGTTTGAAGCACAGAGAGAGCTCAATGTGTTCACCAACTGCTTCTTGGCATCGATGTCCTCGGCAATGCACTCAATTACCATCCATGCATTCTCGACGGCGTCTTTCAGCTCCCGGGACGTCTTCACGTGGTTGGGCTGTTTGGAGTTTTGATCGAGCTGTGACTCAATCCAGTGCAGAGTATCCTGCGCAACGTCTTCGTTTGTATCATATAGAGTCACTTTGCGGTTGTGTTGAGCGTAGACAAGAGCGACCTGGCAGCCGATTGTGCCACAGCCAATAATGGCAACGTATTTGGTATTGCTTTCAGCCATGGTCAGTTTGACTTGCGGACGAAGTGGCCTCTTAGTGGCCTCTTAGTGAGCTCAGTAATGTTGGAAACAGAAATCTGCAGTTGGTTTCTATCTGTGTCTGAGTAGACAGGGATGGGCGGGGCTTATATCCAGTACGTCTTACGGGGCAAAGGCGGCCCATCTGGTAAAATTACTACCAATGTGATTGAATGTTGTGCCTCTTTTGGCAGACTACACATTTAATACATCTACTTACTGTTATTCTACCTGTTATGCATGCTATTCCCATTTTGAAAAACTTGTTCTCTTCAAGAGATTCACCTGGGTTGACTTTCCAGTCCAAGGACAGGTGGGTGGGACACCAATTTGTGGCTCTGGTATCAATCATCGATAGAGTTTCTGCCCCCTTACATCTCGATGACTTCATCCAGGGGAGTACAAAAATCGCCGAGCACGACAAGGACCGTCTATCGTAATGAATAGAAGAAGCGCATGACATCCTACTCCTCCCTTGGGGGTTTGATGCATGGATAGTCGCAGCGAGGACTTCTTTGGCGTTGTTCCGCATCGCGACGCGTCATCTTACCAAAATTGCCTGAAGGATCGAACAGGTTATCAACATGGAAGCATCGACGTGGGAGAACCATAACCATTCTCTGGGTTATTCAGGTTCTCTAATCTCTTACATGTCAGAGTCCATCATATTACTCTAGAAGGTCAATAGTGTTTTCCAGCTACCATTCTGCTCACAATCCAAATCTTGCAACAGGAACGGGCTCATCGTAAATGTGATAGACTATGAAGACTCCTCGGGATATGATAGAGTGAATAGGATGACAGAGGCAGGATCTTTTCTCATACTATAATTAGCTAATTTGTATTCATAGATGACCTCATTAATTCAGGGCTGGAGCCGAAAATGTCCTAACATATGCTCCATTGCTCTAGGCAAGCTCTAAATACCTCCAGGATGGTGGGGAACCGAGATATGGGATTTTCCTTCCAGAGGCCCTGACCCCTGTCTCACAGCAGATTCTAGAATTAGAGTCAACTTCGGGGTAAAATCGGTCGCTCGGTTTGTGCAATTCGCAGCCCGACCTCTCGCACATCGCCTTTGATATGAGCCAGTTCCGAACGGGTCAATGCTGCCTAAGGCATCAAAGGAACGGGCATGGCTCTATCGGTTCCAGGCTAAACCTTTTACAGTTTGCCGACACACCCGACCCTAGCCTAACCGTTCGATGAACCGTAATTCTTTAGGATAGGGGCTGACTGCACCTCCATAGGCATAGGCTTGCATGAAGTGAGTGGGGATAAAGACTTTTAGATTAGTTAAAGCTGCTACTTAACCTTAAGTGTCTATTCTACGGACCGATTTACGATCATCAACCTGACTCGATGCTCACCTTTTCAGCCAACTTTATCTTTCCTTTCTCTCTGCTGCTATCATTATCGGAGGTCAGCGTTATCTTTAAGGTACGAATCACCCTGTGACAGTATCCCACACTATGAAGCCCGCACCCTTGACTGTGCTGGGAGCTCTAGCACTTCTACTCGGCTTGGCTCAGACCGCTAAACCCGATTGCTACACCAGCATCGGTGACATGGAAATGGTCGGCACATCTGTATGAACATGTGCAGCCAAGTAAACGGGTACTACTACGCTACCAAAGGAAAAGCTTGCTCGTGTGGCAAGCGACCACCGCCATTTGAGACTAAAACGGATAACCGAGCCTGTACAATTCAGTGTCTGGGCTACCCCTTTGATAAGTGTGAGGCTCAATATCTTTTCTACCATCTGAATTCGGCTCTCGCCGACTGACTGGACTTGGGTGGTGGTGATGGTGTCTACTTGGTAGGGGAAATGCCGGGCGACCATCCGAGCATCGCTCGCGGGGAAAGCACTTCGACGATGGCTGCAGCTTTGACTGCAGTAGGCACAATCCAGAGCACAGCTACTGCTGCCTACTTGACTATGACCGCAGAGCCAGCTGATACCACCAGTTCCAGGTCTGCCTCTGTCGTACCTTGGACCAGCAGCACTCCGCTGGCCAGTGCTGTTCATGCCAATTCTACCTCGGGGGCGAGCCGTCGCTTCAAGCTGCTCTATCTCCAGGATAATTGAGGATGATACAAGTACGCTGGATGCGATACGAGTGTTCTTTCTGAATCAATTTCTCCGTTGACTCTCTAAGAAACGTAGACCGCGAGTGGGCAGCTCAGGGAGTTCTTTCCTTCAGTACTGTTACATGCGGAGGCAAATGTTCCGATAAATGTAGTAAATCCCTAAACATATGTAGAGAACGAGAGGCAAAAGAACTTTAAATTGTCTCTGAGAGTGATGGATCTAACTTGGATTGTAGGATAAAATGTCAGCCGCAGTCAGCCAGCGAAAGCTGCCTCAGGCATAAGATTCGGGTAATTCCGACAAGCGGAACCCCCCACTGGGACTAGCTTCATCCACAATCCTATTCTAGGAAATACCCTAACCCGGTTTCGAAAAGCCGAGATTACTCGTCTTCGAAAACAGCCAATGGGAACGACACCTGTCTCAGATCAGGGGTACCTTTCATTTGGAGCAAGACCCTGGTGTTCGTTCAATTGGCCCATTGGATATCCGGCCCCCAAAGACCGCAGCTAATTGCAGCTAATTTGAATCCTCCAGGGTCCTGCCTTTTCCTGGGTGCTGCTGCACTTCCACCTACTTATCTTGCTCTTTCCTCAATCTTGTCATTCCTCCCACATAATTAATTCTGTGCTTTCTAGCCTGCGGCTGACAACAGACGATATTTGCAATGATGCTCACGTCTTCGAATGCACTGAGTGCTCTGGCACTCTTCCTTGTTTCGGCTCAGGCCCTTGAATGGGGTACATACGCTTGCATGAAGAGTTCTGGGGACATGACTAAACTAGGCTCATCGCCATACCAATCTCCCGGCTTGTGCCAGAGTTTGTGCGAGAAAGAGAAGGGTTATTTCTTGGCCTTGCAAGACGAGGATTGCTGGTGTGGCAATCAGCCCCCCGCCTTTGGTAGTATGGGTGGTTCGTGCGATACGGTCTGTCCAGGCTATCCCAGTGACAAGTGTAAGTGTGAACTCCCTGGCCGCGCTGATAGAATTGGCTGACCGCCGACTAATACTTGTCGCTTAGGTGGCGGTGACGGGAGTTACTCGGTTTGGGAACTGGAGGAGGACTATTCGAATCCTAGTCTGGAGTCAAACACGGCGACGGTGACCACAACGGCAATGACTTCCTCTTCCGCTTCTTCCTCCTCCTCCTCCTCCTCCTCCTCCTCCTTCTCTTCTTCTTCTCTTTCGTCCGCCGATTCTGCGGTCGTGACATCAAGCTCGGCGACGGTAGCCTCCTCGTCTGGCGCCACCCCATTGGCTACTACTACGCCCGTGGCTCAGGCCGTTCATACCAATGCGGCCAGCCGTCCCTCCCGATTCTTGTTTTTCTAATCTCAATAGTGTGATGAAGCTTTCGGCCGCAAGTGTGATGGTTGTGGAAACATGTACAATATGCTTTTCGTCTGCATATGCAGATCCTAAGATTCTATTTCTCTCCTGCTATGCACTTGCCCTCAACAGCCTGCCTGTCCAATGGCAGAAGCTTAGAGCGTCACATCATGCATAACGTCAAATCTCGCAGACTGAAATCCCCTCATGTATATATGGGTTGGGGTGCATTTGAGCGATATATTGCCGGCCACATGTGGGAATTAATTCCAGCCGAGGCTTGCAGTAGGCAGAGCAAAATCCTATTAGGGCAATTCGGATAGCCTCTGCTGAGAACATATATTGCCGATACGTCTCTGTGGTTTAATGCGACCGGCCACCGCATCTGCTGGGAAAGTAAAATTCACTACAGACCTGTATCTAGTATATTCACATGATCACAAGCGCCGTTATTCTGATGTTGCATTTGCCTCATCTACTCTTGTTCATGTACAGCCCTCAAAGTACTATTCTTGCTTGTTGAGTGATAGAAAAGTTTGATTAGTACATAGGTGAAAGGTAGCTCATAACTAACACATACATATGCTGCTGATCACTACTAGCATCTTTTATTGAACTTGAGATGGGATGCTTTGCAGCAGAGGGTTAAATATTGGATTATACTGAACCCGGAGTTTCTCAAAGGTAACTGCTATAATGATGAGGCAATTATGTCTGGTTGTCTAAGTTTCCCCTTCTAATAAGCTGATAAGTAACGGTAGGCAGTCAGAAAAATTGGGTTAGTGAGCAGAGAAACCTGGGAAGAAATTTGTATTCTGGCTTATGGTGTGTGGGATTGCCGCGAATGCCTTCAAAGGAATTGTGACTTTAGATGAACTGCTAGAGAAGACCCCACCTAAAGTGCGTAAATCATGGACCCTTGAGTGGAAGGAATGCGCTCTCAGATTCAGTTTCACAAGGTAACACCTTGCAAAATAACTACGGTTCTCCAGTAAAAAAGCTTATTTTCGAGATTCCCTAAGAGTCTATTGAATTTAAGGTGCCGTTACCAATACGGTTGATTATAAGCTCTCACAAACATACAAAAAATACTAACTGGTCTACAGCAAAGGCCTCCGAAGCGGCGTGCACGCAAGCCTTGGATTATCAAAACTCAGACACCTTCAAAAAGTATCAATCTATAATCAAATAACTTGACCTTGGTGCCTGCTTTTGGAATAAGGAACCTGATCATAAGTCCCATGGAATAGAAGAGAGTATAATTTATTATTAGGATCCCAATATCCCTCAGAAGCTTAATGCTGCGGCAGTGGTAGAACTTAAGAATAATCCTTCAATAATAGGTATATATTAGCAACTTAGTATATCAAACCGCCAAATTTCTGGGGGATCTGGATAGATATAAGGTATCGGCGATTTGAGGTCTCAGGGTAGGCTTCTGGAACGTGTTTCTTGATTTTCTTTGTGGTTGGTGGAACTACGTTCCCGCATGTAAACAAGTGGGAAAAGGCCTTTTGGAATCACGTGGCCGGATTAGCGACGCTGACATCAGGACTTGGTGGCTGAGCAAGCCAAGTTGTATAATAAAGCAACTAAATTACATCGCGCGAAGAAGAAAGAGTTTATTAAAAATTAATGGAAGATATTTTATAATAAATATATCTTAGAGTACAAGTTTACTGAATGAGATACAACAGACCTTTTTAATATCTGTTTTAAATATATACTAGAGAAAGCCCAACTCCGGGAAAACCTGTTTTAAGAAGTACCAGTTTATAGTAAAATTGGATGGCAATACCTATATAATATACCAAATATTATTAGATCAGAAGAGAGAGAGTAACCTATTACCCAGGTATATTATCTGTTAATAGAAAATGCCCGCTATGCTCTGGAAAATCAATTCAAAGCCAGAATACTTTCCAGGTGGCTGGCCGGAAAAGAAAAGATTGGCCCAGTCGTCTCCCTCGTGCATATTAGACATCTGGATACCTACTGGCTTGTTAAAGCAGTGCTCGTTTTGTCACACCACAAAACGCACGCCACGTGTTTCGGGGGGGGGGGGTGACTTGGCCATCCCTTGCATCCCTGCGTATTCAACTGCTTGATGCATCCTCCTGTGCAAGGCCGGGGGGACCCATGGTGTCTTCTACAATAGTTCAGTGCGCGGAATATAGGTCGCGGCTCCCTTACTATGAGGCAGCTCCAATGGCTCCGAGAGCCTTGCGATGCCTTTTCATGCCACGCGGCAGCCGGCGTTGGAATGTCACGGTAATGGGCGAGTTCCACGAAGGCCTGGTCATCTTCTACGTCCGCCAGTAATTATCTAGGCGCTTACACTTATCGCCTCGGTGCGCGATGACTCGAATAATAACAAACTTGATCAACATCTACCCCAAAGATTGCTCTGCCCGACTTTGATCCTTCTTCCACCACTCGATCCTCGTGTTGATGAAGTCCCAAAATACATCGGCCCATGCCGACTCGTACTTCGGCAAAACTCTCCCTGTTGTACCGGGCTCTGGTTCCCCCGCAAGCTCCCTGAGCTGCTCAAAGTGCGTCTCAAAGTCAGGCATCAGTGTCCAGAACGGTCCTCCGTCTCCGCGCTCTGCAAGTCGATCCTCTTCCCATTTCTCCATTTCTTCGCGCGATGGGAGAGATGCTCGTCCGGCGAGAACGCGGGCTGCGGCGACGGCTTGCCATTCGAAGATGCGGATTCCGAAGCCTCCTGTGACCTTGATTGATGTTATTACAAGGCCTAGCACCATGGAGAGGGTCCGGTACTCACCATGCCGATCAAGGCGAGACTTGGATTGTCAATCTTGAAGACATGTTTATATAGGCCCGGTACACGCTTATGAACTGGTCCCAGGTCTGGCAGAAACGGGAAGCTAAAATCGTATCCTGTCGCAAAGACGATGGCGTCCACGTCATGAGCGATAGCTCCATCAGCGAAATAAATTGCTCCGGTTTCCGAGTCGAATGACGATATCTCGGAATGGTTTTCGATTTCTGGGTGGGTGAATGGTGTTTCTCCAAATATTGGTGAGTGTTTGCGGAGTGATGAGATGATGGGCAACTTAGAGACTCGGCGAATGTCGTGGAGAGCGTCGAATGCAGAGACTGATCCTCCGACAACAATGACCCGCTATACGTGAGAAGTCAGAGATGCCACAGATAACCCGGAGTAGGCGGTTACCTTTCCCTTGAACTCGTCGGACGTCTCATAGTGCTTGCTGTGCTTAATTCTACCAGGATAGTTTTCATCGTATTCAACGATCCCTGGGATATTCGGAATATTGGGCAGGTAATAGTGCCCCGTTGCAACTACAACGGCGTCGAATCTCTCCTGCCACCAGTAATCTGTCTCACATCCAGCGGCAGATTTGCGCAGCGTCAGCACCCACTCTTGTCCTGTGTGCTGAGCCAGCTCAACACTGGTCTCGAACTCGACCAGATGTTCATGATTGCCTCGCTTGAACACGTCTTCTACCCAGTCGCGCATAACTTCGCGATGCCGAAACGGCGAGTCTGGGCCATACTGTGACAACGTCCCCTCCGACAAGATCTTTGGAATCGGTTCCTGCGAGAAACACATTACACTAGGTGGCAGATTGCTGTGCAGGTTCACGTGGGCTCCAGTATCTGAGAACCGGTGAAGGTATGAGCTCATCTCTTCCGCTCGCTCGGTCTCGCAGGGTAGACTCTGGGGGATTTGGATACCCTTGTCCGCGCGGTGCTCGACCAAGTCCCGTAAGGATGGGATGCGCGAATCTTTTCGAGGCGTGTGAACCCTGTACTCATTAGCTTTTATCCAGAGTGGTAGGTGGGTGACAGACCATGTTCCTCCTATGACGTCCTGTCTCTCAAAAACTCGAATTGTGTCGAATGCCTGCTCCTTGACGAGGGCATCTGTCGCGACTGCACCTGCAGGCCCAGCGCCAATGACGGCAACTCGACGAACATTCAGTATTGTTTTCGTCATTATTGCGACTTGAACAAGTGACCTTCAACACACTTAAAAATGATCTTGAAACTTGGACTCGATCTTCGAGCAGAAAAATAAAGTGAATCGGAGACCTTCCGACATCGGGCGGCTCATGGCCTCACGCCAGCTCCCCTCGCATTCTGATTTGTCGAGCGAGAACTCACTGTTATCGATGGCGTAACCATAGTATGAGGCTCGTTATGCGGGAAATAAATTCGGAAAATACCCTTCGGGGTTTGTTATGGCAAAGACAATTCGCTGGCCGATGGTGTGATATGTCGCTATCTTTGCGCCTCCGCGCGCAACGTGCTTCGGGGCTTCCACGTGGAGTCGCTTCTCCAACTACAGCGGGATTTTCTCCAGTATACAGCTGCTCGAATATCATCTAGAGTCAGGCGATTTTCCAGAACCTCAAGCTTCATCCAGGCTATCACTTCATTCGCAATGTCCTCCAGCCCAGTCATCGAGTACTACTTCTCCTTTATCTCACTATGGTCCTACATAGGCAGCCGACGCTTCCAGCGGCTCACCCAAGAGACCAATGCCAAAGTCATCCTAAAACCAATTGACCTCATGTACATTTTCTCCATCTCCGGTGGTCTACCCGTAAAGCAGCGCTCGACACAACGTCAGGCGTATCGACTCATTGAGATGGAGCGCTGGCGCCGTATCCGTGATATACCCATTGTGCCGCAACCCAAATATTATCCCGCCGACCCCTCGCTGGCGCATCGCGTCCTTCTTGCGGCCATTGAAGAATCAGGACACGACGACCACTCTGTGCAAGAGTATGCGCGACTGGGCCTGGAGGCCGTGTGGGCGCGCGAACTCAACATTGCAGACCAGGGGACTATTGTCGGTATAGCAAAGGAGGCTGGACTTGACGGCGAGCGACTGTTGGAGAGAGCCAAGTCGGAGAGTGTTTTGGCTGACCAAGAAGCTGCGTTGACGAAGGAGGCGGAGGAAAAGCAATACTTCGGAGCGCCGCTGTATTCTCTACATGGGGAGCCGTTCTGGGGGCAGGATCGTATTGAGATGCTGGAGGATGTTATCAAAAGTGGGAGGGAGCCTATTGTAATACATGACACGGAATAGATGCCATAGCAATAAGAGGCATTGGGACAAACCAGGTCCTTTTTAGAAAATTCTACCGTGTACCGTTGCTTTCACACCCATACGCAAAATTGTTCACAAAACAAAAAATCCATTCAAAACGCTCATAACATGACATAGGTCGACCTAATCATAGTAAGTAACATTGACCCCCTTAAGAATCTCGACATCATTAATCTCATTATCACCCTCCTTTGCAGTCGACTCTCCGAGATTCTTGATCACTCGCTGCGTAACCCACTCACCAGCCTTGAGGGGCTGCCCATCACTTCCTACGATCTTGTTCTCAATCAACCCATGTTTCCGCAGAACAGGCGACTCCTGGATTGGAAGCAGGTCACAATCATCCTCGATCCGGACCATGTATAGCACACCAAGTCGGTCGATATGTGCTTGGTCCTTGGGTGGAGCGACAACGCGGTGGATGCTCGATTTTAGGTAGCCGTCTACACCATCGCTCATCAGAGCATGTACAGGGAGGACAAGCTGGGGACTTACTCGTCATGAACTGTAGCGCATCGGCGATGTTGACCGTAAGAGCATCCATCTGCGGCCGTACGTACTTCCACTCGCCAGTCTTCGTGAGAACCTGGAGCGCAGCGACCGGTTGCCGGAAGAGGAGGGTTAGACTGCCCATATCAGAGTGTCTACACCAATCAGCAAAGCACCCTCCCAGGGACGGATAACTAGGATAGTACGTACCCCTTCAGCCACACGCCCCCAAGCTTGTCATTCTCCTCCTGACTCCGTGCGTAATACTTCATATACCGCAAATGATCCCCACTCGTCTGCTCATACCGATGCTTATTAACAAGCCACTCCTCATCCTGCAGCCCCAAAGCAATGGCAAAGATCATAAGCAGCTTTTTCACAATCTCATCATGGATATGCCTCGAGAATGTCTCGATGGCATCCCACTGCTCGCGGACAATCTCGGGATGCGCGCGATCCGCATGCTCGGGCGTGAATTTCGGGATATTGTAGATCTCGAAATTATCTTTCACCCCCGGGACAAGCGTCCGGATACCCGCGGGCTTCCACCCGTTATAGTCTCCCTGCTCGAGCGCCGCGCGGTATTTTTGTTTTTCTTCGGTTGGGAGGGACAGGACGGATTTTGCGATTGCGAATTGCGTGTCGATTTGCGACTTTGTGAGGCCGTAGTTTCTTACGTAGAAGAAGCCTGTCACGGCTGATCAACAAAACCGATAATGGGGATGAAGGTGTAGGAGGCGACATACCGACATCTTCAATGGCTTGCGTAAGCTCAGCAGCGAGTTCTTCCTTTCCGCCTGGTTGATCGAATTTGCTGAGGTCGAGCGTTCGCAGGTCGGCCCAGTCGAGGTTCTCTGATGTCTCTGGGACCTGGACGTATGATAGCTCGGGAGCTTCGATTGTGGTAGTGGTGGACATTTTGAGCTGGAATATTAAATGAAGATAATGGCAGAGAGGACAGTTGTAGAGAGGGCCAGAGAGTATAGAGAGGAGACAACTTGTCAGGTACAGATCCAACTCCTACCCTCTTAAACCCGGACAATCCCATACATCCAGCCGTTTCTCCACTTACTATCACTAGCCCCGATCCCTCAAACATCTCCCCCAGCACACCATCAACTTACCTCATCACGTCTTCCTCTCCGGGCAAATACCAGTGCAAGAAGACTACATCAGTCGTTTGCTTATCTCAAAAACAAATCCCGAACCATCTATATCGCTCCACTTTCAAACCCCACAAAGCCCGATATATGTTGAGCCTCGTCGGGATTCGGTTGTCATGGGCTTTGAAGTGAGGGTGGCGTTGTCAGTTAGATTGTTCTGAGGGAGATATGGGATGGCTCATTATTGATTTGCTCTATACTTCGTCTTCCAAGGTTGCAGGTTTTTGTTGGTAGTGTAACCGTGAACTCAGTCTATATTGCCGTTGTCTACTAAATATTTGGAAGCTGGTTGGTGATTGCCTCCCGGCCCTTATTGGCGTTGGAATGGTAAACATGTTCAGTCATACGAACATGTCATTGATATTGAGATGGAAATAAACTCCAGAGGCTGCACATGGCAAATTGGAACACCGTGCAATTTCCCCTGGCACGATGCATGGCAGCCAGGGCGTTCGCAGACAAGATGAAGCATGCTCATCCCTGGCGCCGTTGATGTCATCCCCGCTAACCCTAAAAGATGTCATTTAGAGTTCGAATCTAGTCCGATTCCGCGTCGCGAAGAGGAAAAGTTCTCCTGCTGCAGACATGCTCCTACTTAAGCTTAACATTTCTTTTTGAAGCTGCATGCATTGACAGCGAGACGTCGATCGCAACTATCTACAACACAGCATGGCTTCCTCGTACGGCATGGATGCTACCGGCTCCCACACAGCGGCCCAGAATGTCAACGAGAAAACCACCATCTATGCGTCAGGCGGCATCGAAGCTCTGGGCGACGAAGCTCGCCCCATCGACCCCGGGATCGAGCGTCGCGTCCTGCGCAAAATTGACCTCTTCCTCATGCCCGCCATGGTCATTGGGTACGGACTGGTCTACTACGATAAAGCGATTCTCGGGAGTGCCGCGCTATTCGGTATGACAGCGGACCTGCAGTTGTCCGTCACGGATACCTCCGTGACCCCGCCAGTAACTGATACGTCGCGGTTGAGCTGGGCGACGTCTATCTTCTATTTCGGGCAGCTCGCCGGGTCGTATCCGATGACGTATCTTTTGCAGTATTTTAAGACGAGATATGTCCTTGGTCCGTCGGTTATCTTATGGGCGATTGTATGTGCGGCCACGGCGGGGGTTACTAGTTGGAGGGGATTACTTGCGCTGCGGTTCTTTTTAGGTACACATATTCTGCGATCATATCGTCTTCAGGTGTACTGACCGCACCAGGCTTCACCGAAGCAATCATCCCAACAGGCTTCATGGTAACGGTGAGCGGATACTACACTCAGCGCGAGCAATCGCTTCGCCAGAGCTGGTGGTGGTCCGGCACTGGCTGGTTCACGATCATCGGCGGCGGATTCAACTACGGCTTTGCGCAGATTAAAGGCGGCGCATTGAAGCCGTGGCAGTATATCTATGTGTTTGCCGGTGTGCTGACGTTCCTCTTCGGAATCTGGTGCTTCTTTCTGCCCAATGACCCCCTGCACGCGTGGTTTCTTACACCTGAGGAGCGTATTGTTGCTGTTGAACGCCTGCGGGCGAGTCAGTTGGGTGTCAAGAGCCATGAGTTGAAGAAGGGACAGATCAAGGAGGCGCTGCTGGATGTGCGGATTTGGTTGATTGCGTTGACCATGGCTGCTGCGTATGTCCTCCCATTTCCAAACCTATAGCATCCACTTCTACTCACACAATTGGACTATAGTTATACCGTGAATGGCGCCGTCTCAGGCTTCGGCCCCCTCATCGTCGCAACATTCGGCTACTCCTCTCTCCAAGCAATCCTCTTCCAATTCCCGCTCGGCGCAATCTCCGGCGTCGGAATCGTCCTCACAGGCTGGATCTGCTCGCGCATCCGCAACATCCGCATTATACTGCTAGTGTCCTGCTGCCTCCCCGTAATCGCCGGCTTCGTGATGATCTGGAAGTCATCCTGGGGCCATAAACCCGTTACTCCTGTCGCCGGGTACTCGCTCATCGGGTTTTTCGGGCCTGTTGTTGGACTGACGATTTCACTCGGTGCGAGCAATGTTACGGGCGAGACGAAGAAGAGTTTCATGGCCAGTGCCATTTTTGTCGCGTATTGTGTCGGTAATATTGTTGGGCCGCAGCTCATTAAGAGTCAGCAGAAGGCGGACCATTATCCCGAGCTGTGGACAGGGCTGATTATTTGGTGAGACTTCCCACTACACTTCCTTTTCGGTTTGATCTATGTTGGGGAGTCAATGCTAACCGCCTCTGTTTAGTTACTGTATAACAATCGCCTCTGCCTCAACGCTTGCTGTGCTATGGTACTGCGAGAATAAGCGGCGTGCGGCGTTGGATCTGGATGAGAGCGAGCGCGATCGGCTGGCATTTAAGGATTTAACAGATTGCGAGAACTTGCATTTCCGATATGTTTACTAGGTTAAAAAGGTGGACGTGTGATATATAATTGCCGAATTACTTCAATCATAATTATAGTTTATTACTGGTGCAAGAAATGCTTCAGGGTATTGGCCATGGCACTTAGTTGGTAGTCGGTGTGCGTAGGTATATCGCAGATCAAGCTAGGTAAATACACTCTGGTCAACAGTTCATATTAGAATGGCCCTGACACATGTCATATCAATATTGTTGGCGTTTTGCAGACATTTTGGCAACGGGGTTAATTCTTGACTACGGAAATCCAGCCCCGGCCCTATTCAGAAAGGATTGAGATGATCCACTGTAAGCTGGACCAATCACAGCCCAGCCAGTGGGTAAGGCCGTAAGAAAAAAGTATGGATTTCCCCGCGGATCTTGCCTTGGCTTGGATTTCAAACCAGAGCCAATGCTCTGTGGACAGCACAGTAGAATCTGCAGGATCTGGTGGTAGGTCAGGCACGATACTCCCGCTTCTTCCATAGGTCCGAAGATCGACCCGCGCTTGTTGGAGCCCCACAAACCCCAAGTTACAGACCCTCGGCTGCGTCGCTCGAACAGATCGCGGCTTCAACAAGAGCATGGAAAGATGCCAGTTCTGTTTCGAGGGTACAATCTTCGGTACAGTATCTGCCCGGATAGCTAGTCTTAAAATACTTTCCCAAGCCATCCGATGTGCCTTGGGCCATCAACATCCACAACACGAAGCTAACACATTCCCATTGTTGCCGGCTCAAGACAAATAGCTGAAAATGATGACATATTTTCACGTCGGACTGGACGTTAACGTAGCAGCCTTGCAGCCAGTTAATTCCCTAAGGCTTTAGGTACCAATGAAGTAGTAAGCAAGGTGCTCCAGGCTGGCATCATGGCATATTAATAAGAAAAATAAATGATTTAATAGAAATAAAGAAAATTAGGCCCAAGTATCTATTTTTTTAAAGTATAATCTAACTAGAACCAACCACCAGGATTGGTGCTTTGGTAAAGGAGAATTTTTACCTTAATCTTTCAGTAGAGATTATACCTTTTAATTAATTGAACCAAGTTATTTTAATAATCTGGGTGTTTTGGATAGCAATATTTTTTGCGGTAGAAGTAGCTTAGCAGAACTGCTAAGAAAGCCGGTGTTTAAAATGTAAATCACAAGGCCAATTATTACTCAAAGTCTTTTAGGTTATAGGTTGAGAATAAGCAGCTTATTTTTTTTATACAAATTCTTTACTCCTCTAAATAAGCAACTTGTTTATTTATTATATACCCAGTAAATCGGCGCCGGCCCGCGTAATTGAATCACCCTAAGGGGTAAGCGGCTTACCCGGCGGCACCCACCCTATTTTTATCGCTGGGAGGTTAGTAGTTGGGTGGGTGACAACCAGCAAATCCCTTCTGTTGTATGTTTTTTTGCTCTTTTCATCTTTCTATAGCACTGCATTCTACTGGCTAGACCATTCATTTATTATTCTCTTCTCTATAGCTAGCTGAACTTATCGGCCGAGAAATAGTAACCTCCACTATCGTCCACAAATGGTGTCCTCATTATATCGGATGCACTCACAACGCATTTATTTTTGCCGGCAGGCGTGATATAATCTGCCACCACCCGAACCAATTCATTTGCACCACACAAGCTCCTTCCAATGCTCAACGTGCCGTGGCCCATGTGGTGAGTCTGATTCAGGATGCTTTTGTCACCGGTCCGATTGGCCGGACGATTTTTAAAGCCGTCCCGCCACAGTGGGCCCCGAGTCCCTGACCGAAGCTTGGAGTTGGAACAAGAGTCACTTGGCATTGCAACAGGTACCATAGACTCGGTAAGGTACCGTACTCGGCTTCCGAATACCCGTACGGCAAACCGACATCTGCTCCTCCCCTCTCCTTGGTAGACCATCATAAGTCCACTGACTTACAGGTCTCTACAGGTCTGATGCTCCGATATGTAGACCACCACGAATTTTCTGGAAATGAAGTATCAGTCAGGGTTACCATCTTCCTTATACTGGTCGAAGCCGGCAGTCATCAGAAAGCATCTCGGTTGATCCTCGGTTGATATCACCCTGGCGCACACTCAGCGCAACGATTCCTTATATTTACGTCCTAGGAACTCTTCGATACCCCTAGTAACGCCTGAGTACGTCAGGGGATACCGCAGCGCTTATGTCTGTCTCCTTTTCTTTCGATGTGTGGGATTCGGGGGGCAGGTCTAGCGCACCCCGCGATGTCGAACAAATCTCCAGAAATCGATGATCTCCTTTACAGATCAGCTCTGATGCATGACTGTTCTAGCCCATCGAGGTCAGAACGGCCATCGTAGCGGCCCATGGGGTCTTAATGTAAGCAAATCCTGCGTAGGCACTGATGCAGATTCTTGTTAAGCACAAGGACAAGGATGAGCGGATGCTCTTGTAGTTCTCTCCTCATGATTTAATTTTTCTTCCTCTAATCACGTTGTCTTTATTATGAACATCCTACATGCCATAAGTTTTATGTTCATACCACCCCGGTGACACGTACCGGCAGTTCTTCTCCGCGGCGTTGTTGTTGTCCTGTGGGCCCCTCCTTGGGGCTTACTTACATAATTTTTACGGTACGTTTGTGGCCCCATTACTCGCTCTGAATAAAAGGCCGTCTCGCTCCTTTCAACGTAGCCATACCAGCCCTGCATTCTGGAAAGCCTGTTTGAGATTTTCCTCTTCCCTGCAACGTCTCCCGTCGGTGTCTCTCAACCACTATCAGTGGTAGTCATCCCCTGCTGCCTGAAATCTCTTTCTTACCTTTTCACCTTCTGGGGAGACCTAAACAATCACAACAATGCACGACCACAGTACTGGATCTAGTCCATACATCTCGGACGTGGAAACCTTGAACCACGCCTGCGAGAAGTCCGTCAACCCTGAGACCAAGGTCTCTCAGTCTCAGGAATCTCCTATTATCAGCAATAATGAGCATCAGGAATTCGTCAAGCTGGGCATCCGCCAACGGCTGCGTCATTTCACCTGGGCCTGGTACACCCTAACCATGAGCGCAGGTGGACTGGCCCTTCTTCTCCGCAACCAGCCGTATCAATTCACGGGGTTGAAGGAGATAGGCCTGGTGGTCTACATAGCCAATCTTGTCTTCTTTACTATCATCGGCTCTCTTATGATCACCAGGTTTGTTCTTTACAACAACCTGATGGACTCTCTCCGCCATGACCGAGAGGGCTTCTTCTTTCCAACCTTCTGGCTCTCTATCGCCACCATGATTAGTGGTCTATCTGCGTACTTTTCTACTGAAGACACCCACCGCCTTAACTATGCTCTCGAGGGCCTTTTCTGGGCGTACTGTATCTTCACGTTTGCCTCGGCAGTGATCCAGTACTCCTTTGTCTTCTCTTACCACACGTTCCCTCTGCAGACTATGATGCCATCATGGATCTTACCGGCATTCCCTATCATGCTGAGCGGAACCATTGCCTCTGCCGCTTCCAGCTATCAGCCTGCGGTGTCTGCTACGCCCATGATCGTTGCCGGCATCACGTTCCAGGGACTCGGATTCTGCATCAGCTTCATGATGTACGCTCACTACATCGGGCGTCTGATGGAGACGGGAATCCCTTCGAGCGAGCACCGTCCCGGTATGTTTATCTGTGTCGGTCCCCCTGCCTTCACGCTGCTGGCTATCATCGGCATGGCCAACGGCCTTCCCGAGGGCTTCAGTATCCTGGGCGACGGTGGCATGGACGACCGTCACATTATGCGAGTGCTGGCCGTCTGCGCGGGCATGTTCCTCTGGGCTCTGAGCATTTGGTTCTTCTGCGTCGCTCTCGGCTCGGTTGTCCGGGCACCTCCCCACGATTTCCACCTCAACTGGTGGGCTATGGTCTTCCCCAACACCGGACTCACTCTCGCCACCATCACCCTGGCCAAGTCACTGGACAGTGCCGCCTTGAAATGGGTGGGCGTGGGCATGTCCCTCTGCGTGATCTGCATGTTCATCTTCGTCTTCGTGAGTACGGTTAGGGCTGTTCTCTTGAAGAGGATCATGTGGCCAGGACGGGACGAGGATGTGTCCGAATTGTTCGAATGATCTATCTCCCTCGTCGGCCACGATGCATGAAGTCCCAAAACTCTGTGTGTTCTCGGTTGTTATCATTTGAAGCGAGTTATATATGCATATACATAGTTGAGCGCCCGTGTTTTATGGTGTGTTTGTCCGCCGTTGTCGTTTATCTCTTTGTCCTTCGAGTCTATCTTCTTCTATATTTTTCAAATTTTTCAATCAGTATATAGCCATAGTTGAATCAATATACATTCATTCCATCCAGACTTGGCAGTTGATGATACTCAACCCCTATTCAAATCTATGCTGGCCGAATGTGGTGAGAGACGCCCAGCCTTAGGCAATTTCAACTCACCGGCTGTAACCCATGGACCATTGCCACTCCCAGGAGAGTCAGAGCAAAACTCTGCCCTGACTCCCCCCCCTCCCCCCTCCCAACCAAGCCTCACGCCTCACCGGTGGGCCCCTGTACTCGCCTCAGCATCATCATCAACAACAACATCATCACCCTAACCGCCATCAACATGGCGAATTCGATGCTCTTTTCGGTATGATTTCATCACACACAGACAACTGTGTGAAAATCTGCCAAATAGTTCCCCCTTCGTCCCCCCTGAGGAGATTTCACCTATTATTATTAGCGAAATCCTCTTCCCAGTCTACACACAGGGCAAGGCAATTCTCGTCAGATCGGGCAAAACCGTAGCCCCCGTAGCCCCCTTTCCGAGACCACCCTACTCGGCATGCCGTGATCTCCCGATATCGAACGAAAATGTGCAGGCCCTTCTCTTCTTTCCGGCATGCAAAGCCTGGTTCTGAGTCCCGATCTTCGATGTCGGAGACTGACCGAACCTCAGCGGACCCACATACCGGGTCGGCGGGGCACCATTTTCTCACCCAAGCCTCACCCGTCTGGGTTTTTTTCTCTCTCTTCGGGTGGCCAGCACAGCACCTATGGTCACGTAGGTTTAGGGTTAGAGGACAGTCAAATGGGAGACGATTACGCAGTACGTATCTGGTATTTGGCTTTTCGTTTTTTTTTTCTTTTTCTGTCCGACCAGCTCGGTGGCACTTCGGGCTTGGTTTCATATTTCGGGCATTTCCGCCGAAGCGATGCTGAGCATTGATGACGGGGATGACAGGACGATACGCTAGTACTTGGTAGGTAGAGAGAGAGCTTCCTGGATGACGTATAGTGTATTGTAAGCATATGACGGTAAAATACATGCCCTATCTTTCTTTCCCCTACGAATGATCAGGTTGTTGTTAATGTATTGCCCATTAAAAAGTGACTTGTCCATGCTGTGTTAAGCTTAGAATGAAGACTTTCTGATCTGTGACTTAAGTTTGTGTTTGTTGTGAGTGGGAAATTCACTTTCTGTGCAACCCGTCTCGGGGCACAGCGCGACAGTCGAGAACAAACCACCCGGCGTACTGACTATAGCTCTGGTCCACAACCCAAACATCATTCGCAGTAGGAGCTTCGAAGACTGGCATACATGTTATTGATAATGGAATGGTTCGCAACTGTGAAAAGTGTGAAGGATACGTATGGTTGGATCCTGCCACTGTATACTATACTTACAATAGCTCAGCAATTTTGGGGGTGAGATTCGCAGTGGGCTGGATTCGACCTTCAATATGTCGCCTGTCAAATATGATCTCTGAAGCTAGATTGTCTCCCTATCAAAACAAATGAGACAGATTAGTAATGAGGCGGCGGAGGCTATACTTGAATTGTGCAGAACAATGCTTTTCAGTCGGAGACTCGGAGTACGTAGGAAGAAGATTTTTTTCTCTCTTGTTTTGACCTTCCCGAAACCTTAACCATGGAAAGAGGGTAAAATTGATGCACCCGTCCCAGCGGAGTCCCCACTGGTATACGGAGTCTGGAAAGATATCAAATTGTTCCATGGAACCACTTGATAATGCTATTCATGAGCTTTGCAGTCAGAGACTTTATCGAGCTAGCTCGGGAAGAAATAGGCTGATTAATGAGCCTAGTCAATCGCCTTGGGCTCAGGTTCGCAAGCCAGCGGCGACAACAATCCAGAACACAGTGAATTGCACCAGCAAGTACCAATGACGGTAAATAATCTAAGCAGCGATGTTATTGAGAGGTACTCATACTAAACCGTGATCTAGGACTCTTCCACCCGGAATAGTGCGTATGTAATCGACAAGTTAGGGTCCAGCACTTGGAACAGTTAGGCTGGATCTTCGCATCGACTCGTCAAGAACATGGTTGACAGCGTCGTGTTTCGACTCTTCATATCTAAAGCCACACTTCTCCAAATGTCATACGATCTTTCATCCCAGATGTGCTAGACAACTGTGGCGACATCGTCACACTATGATGCAGACATAAACAGATTACAACACACACCACCTGCAGGCAACACGACACCCAGATAGTATCGCCTACAGCCGACCTACAGTCCGCGTGTTGACCATCAAGCGTCACCTACAGAACCACATCTCTGTGAATCTATAGCTATCCATCATGACGCATCTCCTAGCCTCACTAGCCCTTCAAGCTGCCCTCACTTCAGGCGCTACACCAGCCCAGAAGACATCTCTAACACAATATCATCGGTGATGCCAAATCTCGGAAACTCGGCTTTGTCGACCTTGTGGAAGCAGAGTCCAGACAAGCTTGTTGCCAATGTTGTCCTCCAGGGAGGGACCCCAAACACGAACTTCAATGTTCGCTTGATCCAGCTCAAAAATTGGAAGGCTGTTAAATGCGGTCCCTGCACCAGCGGAGGCGCGACGTTGACCACAGACAGTGACGGAAATGGGAATATGAATGTCCAGCGAGCAGTAAGCCCTGGGGCAAACGCCGCATGGGTCGATCTCAACAACCAGAACAAATGCGAGGATTTCTTTGATATTGGCCCGCTCACGTTTGGGTGATCGGACGGTTCTTTGGTGGCTACATTCCATTCTTCTCTTTTCTAGGGTTGATTCGGTGGTCGTGATCTATCCAGACATATGTATGATATTTACTGTGCTAACGCCTGATGGCTTTTCGCCCTCTGAATTTGTATTGCTCTTGTAGGAGTGTTCAGTCAGACATGCTTGATGAGAACATTCCACCGCTCGGTCGAAAGAATGCTGATCTGGCCGATCGTTCGCTCCAAGAGATCCTGATTTCTGTTAATACTACTAAGATATATCAGCATATGCCACGTGATCTGTGCTTATACACCGAGCGAATTTGCCCCACAGATGCCATATCAAACCTAGAACAACATGAAGAGAAAACAAACCAAAACTCATCACAAGCACTCTTGAGTAAGCGCAGGCTGCCTGAAAATATCTACGCGCGATACATATGCTGAATATTGGGCACGAGACTGATCACGGGACAAATGCGGAATAAGCTAGATGCTCAGTACAGGCAAAGATTGACAAATTAGGAGTTTGAGCCATGAGAATAAATGGTTATTCAGGTACGTTATGCACGATCCGCCATACTAAGAGTCTAGAATCAATTAGCTGACAAAGTATGCTTAGAATCAAATCGACCGATTTAAAGAGCCTAGATACTATTGTTGTGATATCCATCACATAAGCTATGCATGTCATCTTCGCGCCCTTCGGATGATCCGTCTTGGCAGCGGGGATATTCCCGACGCTGGGGTATTTCCGATCTATCTTCCATTCCCGATCGCTGCAACTCCATCCAGATAAGAACTGCCACATCTGCACATTCCCCAAGAACCTCAATGCTAAGAACAGCCCTTGCTTCTTTTCGTCATCTGCCTCCATCTACTGCAGCAAAAAACATCACAATGGGTTCCAACGCCGCACGAACATTCCTTGCCTACCAGCATGACGCGAAACTCCACACGCTTGACACCACCGTAACAGCCGTGTTGCCCTTCTCTGCCCTCGAGGAATCCAACCGCCTCCTCTTTAAGCAAGGCACCGATGAAGACCACATTGTCATCTCAGAGCAGACTATCTTTCATCCGCAAGGGGGCGGCCAGCCCTCCGACGTGGGAACCATGAGCCACACGTCCACCGCCACCAAATTCACCGTCACAGCCGTGCGGATGGGCCAAGCCCCCCGCGACGGCCAAGTCCTCCACCTCGGCCGGTTCGAGGCAACCGTTGGCTTCGACGCAGTCTTCAAGGCCGGAGACTCGATCCAGCAGGCGATCGACGCCGAGAAGCGACTCCTGTACTCGCGGCTGCACACAGCGGGCCATGTCCTCGGCTCCGCGGTGCGCCATCTTCTCGAGAACGAGGTCGCGGACTTCGACGAGTTGAAAGCCTCGCATTTCCCCGATCTCGCGAACTGCGAGTTCCGAGGCCTGATCGACGGGAAGTGGAAGGAGCCCATCCAGGGCAAGGTGGATGAGTTTCTGGCGGCCAAGCTGCCGGTGCAGGTGGAGTGGTGGGATGAGGACGACTTTCGGACGAAGGGGCTGGAGAGGCTGATCCCCGATCGGGAGGCGCTGGGCGTCCCTGCTGGGGAGAAATTTCGGGTTGTCCACATTGTCGGGGCGGAGGTCTATCCGTGTGGCGGGACGCATGTCGAGACGACGGATCTTTGTGGGCCGGCGAAGGTGCGCAAGATTTCGAGGAGTAAGGGGATCTCGAAGATTAGCTATGCAGTGGAGTGACATGTTTGCATTCTGTCGGACGCGATAAATTTAGACGTATTGGATAATACATGCTTTGATTGATCATGATATTTCGTGCCCAAAAGACGTAACATTCGTTGGTCTATAACCGATTAACGCCAATACCGTATTGTCCACCAAGTTGGTACTACAACCTCACAAATAATTCTCAGGATTTCAGACCAGCGACCAGCCAGTCTCCAAGAGGCATGGTACTCTGCTCAAAGTCCTCCGGGGTCGTGGTCGTCCACGCCGCACTGCTCCCCGGTACCGCGTTGCCCCCTGTGAAGCCAATATACAGAACATTTGCCTCATTATGTCCACTATTTGCGTCCATCGATGACCCGAAGCACAACCTCGCCATCGAGAGCGATGCTTCCCCAGTCTTGCTGCCTCCGTTTCTATCGCCCCAGATACCGTAGTGCTAGCGCCATGCATTTAGGTTAATCAAGTAATTGAACCATTTGTTCAGGGAAAGAGGATCTTGCAAAAGGGGGGCACAGGTTTACCAATTGTCCACCACAAACAACAGCCATTACGCTCAGCGGTTGCACACCATACTGCTGCGGATCGAAGTTCGTGTTTCCGAAGACAACGTAGGGGTGGGCAAATGCGTTTAGATCGCCGATCCCGTACTGTCGGAGCTGATCGCGGAAGGTGGTCTGGCCCTGCTTGGAAGGGTCGTTGCGACAGCCTCCCGAGGTCGAAGAGACTCCGTCGCAGTCGACGTCCATGTCTCCATATCCGCCGGCGGAGCTGATGAACAACGCCCCGGCGATGTCGCCGCAGTACTGGGTGGGTTTCGAGGCACTGGTGCCGTCGTTGAAGCCGGAGGCAACGACGCTTTTACATCCTGCCCTGTGGTCGTGGTAGATTTGGATGAGATTTTCGGGAATCCGGTATGCCTGAATGTCGAATGCGAGTAGAAGGACCAGGATTGCGGAGGGGAACATTGTGAGTTATGTGAAGGTTTATAGATGGAGAAGAGGGGTGTGTTAGGACGACAATTCTTATGGCGTGGCATTTAAGACAGTGCAATTGACTCCATGGCAGACATGGTGATTCAATGATTTTCATGGCGCTCGGAGGCCTTGGGTGGGTATTATGATTGCACGGAGGTCTTGGACAAGTATCAGTGGTAGATCAGTTGGTTCAGCAAGCCACCTACCCATACCGTTGAGCAATTGAGTTCTGGGGTCGGAGTCTATGATATCTTGAACAACAAGATCAGTGAGTACTACGAACTAGATCTCGGACTATTTTTCTTCTGCGAGGGCAAAGGTCTCGGCTCGAGAACTGGACTTGTCAAGACAGCGCCATGCAAAGCTGCTCTGATTCATGAGGGACTTAGGAACAAAAATGTTGAACAAAAAAAAACATACAACAGAAGGGATTCGCTGGTGGTCACCCACCCAACTACTAACCTCCCGGCGTGTGGCTTAAGTACGGCTGAGCGGACGGGAAGCCCTGTTTTCCACACCCTGTGGTCGTATGTGCTTAAGACATTCGTAGCTTGAGATATATCGGCAGATGAAAAGCCTTAAAGTACGGGAGTGATGTTTAAAGTCATTTAACCGTGCAAGATAAACATACCATCGAATTCTCGAGATGGTCACTTGAACCAGACTCCTTGCTCTCAGCTGCACATAATGTTGATCATAGAGGAGATATAGCCATTGAGACCATGCTCAAAGTTCAAAGCTTATTATATTGTGCGAGATAAGTATGGAGACTGATATCATAGTCGGACTACACAGTATCTGACCAAGCCCGGCATGAAAGGCGTAAGGCCCATTGTATGGTGAGGTGGTAAAAATGAACGTCTGCCTGTGATTTGATTTGATGCTGACTACCTGCCGATTGAGGATTCACATCTGTGTTTTCTGCCACCGCCTACCTTTCTTGTTAGCGGAGCAGTGGGGACTTGAGAAAAGTTTGTGCAACACTGGGAAAAAATGGAGCATGAGATGAACCGGACATTGAGATACAATCTGGACAAAAAATGAAAGCCCAACGCGGGGGTTGAACCCGCAACCTTGAGATTAAGAGTCTCACGCTCTGCCGATTGAGCTAGCCGGGCTGCTTGTGATGGTTGCCTTTTCACTCTTCATCCTATGTTGCAACTTTCACCAATAATCCTGTCCTCCTCATGTCAAAGCACATCCTGCCCTTCACCTCTCTTCTCACTAGCCATGCACATTTATATCAATAAATGAAGTGGTAGAACATCAAGCAAATGCTCGTATATCAATGGTGGTGGCACGGGTCATCCTCGGGCTGCTTGTGTGGACTGCTAGGTAACTAACTACTAGTCGGCGCATTTGAAATATATTTCCTTCCTTTAGCACAATGTTTCCGTCTTCTTTAAATCGACAACCTCAATGGCCCGCACATCCCTCTGGCTCTACTGCCACCCCCATCATCTGCGAAGAGGAATCAGCTAGTGCTTATTGCCATGCACAAGGAGCACAATATTCGCAGACGGCCAAGGACCGGTAAGTAAAGAAGATTTCCCGAAGCAATTCGTAGAAAGCCCATGTAGGGTACAGTTTAAAGTTCCGAGCTAATTGCGGACTGTTCAACAGTAACTGAACACACATAACCCTTTCCACTCAAGGCAGACTGCATGTAGAAGATACCTAGCTGTCAGCCTCGCCTACATGCCGTGGGTTTAGTGTTATCGCCCATCCACAATGACAGGTGTCGTTGTGGCCGATCCTGGCAGAACTACTTCAGATGCGACCAAAAAAAGGTGCAATCTCAACACCGAGACTATTCGTTGCGCAACGTATCATCCAGAAGCGCTCGCTTCCTCACTTCTCACGAACCGCAATGCAGACCCCATTCTAACATAGTCTACCTTGCTGGAAATATGAGACACACCAAATTTTATCTCATACCAGTAGGTACTAAGTTACCTTCATACACTTTGCACGCAAATCGCGCAGGATGGACCAATCAGATGCCTCGGTTGCTGGGGAGCCTTCAAGGCTCATGCATGAAGGCAGGTTCACGATCGCTGTAAACCAGCCAGTGAAGCTCCGTGGATGGAAATGCAGAGCCAAGAGAGGAATTAAGGCAAACATTCAATTGTGAGTCATCCTTGTAATTACCTTATCGCTCCACCCATGGGGCGATCAGGACTGGGGTAGATATATAGGCTCATGCAGCCGTCGGCAATGCACTATCAGGCGACTTGTCACTGCTTGGCTGTTAGCGATGAGCCCGGGTGTTGATTACAAGGTAGACGACGGTTTGGACAGGAGGGATGCTTAATTGCGGCCATTTATCCCAATGATGGGGTAAATCAGATCGGCGTCACCGAGCCGTAGTTTAGAACCAGTGACCAAGCACAGAGCCAATAACACCTAGTGGTGGTGTCGTCTCGTCTCGCCCGATTAGCCTGGCTAATGCTGTGAAACTGGACAGAACATCATTGGGACTGGCTGTGAAGTCATTTGGCTCCCGGGGTGTGCCACCTCTTCCTCCTTCCCAGTCCTCGTATCAATCCCACATTTGTGAAACCCGTAACGTTGCTTCGTACCCGTACATCCCACCCTCAGCTCAACACACAGCGAGGGAAGGTCACCGTGAACATGGCTTGCTGTATGGTCTTGTAAATTGCAAGCAAGGCGGCTCTTCTGGTGTGCCTGTCCTGTCAGGGGCCGGCACCAGAGCAATCGCCGTGACACCTCGCCATCTCATCGCTATAAATCGTAACATCAGCGGAAACTTTGTAATTATTTGAGCTCATTTATCTGGCAGCTTCTCGAAGCCCGAGCACCCAAACCTCACATTTGTCTGACTACTATCATGGCCGACACCCAGGGTTTGCCTGGTGGGTGGCCTAGCATAGTGCCTTCGTACTTGTATACCCCGGAAGATGACCTCAGGGCGCTTACCATGGCAGCATCTTTCCAACCTGCGAGACGGGCAACCAACTCATTGCTCGGTACAAGTGCTCCTCCACAGCACCCAGATCCCACTGCTCAACCCTCCGAGCTCACGCCCACGCCAACGTACCTGAACACCTCGATGCAATGGACTATGGCCCCCCTCGGCACGGAGTTCTCCCCCGGCGCGGTGCCGTACCTTGTTGATCCATGGAGGCCCAGACGCACTCTTCGCAGCACACACTTGCCAGTGGCCCCAGCGGCCAAAATATCATCGCTATCCCGGCACCCGGCAAAGCTAGACAGAGAGTGCACGACCAAATCTCTCTTTCCCCTCCAACCAGGGCCAGCGGCAGCGGCAGCAGCACCCTCAAAGAAGCCATTCCTGAGCCCCCCACCTCTCGCATTTCCATCAGTAGTGATGGCTGTCTTCATAGCATCAATCGGCGCCGGCCCAGGTACCGTTGCCCTTTTTCAATCGTCTAATAATAAAAGAGACTCATGAGATCCGGTCGAAGCTGACTGGCCCCCTTTCTCTGACAGGAATAGCAGCACAAGCAGCAGCGTAACCGGCATCTGGTGTGACTGGAGGGATTGTCCCAGCCGCCCGGCCTTCAACAGAGAGGCTGACCTCTGGCGGCACATCCGGCACACCCACCTTGCACCTGGATCGTATGTATGTCTCTTCCCTGAATGCGGCCGCTTGTTCAACCGTCATGATAATTTGCTGGAGCATCGGCTACGCGTACGTCGATATTGCAATACCCGGCCGAACTGAATTGGTTTAGTCCAGATTTAATGGAGCGTGTGGCCTGGGCCTTGCTTGGGGTTCCACGGGGGTTTCGTTCTTTGATTTGGTTCTCGGCAGACTTTGGAAGCTCTCTCTTTATTCTGTTATGATTCCCAGATTGATGTGGAGACGTTTGATATCCTGTTCATCAGATTAATTCCATGATTCTATAATTCCATTGTTCCTGGACCACATGCCGTGATGAATCTCGAATGCCAACGGTTTGCAGTGTTTGTGACCAATCACCGCTGTCAAAATAGTCTTGCCCCTGATTCCCTTCACGAAGTAAAGTAGCACATAATGAATTCAATGTCAGAATAAGGCGACATGCTGGCTGCCGATTACTAGTACTAAATATTCTTACGCGGATAATATTACGGCACGGTCCGGATCAGCGCACCGCTTCGGGCAAAACCGTATTACGTTCCATGACCTGGGCAGGAACTCGAGAGCTAAAACGCTCGAGTCTCGCTATCTTGGGAAAAGGCCCTCTAGTAAGCCCCAATGAGAATATGATATCCCTCTCTCCTATCATGGCCCCTTCCTTGAACCATGTCGACCGGGAACCAATGGACAGCTCGAAGAGTTTTGAACATTCAGCAAGCCATCTCCTTTCACCCCCATGAGTATGTATGTACAATGGTCCGAAGAATATGTATGCAGAAATGAGAAACAACAGATGAAAGAGACAACACACGAATAGATTTCACAGCGAGCTCAAGCGACTCACACTGGAAGCCTTGCTCACGCGATGACCGTGGTTCGCCTTGTTGTCCGCGGCCAGCGTCTGGGCGAACTTGCTGCGCTCGCGGATCTGCGGGCCCTTCCAGTAAAAGACATAGATCGGAATGACGACCAGACAGGACAGGCAGGCCAGGATGGTGGTAGCGTACTCGACGTGGAACTTGTCGCCGATGTTGGTGTACATGGGGGTGGTGTACATGGCCGCGATACCGGCCAGCAGGTCACGGCAGAAGGCATTGCCGCCGGTAGCGGAGGCGGAGTACACACCGTACGCGGCGACCATGTAATCGACGGACGACAGATAGATGGCGTAGTTGGCGATGCCGACCATGGCCGAGAAGATCATGGAGACGATCCACGGCACCCCATACTCCTTGCCCAGCGAGGTCCAGGCGAACCCGAATAGTCCGATCGGCTCCAGCAGCGCCAGATACAGCAGCCACTTCAGCCGTCGCTCCGGGGGCAGCGCATCGTCGCCCTGCGTCTTGCGGATGTGCTCGTCGCGCCAGAACCAGGGGAAGTACGAGAAGTAGGCAATCACGTAGGCGACGTTGATTGGGATGACTGCCCACGCCTGGCCTAGCACCCCGAAGCCCCAGCCTTCCGAGTAGACAATGCTGAAGCCTTCCAGGAAGGTGAAGATGAGCGCGTCGGAGAATCCGGAGAGTAGCGACAGGCAGAGGACGATCGGCTCGCGCAGGAACATGTAGAATGGGCGCACCCAGATTTTTCCGGCCTCTTTGAGGGACACTCGAGGCTTTTTCAATTCGTTGGGGCCGTAGATGTTGGGGTCTTCGCCGGATTTGCGGCGGCGCTTGGCTTCGCGGTCGATGAGAATAGTGGATCGGCTCTCGGGCATGAAGAAGATGATGGCTTGGGTGACGGCACCGAAGATGAGCTGGATCCAGAAGAACCATTGCCAGTCCAGGACTGATGGGAGACAGTCAGTAAATGCTTATTCCTTGCTACAAGGCCAGACTAGGGTCATCACTTACAGCGCTCAATCGGACCACCAATGACTCCACCAATACTGGTTCCGATACACGATGACAAGACAATGAAAGCGAGAGGAAATTGCTGCGTGTCGGCCTCGTAAAGATCTGCAATCAAACCAAGAGTGACACTACCACCTGCAGTTGAGATTCCGCCCTATAATGATGTACATGTTAGTCGCCGAACTTTCGATTTCGAACGTCCGGGTGGGAGCCTACCAATCCACGAGCAACCAGAATCGTACCCCAGTTCGGGGCCAAAGCAGCCGGGATCTGCCAGATGTTGATAAGGAACATAGAAAGCTGGAGAATCGGCCACCGACCGAATTCCTCACTCCATGGCGCCCACAGCTCACAGCCAACGGAGTACGTGATCAGGTAGATCATTTGTCCCGTTCGGGCCTCCTGTTGGCCGATGCCAAAGGCCTTGGAAAGCGGCTTCACAGCATTGGGAAAGACGGAAGTGTTGAAGTTCATGGACACCTGGACACAGGCGATGGCCGCGAGGTACGTCCATTTCTTCCACCGGGGCCAACAGTAGGCCAGCTTATCGTAGCAGTCTTCTTCCTTCAATTCCCGCTTTCCGTTCGAACGCAGCGAGCCAACCTCGTCTTCAGCACCTCCATGCCAGGGGGGTACGATGCGGTCCCCGCTGTCCTGACTGTCGCTGCCCTTCTCCTTGTCGGAGAAAGTACTGCTCGGTGATTGTGATTCGGCCCGGCTTAAGGGGTCAGCCATTGTACGAGGCCTTTACTGTACTGTGCGAGAATTAGCGTATCGAGGGAGGATCTAGTAGCAAAATTTCATATCGAAGAGGGAAGTTCGGGGTTGAAAAAGAACCATGAACGTGGAGCGAGCGGGGCAGAGGAGGGGGAGGCGGGGAAGAAAGAATTTTTAAAGGTCGTGGGACTTTCCTAGAAGAGATGAACTATTTACTCCTGTACTCGAATGTGTACATTATGCTACGTCGATGCGTCGTACTATTAGGGCAATTGATGCGCATGCTATGCTGGACTGTGGAATGTTGTCATAGTTCGCCCCCTCGACCTCCACCGGTTGATTCCCGTTGGTCCCGATGGGGGGTCGGCACGGCCTCCACTTGGCGGTGCCGATCCACAATTCGGTCTCCGACCAACACAACACCACGGGCCAAGAAACGATTTCATTCTCGGCAATAGTAATTTGACTGAATGATGGCATGTGATGCGCTGGGCTGTGGACAAAACAATTTTTTCCTGGATAGATAATCTAATCCGCTTGGCTGAAGAGAAGTCTAGATGGTGAGCCAGGAAATGTGTGTGGTTGTCACGACACTTTTCCGGTTTTGTTGATGGTGTCATAGACACACGAGCGACACCGTAGCGTTGGACCGAGCTTCTGATGGAACTCTATGGCACTAGAGAACTGATAGGGAGCGAATGATCGTTCTGTGGAATTCAGACGGTCAGCAGGGGCAGGCCCACATGGAATGCTTATGATATCATGCTTGAATTCTCACCACCAGCTCCTACCCAGCATTCTGGAAAGGTTTGGCTTGCAAATTTCTTCTTCAACCCGCAAAGCAATAAGATATCGAAATAAAAAGCCAATAAAGTTCAAAGAATTGACACAATCCGATCAGTGACATATCATCGATCATCGAGCTTGTAATCGAGTTAGGGTTTCTCCATTCACAACACAGTCCAGGGTAGGACCGGAACCCGAAATCCGAACCGTGGTCATCCTACTGATGCGATCATGGAAAGTGACGTATCTGCCCTGGATGGTTGCGGTTAAAAGTTTTCCTCTATCAGGCACTTTCCCTGTGCTATGACGTTCTCGAGCTTCTCAGCAGCAAATTCGGTCGCAGTTTGCGGCTGTCGATAAGTGGATCGGCGGGTCGCGCATGCTTAGTGTCCCCTGGCGATCCACCCCTTGGTGGCGAGACCAGACCCTTCTCAGAACCTCTCCGTGCTTTAATGATTGGTTATGTAGCCTACATAAGCACTATGCATCCCTCCCAAGAGTCAACTGATACATAATATAATGCGTGTACAGAGTACAGAAGTTATACCCTTAGCTTTGGTTTGTACAACCGCGAAGCTTCCCGACGGATCAGTGCAGTATTTGTGTCGGTGTTCGCGCGCTATTAGGCTCAAGCGCAATGTTATTCTGAACAAAACATTGCTCTCTTGTTAGATCTTGCGACGATCTACAATATGTTGTAGTGGGGAAGAATCAATATCAGGTGGTGACTGTCAACGCGAGTCACTTGACTGGAACGCTAGGCTGATGCGATTGTGGTGAAACGGCTGGTGTCAAGATGCCATCTTCATCATTCTCGAAATCCCTGCTTGTTTAGCGGCAGCTAGAAAGGATTGGTGAGTGGTGCTCTCTGTAAAGTTAGTGCCGGACATATATGACCCAACGGGCTCCCGACCTAGGGTCACAACTTAATTGACTCCCTACGCAGTAATCCAGGTGCAGAGGCTTGTGTACGGGAAAATGTGGAAAGTATCCGTATAAAGGCTGAGCTGACAGCACAGAAGATAAGCAAATGTCTTTGCATATCTCAGCCACATCGCCCGGCTCACCCGAAGTGGTCTTCCTTTACGCCCATATTCAGAATACAGATTGGACCCGTTTGCTGAGACTCTGTCCCTGATGAGTGTAGGCTTGCACTTAACATCGACTGAAGGCCTTGCCGATTGACTGGCCTCAATAACTGATAAGGACCTGCACTGATCACGTATTTCTCGAGTAGGACCTAGTCCGGAGGGGAAAATTGGTAGACCGGGCCAGGCCTGCCTCGCCGGCTGATCTATGCATCCTGCCCCACACCGACTCCTACAGGCAGATACCCGGGCAACATCAGGTGATACCTGGTATCATGACCAGATGAACAGCACAATGCTCAATATGATCTAGAATAACAATGCTCGTACGCATAGGGTCCTTGAAGATCTTAGTTATGAATCGCTTTATGAGGCCTCGTAGTCTCCTCCATGTATACTCGGCACTAAGATACTTAGTAGCCCATAACTTCTCTGCCTGAGGCACCTATGGCTTTTTTTTTTAGCCCAGGCTCGACGGCTTGTGCGATAGGCTGAAGGGGAAAAGTATGACTGATCGTGGATGTATTGATGGCGATGCAGCCTGGGTAGCCAGACTGCTCACCGCTGACCTCAGTGGTTCTTAGCTACCTAGTTCTCGGCCTGTAGATAGCCTCACGTAGCTGAATTCATCGATCACCCACGTTCCCCGACATAGTGATTGGTCATATCATTATGCCTGAGGCATTCGGCATGGTAGGCATCGATATCCAATCAAGTATCACTGCCTCAGGCTGAGATGGGAGTCATCTGTCGGTGCCACTTCGGATGCAAGGGGCGCTCTGTCAACGATCGTGGGAGCAAGTCCAAACAAGCAAAATGGATGTGTATTCATGATAGCATTTGAGACTGCTTATCATCGTGCGAATCCATATCTGGTCAAGTTATTGCATGGGTCAGTAAAATGACTATGACATCCCCAAGCCACTGTTCAGATTTGGCTCTCCTTAGCTCGACTTTGTTCATTCGGCCGCTGTATGCTTATAGGCATACACTACGTAACAGTTTAGAAAACAGTTGCAAGTACCGTAAAGGTCACAATTGCAGGAGTTTGATCAAGAATATAATGATTATTGGTTTCATACAAAACACATAATACGTTTGGAGTTTTAAAGATACACCATATTAATACATACATGCATTGCACGCTTCATCTTTCGGGGTCTTTGAGTACTCGTCCCCCCCAAAGACTCACCAAGATCAGAGCCTAGACATGGGTGAACTCTTCCATGCCAATGATTTCCTCATGTTTTCTCCAAAGCCGGAGAGGGACTGTTTTATCATTCTATCGACCATTCCCAGGTCTGGAAGTCCCGTGCTTTTTTCGAATATGAGCTTTCAGGTTATCCGGCCTTTTGTATTTACGGTTGCAGCCTCGTTCTTGGCACATGTAGAACTTAGGAGGCAAGGTGTGCATGTCCTGGATGTGTCTGTCTATATTCCATCCTCGTCGACTTGTGGTGGTGTATTCGCAGTGCGGGCATTTTGGAAGCGCGCTATCTATGCTGCTTTTCATGAATGGTCAGTTGAAGAACATCGGAGAGGCTATACAATGTCGGACTCACCTGCGATCCTGCTCCGCAATTGCAGTCTGACCGCTGTCGCAAGTGTTCGCTGCTGAAGTGTCCTCATATTGAAGTCCATGAAAGGGTTGAGCAGAAGTTATCTGACCGGTCGCTGTTGCTGTCTGCGCGTTGTAGCCAGAAGTGCCTTCACTTGGGTACGAGGCTCCTTGTGAATTCTTCATAAAGCTGTCCATGGATCGCATAGTTTCGGTCTCAACTCCCAAACACTCCGCACTCCATTGCCAGTTAAGGCTGGTGAGCCGAGGGTCAATTGTTGCTGCTTGATTGAATATATCATTATCCAATACTTCCCCACACAAAAACTGCTCGTCCAGTCTCGAGGTTTCGAGGGAACCATTGGGATTATATGTATCGATGGATAGCGAACTTGAGGAAACAAAGGGGGTCGGATTCATGTCAAGCAAGGTTGTATCTGCCTGGGTTCAAACCGTATTCAGCCAAGCTAGACACCCCTTCACCGAATAGGTTTTAGGCTTTGCGTAATGTGACAATAGAACTGTGCTTTGAATAAAGGAGATCGAAAGCTTGCGAAACTTATAGGAGTATATACAAGCAGATTTGGGGACAAGCCTTATAAAGAACACAAGGCAAGATGTTCGTGGATGCGTTGTGGCTCTAGTAGGAGGCACATTTCCCCTCCTTCATCTTTGAAAGAATTTCCTCCGACAGAACTTCTTATTGCCTACGATCTATCAAATTGAAGCTACGGCTTAACAAGTTAGTACAGGCAGGGATTCGAAGACTAGGCTGTCAGGTCCAAGCGTTGTGGCCGTTGTCGTAGTGACGTTCTCTACCTACGGCTAGGAGTCTACAGACTTCCAGTATGCTAGAAGGCGAAATGTCATGGTGTGAATTTTCCTACTCATTCTTTCCTTATCTCACCCATAGCCTTGCCCCATACCGCAATAATACTTGTGATGAATACCATACATTACCTTGGAAGATCTTGAGGATAGTAGAACTGAACTTGAAATCTTGAATACCTATGACTGATCGATTGAGGAAAACTGAGTACACATAGGAAACCTGCGAGTGTAAAAGAAATATTACGAGGGTGACTGTCATCATAGGTGGCTGAGGGATAGCCCCTATGATCCTGCTTTCTTTGTCTGTCACAAAGGGTATTCTATCAAAGCTCTGTCGAATCCTCAATCCAGGTACCGTTTCAATAAGCGAGTGGAGCTACCCTGCCCAGCGGCTCGACGGGAACTAGAACCACTTCCTAAGGAACGGACGACTCCCACCAAGACTGGGTGACTGGGTCAAGTCTCTACGGGCATGGAATCACCCAGCTTCCCAACCCTTTGACCTTCGAGTTCCCAACCCTTCCATCCTTTCGATTCCGGCCAAATCTCTTGAGGCTACCGAGCGCCCCGATCACTGGAGACAGGTTGAATGCGACGCCAATGCACTCCTTCACGAGCTTCTCATAGTCACTTGACACAGCCACTTGGGGACAAGGCGCCTACCGCCAGCTTCCAAGGAGTTTCCTCGTGGACGGTGGGGCACCTGTAGAGCCTGGCTTCTACGTTCCCAAAGGCCCAATCAGGTCCTTGTTTTGCCACCCATGACCTACACGTAGGCGAGTGACGGTCACCAAATCTATTTGATCTACGACAAGTGGAGTGGGAAGAGGTAATCAATGTAGTAGAGTACAGCGAAGCACTGCCTGGTGTAGTTACTCGCCAAAATATCTGGCTTTTGCAATAGATCCACCTCTTCAATATACCCTTTTGGGAACAGTTGGTTAGAGAAAGAACCCGAACTCGAGTAATTGCGTGGAGTGGCTGGCTCAATTTACACCAGCTGGAGTCGAGTGTTCCTGACTGATAGGTAAATTGACTTTTAGGTCTCCAAAGTTAGATTATGTTCCGCGTACCCCGGGAGTGACAAGTCACACTCGGGCATCCAGTAATACCAGCGGAAAGGAGCCGCATACAGGGGCACGTTCCGGCCATGGGAAGCCGACTTGGAAGATGTAAAAAGAAAAGAAGAAAAGAAAGACTTCTAAGGCAAGCGCTGCGTATCCAGGCCTGTCTTCTACTTCGCCTAGAACTATGGCTAAGTCTAGAGGGGCCCTGAAACAGTGGCGGGCACTAATAGCCCTGAGCATCATCCGCCAAGTGGGAGCTTCGACATTGATTGGTCAATGCACTTGGCCTCCTTCATATCAAGCCAGGCGATCCATATCTTACGCGCGGTGAGGAGAACCTTTCAAGAATATTTAAGTCCCCAACGGGCCCTGAACTCGTATGTACAGATCCATCTTGGGTAATCGTCCAGTCCTTAGGTTTTCTCACTCCGCACAAGCGGTGTGACGATGCACCTGTTGTCTTGTTCAATCGTAGCAAGAGCACAGGTCAGACACAACAAAACTCTTGTCATTTGTCTTTGCCATCTTTGCCAAAACGATTTCGCTAACAGATTCTAGCCCTCTACGGTTCTTAGCACGAGAGAGGTCTCCGCCCACTACGCTGGGCTGAGCAGGGGAAACAGATCACCACAGTTCGCACCCTGCCTCGTCGCGATCTCTCCTTGAGCCACTGGCCCGACTAAATCTGATGTCGAAGAAGTCAATCTCGCACAGATCTTGCTCGAGAGTCAAGTGGAATGATTTTTTAGGTCTTGTCGCTCACTGTTGGAGTCAAGGGCGACATTTTGCTAGCACAAGCTCCGAGAAACGGTCGCTGCTCAGCGAGACTTCATACCAATAAATAATAAATGCAACAGGAATCAAAGAGCGTCGAGCAATCCATGACCGTTCGGACACGAGCCCATTCTAGGTGAAATGTTTTGTGAGTATTTTGCTCTGCTGCCCAGTGGTGACTGAGAGTCACCCGCGGCTAAAGGTGTGCTGACGTGCTTTCTCAGAAAAAGCACTCATCATCCAATTGACGCCTTAGTAAGCCTCACACTTACTTCGGTATCGGAAAAGAAGGGGGCTGGGCTCTAAGCCGCCCTGGGCTAGTGGACTGTGTAGTTCGCGAAGAAAAGAGTTCTCTGCACTTGGTATATGCAATGAGCAATGTTTACTTTTGTACTTTCCCTGAGTCCTGCCACGGACAATCAATCCGACCGGCGAACAAAGGTACTGTACAGTACAGTACCACACGTTCGCAAGGTAGAGGCGGTGGGCTCAGACTCCAGGAGACGAACGTACGGCCCTGGATCGGCTAATAGCGGCGGTTCGTCGGCGCGGCACGGATGGAACTCCCCGGCCCGCTCCCCCCGTTACCCCCCCGTGTCACCCATATTAATGTCCGGCTGTACTCCGTAGCCTTATCTTCAAGAAAACGCGCCCGCGATCGCAAACTACGGATCGACTCAGCTTTGTCTCCCACGATGCTGTGAGTTGACGTCCTCCTTCAATCCCGACGACGTGGGGTACTTTTTTGACGCCTCGACCCGTCCTTTTTATCCTATTCAATGCTTTGGCTGTCCTGGAGAAATCGCCCTGATTTATATCCTTACATGCTCTAAGTCGTACAGTACTGTATGTACATGGGTACAGAACCTTCCCGGTCCTTTCAAGCCAACTTGATCCTTCCAAAATCACTGATCAGTATAATTCCCCGTCTGCACACGGTACGACAGAAAATATCACAGGCAAGATTCACGCATGTCCACCGTTTATGCAAGCACACGCAACTAGTTACCTTGACTCCTACTTGCCTTTACCCCCCGAGTACCCAACAACTCTCAACTGGGAGAGCGAAATACGAGCCCGTAAAAATCGACAGAGGAAAAGGAAGATAGTCCCCCCCCCCCCCAAAAAACCAACCAAACTATACCAAGAGGCTTGAGCGCTACGCTATCTGGCTCTGAGCGCCCGTTTCACAGTCTGAGGGACATGCCTTCGATACTCGAGGAAGGGCCACTAGCGAGTGCTCTGATAGCCGTGCACGCGCAGCGCGTGCTCAGTTAGATTATCATTGCGATTGAAGGACCGACCGCACCCATCTATCAAGCAAACATGCGAGCCAGGCGACAAATGGAGATGCTTGATGTGCCGCCATAGATCGGCGGGTCGATTGAATGTCGGGCGGGTGTCGCAACCCGCCCAGTTGCACTGGAAGATGCGGGCCGTTGACGCCGATCTGTTTTTTTTTTTTCTCTTCCGATTAACTCTGGAAGACAAATAGGGGGCTTGGGAAACGAGGGAGTAATACTGTACCTATCGCGACGCTTCGTGGCGGGCCCTGCGGGGGTAGTATTCCTGCTACGAGAGGGTACCAGTGTCTGTCCGCTAGACAACTGTTGACATGGAACATGTGCGGAGGAGGGGTCATGCTGTTGGCGAACGCTGCTGTCTAGAGGTGGAAGCGGTTTTGGATCGAGACCGGGAGTCGAGCTATCTATAGATGGTAGGGTACTTGCTGGGACAGTGCTGGTCGGGTCAAAGTGCTGTCCCGCCAGCGAGGAATCTTTTGGGCTAGGGATTGGAATGAACAGAGGGTGTTGCTGGGTTCCGAGTTGTGAATCGGTGTATGGCATGTGCAGATGAGCCATGGGGTCTGAGTCTTGCATAAGATGGAGATCGGACAGATGCTGTCTCTCGCCAAGGATGTCATCCCAGCCTAGCATTTCTTCTTCAAACTGAGGGTGATGAATATAGGGCATTGGAGCCACACCATTCGGGAAACCTGAAGCATGAGACATTTCGAAGATGGAAAGAAAGGACTCGATGCTAATGTTGCCCGAGGTCATGTATGAGGAAGAAAAAAAAACGATGGCTATCGGGGGCAATTGGGACAAACGATGACGGAGAGCAGCGTTTTTATATTCGGATGAGAATGTTTGGGAGACTACCTAGTCGACTTAATGCCGTCGCTGTTACGCATCTATGAACCGCCAGAAATTTAGGAAGTCAACCTCAGGGTGAGCCGACGATAGACTCAGCTGTAGCTTGCAGCCTGGTGAGTTGAAGTTGCGGTGCCGTTTTCACGGCAGCCTTCGTCATTGGTCGCTCCCTCTGGTGAGAAGAAGCCACACCGACTTCCGTCGAGGTCATTTCACCGCATGACAGTTCTTGGGAGCCGATAGGCTGGAGGAGTAATACGTGCCTCATACCATGTGTAGTATTTTTGCCTCCCGTCACTTGAGATCCGACCAGAGGTCAATAATGCAGGCTGCCGGGGCTTCCCCCTATGCAAAGGTACAGTACAGTATCTGCATTAGTAGTTTTCTACCAGTTCATTTGTTTCAACACATGTATGCCGATGGTATTGTTCCCAGGTGGCTTGAAGTTCTCAGGCACGTATCATTTCGGCACATCAGGACCGCCCATTCGCGGGCTCTACAACAGGGCGTTAGTAGTTTTCATTCCCTGTATGGACGGACCATCTATATATAGTGTATAGTGATCGTAGGTAACATGTAGATACCCAACAGCTATCGCTGATTTTCTTGAGCTTGGGCGCGATGTATGCCTACCGCAGCATATAGGGAACGGAACGGATAACAGCAAGATCAACCGTGACGTGGTTCTGAACCGATGGAACGGGTGTCGGGAGCTAATACTCTGTACGTAGATTCAATCTTATCAATGGTCGCAACAGACTTTCACTGTTCTACAAATCGCCCGGGCCGCCAGTCTGCAACCCTCGCCTCAGTATTGCCTGTTGCCTCGGACATGTCGTCATAGGGCACCGATTTCGGAGTCCATGCTTCTAGACTTGAAATGGTTTAGTAACAGTGACTTCAATGGTGATGCCACAAGCCCTCGCCGGGGAGGGGTGGGCTCTCGAATCAAAAGATACCCACTAACGTATAGACTGCTGGTGGTTTATCTTTAGTCTGTGTCTGAGGTCGTATTGTTGAACGACTGACCAAATAACGAATGTTGGACATGCAGAAGGAACCAAAGAAGTCAGTTTGTTATGTCCGCCTGAGCCCAGGCGTCGCCGTAAAGTATTTGAAAGGACTGTATGAGTCGGGTCATCGGAACTTGATCGTCCATAGCAATCAAACGAACGACATTTTCGGCAATTTGGCACGGACCACTTGCCTCCCCGCGGCAGCACAGCACAGCCACTGCACGTTGGCGTCGGTCCTCCTATGGCCATGTGCCAGGCGGGCGCCGAGGGGTAAGTTACCTACTACGGAGTAACTACTACAGGTATGTAAGCAATAAACGGAAGGCTCAGCCACCCCCTCCCTGAAGCGGTTAACGCGATTCGTCCTCGGTTGTCACTTTAGTACTTAGACCCTGCGCTGTGAATGTTAGTTTAGCACCATCTCAGGCTTTGCTATTCTCTGATGCGTCTTCATCAAGCATACAAGTATTTTCAGCTGCTACCTGAAGGGTTTGAACTGGATTAACGACATATAATGTCTTCAGTATTAGATTCCACGGTGGCTACCTCGACTTCGAAACTATGCAAGCACGATTATCCCCAGCACGAAGACCACGCTTGACCCCACCCACCAAATTTACTCAATCAACACCCGCAACTTCTGCGCCCACGTCTCCCGCGGCCGAGGCGGCCGCTCCGCCTCCAGAATCTCCTGCAACCCGGACACCAAATCGACCTCGGAGGGCTTCCAGGCCCACGGATCGGACCGAAAGACCACGCGATGGCCGACATACAGCAGCACGAACGCCGGGATGCCGATGTACGCGGTGAAGAAGTTACTGGCGGACCACTCGGACGGAAAGAAGCAGGTGAAGCCGTTGATGAGCATCAGAAACACGGAGCCGACGAGCCCGACCCACATGCCGTAGGGCTGCAGGCGCGAGGCGTAGGGCTTCTCGACGCCCTGGGCCCTGATGGCCTTATCGAACCGGAAGTACACGATGCTACAGCAGATCCAGGAGATGAAGCCGGAGGTGTTGGTGAAGTTGATGAGCCAGTTGAAGACGGTGTAGCTGCCGCTGCCGACGGCCATGTAGGCCAGCAGCGCGAACAGGGCGGAGACGCTGACGGCGAGGTAGGGCACGCCCCAGCGGTTGCAGGTCTTGAAGATGGTCGGGGCGTTGCCGGCGACGGCGAGCGAGTACAGCGAGCGCGACGACATGTACAGGAACGAGTTGCCGGCGGACCAGGCCGACGTCAGGATGGCGGCGTTGACGATGCTGTCCAGCACGGGGATGCCGGCGTTCGAGATCGCGACGACCCACGGCGACGAGCTGGCGTCAGTGCCGGTGCCGTTGATCAGCTGTGGGGCGTTGGACGAGCAGATCACCCCGATGGCGAGCGCCCCCAGGATGTAGAAGATGACCAGCCGGTAGATGTAGCGTCGCGCGGCTTTGGGGAGGTTGCGCCGCGGCGACTCCATCTCGCCGCCGCTGATGACGATGAGCTCGGGCGCGAAGATGAACGCGATCGCCGATTTGACAACGCACTGCAGCAGCCCGACGAAGCGGCCGGCGTCCCCGTGCACGAGATAGGTGTTCATCGCGCCGGGGTCCTTCCAGTAGTGGAACCCCAGGCGCTGACGGTTGGGCCCGCCGCCCCAGAAGAGGATGAACGCCAGCAGCAGGAGGCCGACCAGCGTGATGATCTTGATGCCCGCGAACCAGAATTCCGTCTCCCCGTAGAAGCGCACGGGCAGGAAGTTCAAGAGGACGATCACCACCAGCATGACCGTGATCCAGACGGCGAGGTTGACGTTCGGGTGCCAGTAGTCGATGACCATGGAGGCGGCGACGATCTCGTACGGCACCAGGATCCCCAGACTGTACCAGTATAAATAGCCCATGGCGAAGCCCAGACTGCGCGACACGTAGCGGACGGAGTGGTGGGCCATGGTTGCGCCGTGGGTCGGGAGATAGGCCCCGACCTCCCCGAGGCCGGTGACGAGCGCGTAGACGAGCCCCGAGATGAAAATGTATCCTAGCAACAGCGATAGCGGACCTCCGATGTGGAGCGCTTGTCCTGATCCGACGAAGAGGCCGGTGCCGATTGTACCTCCTACAAGTCACAGAAGGTCAGCTTGATAGTGCACTACTGTGGTCGTGGCAGCAGAACAGACCTAGCGCCATGAGCTGGACATGGCGGCTCTTGAGGCCACGCTGGGTGGGCTTGTAGCGCTCATCGAACAACTCGCGCTCGATCATCGTGCCGGGCTTGACATCCATGGTCGCAACTTCGGGGTCAGGACGCGAGGGGGTAACCCCCGAGGATTTTTCATGGGTGGCCATGATGATGGCGGACACGGTGGATGGGAGCAGAGAGAAATCAGGGGTGAGATGGTTACTTGTAAAGAAGACAACTGGGGGAAATCCGGTGGACGTGCATTTCGAGTGACGAAGAAATCACGTCGTGCGACCTCACCGATTATAAGCGTCAGATCGTAAGTTTTCTCCGGACCATAAACTGAGCCGTCAGCCAACCTTGGCAACAGTGAGTTTGTGAGAGTGTGACGAGTGAGATGAATCCCCTCAATCAGGTCGAATGTAACACAGAGAGAGGCGTGGAAGATTAACCGATAAGAAGATGCGGGGAAGCCCAATCGGTCACTGCGTTGGCTTGTGAGAGGTGGTGAGAGAATGCGCCACAGTCATCACACTAACCGACTTCGGCGTCGCTTATCTTCCTGCTTCCTGACAAGGACTCCATCCTCAAAACGTTAATCGTCAAAGCAGACAATTCCAAGGCGGGCTTCTGAAAGGCTGAATCCCTCCGTCGCATGGCTAGCGCTGCCCTGCCCAATCCGCATCCCCTACTAGCCCGCCCGTCCGCGTATCTGGTCTAGCATGTCGCTGCGCATCTTATCTGTTTCTAGCCCTCCCTCTCCAGGGTCTAAGTACCCCTGATCCAGTGGCTGGCCGTTTAAAAAGCCACTTGACCGGTCCGACGACCGGGCCGGGGTAACATATCTGGCATTTGCAGCCTCAACTTGAGTGAATTGAGGACTCACGAGATGGTTAAGCGAGATGACATACTTCTTGGCGGGCTTGCTTGGAGTGAATATCGGCAAATCGCTAACCTCGGTTGGATCAAATCAGCTGGAAGTCCCAGAGACTCGGCCAATGCACAGTGGATGATTATAAGCGGTCGCTCCAAAAAAGACCAAAAACCATAATAGGCAACAATCAATTCGTCAATGGTCATTAGTCTTATATTGTATCGCTGGTCCAGACGACACCAAAAATCCAGAGTATCAAATAGGGTATCGTCAACAAGTCAATAATGCTCCTTACGGTTAGGAATCCCTCCCCCACCCACCAATGTGGTCCCAAGACACCATAACCACGCGACGTTGGCTCCCTTCCGCCCCCAGCTGCCGCAGCAGATCCATCTCGTGTGCACTCAGCATCTTTCCATTCCTCCGTCGCTCCCACGCCGCCTGCGTGACGATGGGTGCCAGCTCCTTCGCGATAGCCGCCTCATCGCGATGACACGCATAGACCGTCTGCGACCCCCGGACGCGGGAGAAGTACCACACTGCGCGGACGACGTCGTAGCGATGCTCGAGGAACCAAATGACGGGCCAGGTGATGATCCAGAGCTGCAGGATGATGCAGAACCAGTAGGCGAAGGAGTTGTTGCGCAGCTCATTGATCCAGTGCGGCGAGTAGATCGTCAGCTCCTGATTGGCGAGCGTGATGGAGATATCGATATTGCCGTGATAGTTGAGACTGCGGAGGTGGGAGATAAGGAGGGAGCGGAGGGTGGCCACGTCGAAGCCGACAATGCTCCTCGTGAAGCGAAAGCTTAACGCTCAGATTAATACAAGGCTGAACCACCCAGCAAACAGGAAGGGAGGGGGGAGACATACGACTTGACCGGCCCGGGATCCAGACAGAACCGGTCACACCAGCCCATCAATCCAGGTTCCTCGCCTTCTTCGCCCACCAGACCCACAATCTCCCCCTCGGACGCATCCTCCACATGTCCTCCGCCAGATCGACGCGGGTGACCGGCCCAGGTCTCCGACCGGGACCGACCCCCGCGATACGCCTTCTGCCCGTCCCCATCGCGGACCACACTGCACACCCGCCAGCCATCGCGATCCTCTGCGTCGTTTGCAACCGCGTCGACCTCGTCTTCGTAGTCGGGCACCGCGTCGTAGTCGCGGACCATGTACTTGTAGAGATCGATCTTGAAGTCGAAGTCGACGACCGTCTCGTTCCGCGTGCTCTTGTTGTTGCTGGTGCTGTCGGTGCTAGTGGACTCCTCGCGGGTCTCGGTGTGGGAGCCGCGGACGGTCAGATACGGTCGCGGAGGGGTCCGGGCTTGGCGCACGATCAACGCGTGTAGGGCGGACGGGTCTTCGCTGAGGGCGGGGTCCAGCATGACGCTGCGCTTGTCTTCCGCGTCGGAGGTGGCTTGATTGGAGCTGGGTCGAGGGACAGGAGAAGGAGGGGGAGGTAGGTTGGTCGTAGAGGGCGCCGAAGGCTGCGGTAGTTGAGGGGTGACCGGCCCAGCGGCGATGGTCTCTTCGTACGACGGGGGTGGAGCGGTGGGGTTGCCCATTTTGTGGGAGGGGCAAAAGTAGGCTTTGATGAATACTATCGGGGTGTTGCGGAGGATATGGCTAGCATGTTAAGTGTCGTTGTTGCAAAGAGGACACATAATGCGCAGTAGTTACAAGAAGTAACGTTAGAAGTGTAGCCTCGAGAAACGAGGCGGAGTTGCTGTGGCGGTTCCGCCTTGGCGCTTCCCGCCCTATAAATAAACTACCTTAAGGTGTAGTACCATCCCCAGGCACCCACGAAAACCACCACTACCAGCTATCTTTGCCTCTTACACGTGGAGATATCCCAAACGATCAGAATCACTGGCTAAACATTCTAATATTCAATCTCTCCACCGCAGTCCTTTGCTAGTCCACTACTAGGATACTTGTTCCTTCCACACCAACAGTCTATGCCGACTGCGCCTTGATGGCCGCCACGTGATCCGTCACCAGGCACGTGAAGTCGCTAGTGTTATAGTAGAAGGTGTTCCCATCGTTGGGGGACTCGCCCCAGCTAAAGGTGGTGCCATACTGCCAGTACAGATCGGCGGAGATCCCCGTCGCGTTTCCGGCCGTCTGCTGCCAGGGGCTCTCCACAGCGCAGTGGTTGGAGGTCACTCCATACTCTTCCAGCAGGCACGGCTTACCCGCCGCCTTGCAGGCCGCCGCGTGGGCGGTGATCCAGCCGTTGCCCCAGTCGTAGGAGGTGCCCCCTGCCAACAACGTTAGTATCACTGACTTTTTATTCAGCATGTCAAGACAACATACAGCTATCCGGGTACAGATGCAGAGTACCGAAGTCGATAGTCGAGATGCCCAGATTCTTGGTGAAGTTCAATCCCTCGCCGTAGGTGTAGGGGTAGCTGCCGTCGGAGTCGACATCGAGACCGAAGCCCTCTGTTGGATGAAAACCGTTAGCGTCTGATGGAGAAACAGGATATGGTCTAGGTCAACCGACCATCACCGATTGTGACCAAGTGCTTCGAATCCAGCGACTTGATATACTTGGACGTGTCGGAGATCCAGTTGTACAGGACCGAGGTATCGCAGCCGTTGCAGCGGGGCTCGTTGGCCAGCTCCCAGGCGAAGATGGCGGCGGAGCTGCTGTAGCGCGAGACGACCGCCTTGATGTAGTTCTTGTAGGCGGCCTGGATGGCGGTGTTGGTGTAGAAGTCGGTCTGCGCCGCGGCGCCGTAGGCCGTCACGTAGGCCTGCATGCCGCCGTAGTCGGTCCACTCGTTGACGAAGTTGATGATCAGCTTGACGCCGTACTTCTCGGCCGAGGTCACCACGTAGTCGAGGCGCTGGAGCCCGTCCGCGCCCGTGTTGATGGTCGAGGTCCCGTTCGCGTGCAGCTGGTACCACACCGTCCCGTCGGCGGGCTTGGTGTTGACGTCGTTGAACCCCCACACCCGCAGGATCTTGAGGTCGGACGCCGCCAGCTGGCTCATGACGAGGTCCACGTCGTCGTTGTTGGTCAGGAACCCGATCCAGTACGAGTTGGTGCCGGCGAAGTAGCCCGTCTTGCCGTCGATCGTGAAGTGCAGCCCCGAGGTGCTGGGGAAGGCGGTGGTGGCCGCGTTGTGGTTCGGCGTCCGCGGAAGAGCCGTCGCCAGCGCCAGGCTGGCGAGACTGAGGAGCATGTGAGAAAGCTTCATCGTGGTGGTGTGGTGTTGTCGAGTCGCCTGGCTCTAACTATCATACTTGCCTCCTGCGCCAACCTGCCTCTTCTTATAGAACCGTGATTCGGGGCCATTGCGATCGGACCATCCTCCGTTTCTAAAATGAAGAGCTCCTCGAGGATCGAGGGGAGTCTGTTTCGTACAGGGAAGGAAATCCACTTGATATCCGCTTGTAGCACGGAGAGACGGTGATCGTCAGGGCATTTAATCAATTCGGCTCTGCTGGCGTTTTGTCCGTGCTGGTTTGGGAATGGCGGATCGGCTGGTGTTTCGGAGGCCGTGAGTGGTGGAGGGTCTGTTCCACTTTACCCGCGACAAGTCATCGCTTGAATTAGCCACATTTTAGACTGACATGCATTGACGCATGGCTTCTGGGGAAGACGATTGAGTTGTTTAGTGGTTGCGGGGTTGAGGGGCAGAGTCATCTGCCTGGACGGTCGGGCCGTATGCCGTGCAGAAATTGCTTTCTACACAGTATTTTCACAGCATTTTCATAGCAAGATCACACCATCACGAAGGATAACAATCATATGCCTCAAGGGGTAGCAGTGGGTCTTCAATGTCAAACTTGAAACCAATCTTGGCAGGGTGAGCATAGGTTCCAGACACTTCCCGCGTTTGCGCAGGAACAGACCTATACAAGAGCAAGACTTAAGACATGGACTAGTAGCCAGTTCGAATATCTAGTTCTCTGGTCTCACTTTGAATCAAAGCTGGTACCTATTCATGAAAGCCGGCATGTACCGGGCATTGACCCGGTAATGATTGACATCAGAGACTTGGTGACTTCACTTAACTCAACCTCCGTCACTAAATGAGCCCTGTCAAAGGGTGTACGCTGGATTGCACTACACCTGCCACTGGTCGTCTCCCGCGCGAAGCGATCCCGAATAAACCCCAGCCACTCAGGAGAACTCGCCGTCAAGACATCGGTGTGGTCCATGTCCGCATAGAGGCTCATATGCACCTTATTCCCCGATAGACAACTCGCGTTGAACGACCGAACGGTAATCTCCGGCAGGACGGCGGTGTCATTCAATCCTTGAACGATGAGCATCGGTGTTTCCGCAGTACCTCCATTAGCAGGGGCCGTTGCGTTCTGCCACGCCTGAAACGGGGCATTGTTCACGAGTGCACTCGTGTTTGTAATAATCTCTGGCGGTGTCAGGCTGTACCCCAGCGACATGATGCTATAGTAGCATGCCTGCGCGAGCTCAGCGATCTGGACGCGCTGGAGGAAGGTGGCGGAGAAGAAGGAGAGGTCAATCCCGGGGATGACGCGCTTGAGCGCGAGCGGCAGCCAGAGGGCTTCTTAGGTGACATCGTAGCTTGCATAGCTGCTGCCTGTCAGAATGGTCTCAGCCGTGAGCACTGTCATATCGTAGATCCTTCTGGCGGGTGCTAAAGCCACGGTGCCCAGGTATTCTCCCGCGCCGTGGGTTTTGACCAGCTCACTCTTTGAAAGCTTCCAAACAGCACCGCCTCCCTGACTATGGCCCACACTCATACATTCCGAGGTGAAGGTATGGGGTAACGCCTTGCACGCGGCGACCATGGCGTAGTAGAGGTCACTGGCATGGGCAGGGAATGAGAGGTATTTGTGGAGGGTGGCATTGTTTCCGAGACCCGCGTAGTCTGGCACGACGACCGCGTACCCGTCCTCAATCAGGAGACTCCAGCTGTGGTAGTCGTAGAGATCTGTGGTGGTGGTGGGAGGACAGCCGGCGAAGACTCCAATGGTGCCGGGAAACTTGGGTCGGGTCGGAACGAAGTATATGGCATCCCGAAGAATTCGATTGCGGGAATGAGGGTGCCGTGCAAGTCCCGTGTAGTATATTGGAAGCGGTAGGCCGTCATTCCGGTGATCACGTTGAGTGTCTTTGGTTTGGTTCGATGACTTCGAACTTCAGCAGATCACCTGCAGCGGAGCCTGTAAAGTTGCTTGCGGTGCTGTAGAAGTCGGAATCGAAGCTCGTACCGAACATCTCGACATCGGCGGCCAACCCGGCTTTAAAGTAAGTCTGACATATTGTATCACATCCAAGCTGAGGCAAAGTGGTAGTTGATACATTGAATTTTGCAGTTGATGCTCTAACCAGAGAGCTACACGCGAGCCGATGAGAATGGTGGTAGGTAACATTGGAAAAGACAAGCTATTTCTGGGGAAAAACCAAAGTAAATGACGGTATGAGAGACTCTAAAGTTGATTAGGCTAGAAGACTTCACTCCTACACTCACGCGAATGAAAGCGATATTTATTTCTCCTTTGAGTCTGAGGAGTATACACTATACACAAGCCTAAGCTTATTTACCCGGGAACGCGCGGGCAGCGATCCGCTAGCGCTAGTCTGTATTTGGACATGATGCTGCGATGCCAGGTGGTGGGTCGGCCTAGAGCAGTTTGTGCTCTGGTGGAAGTTACCTGAGACTGCCGTTAGACAAAAGTAACTTCATATCATTCTGTTCGGATGCTTTATGTATAGTTTGCGATGCTTCGTTTATGGTTGATTGATGGATTATGCTCCATCCATCTTTCATGAGTGATTTTGGTGACAATAACTTTGAAGCTGCTAGCGCCTGTTGCTCATGGGGATTAGCTCCAAGATTACACGTTGTGGAGGACCGAATATCATGTGTGATATCCCTGCATTGTGTGTAGGTAGATCAAGATCAAGAATTGCAGGCTTCATCCTGACGTTGCGTGGTGGCATCCATGACAGTGAGGGAATGGGCGAATGGAGAAATATATATCTAGACCATTTACTAGGCGCCAGTTTGCAAGGCGACCGTCGTCTCTCAAAACTATTCCGAAGCTCGCTTTGGAGAGTTGGATTGTAAAAAGCAGCGTAGGTGTGGTGTGTTAAGACACCGGCATTTTGTTGTCCGACAAATGTGTGGTCGGACGATTCGACGAGCAACCTACATCAAAGTGCCCTACTCGAGAGCTGCCCGGAGAATCTATCCCCATACCTACATAGTGATAGTTGGTTCTCCTTGAGCGAAAATGCCAAAGAAACCCGAAGCCCCCGCCAGTTTTCATTGGCGCACACATATTAACCTTATATTGAGATTCTCAATGACAGGTATAATGAGCACATGGCACCTGAGAATCTTTGCAAGAATTGAATAAGCCATGTACTCGTAGTAGGCCTTCTTCCAGTAAGATGTAAGAGATCACCTGACCGGTGAAAACCCCCTACTTTCGACCTGAAAGTAAAGCACAGCCAAGATAGAGGCCTCGAACCTTCGATCTATTTCTCAGTCCAGACTGCCAGATTTCCACGTGCTTCTGTCAAAGGACCAGTGGATTCGGGAGATACCCGAAGCAAGTGTATCAAGATGGTAGGTGACGCACCAAGGGGAATGGCATGGTCACCTAGTGTAGCTTGATAGAATCAAGCAAGTCCACAAAGGGCCATGTCACTGCGTCAAAATCAAGGTTTCTTGTCCATCTGCGCAAATTAACTCCCTAGATTAACATGGGCGTGCGGGCTTTGCCGGAGTGTCGTCACTACCAAAGAGGGCTCGGAGATAGTTCACTCTTTCGGCAGCGTCTCCGACCAACACCATCGGTGATTATGATTGTCAGATGATCGGAAAACCGTTAATTTGACAGATCGGGCCTCAGAGAAGATTCTTGTCGTGCTGGGTCTACGTTCGGCAAGTTCATAGCGTTGGCGCCGTGTTTTCGACAGAGCGCCCTTCGGATCTCGGAAAAAGATTACTGAGGCGTTGAGCGGACTGGCGCGATGTGGGGAATGACTTTTTCCGGGGCTGCGGTTCGGGTGCTATGGTATCCCGTAGTTCGCATGGGGTAAGAGTACGGAGGGCTGATGACTACGCAGACCAATAAGATCAGTGCTTGATGGAAGATTGCTGTGCTGTGAAGGCAAAGAACTCTCCAGATAATCTGTGGCAATCCCCGAAGCACGCCGTAATGGTACGAGCGTACGGCCGAGTTATCTCAAACCTTGTATACTTTTGGCTTAAGGCTTAGCAAAATGCCTGCTTCCGGCCGTGCCATTTCCAACCTTTCTTTAGCCTGGTGGCAATAGCTTCAACTTCAATGGTTCGGTTCTTACAGCAATTTCCGACCCATGATCTCGAACTCATCGCTACCGGCAATCCAGCTTCCAGAAGCCGGACAAGAAATCGATTAGATTTGATCTGAGACACCTTTCTAGGAAAGTTCCACGGCAAACTGGTGAGTAAGCGGCCCATACGTCATCCGAGATTCCAAGACTAAGCGAGCACGTGAGGATACGACAGCCCTTACCCTATTTGAGGATGACAATTTACCCGGCTGGAGAGTTTCTGCACGAGGAGACTCAGGGGTTGCTGCCACCGATCCCAATACCTAGTCTCTAGATGATCAGTGGAACCGGTAAAACAATAGTCAGGAACCATCTACAACTTTTATCCCACAGGGGAAGTGCCCGGGGATCCTCAGGTACAAAATAATCTGATACTACACAGGAGACTACGTAAACACGAATAGACCATATGGACAGTGCATGGGAATAGCGTCATGAATGATGGGCGGCCTAAGCAAGCCATTGTCGTCATTGTGCACTGCGAGAAGGATCAGAACCCTGGCCGGAGGGAGTTTAGGCGAGGTTCACACCAAGGCAGCCGCGAAGCTTGGTGGAGGATTCCAGAGCCAACCAGTCGAGTCCATTGACGCCACCAATCATGTTCGGCTCGGTCGGGATGTGGCAGGCAGTCAGCTGGACGTTGGCAGCAGTTCTCACTGTGATGGCGACTCTCGTCATCCCGACTATCGGGGCCGAAACGCTTCTCTCGGTCGGCTTAGCGAGCATCTCAGTGCCAGATATCGGTTGGGCATTGTAGACGTGGGCCAATTGATCCAAGGGGCGTGAGAGCAGTCGACGCTGTCGGGAATAGCTTCGCGCACCCAGTAGGCACCACAACTCCAATAACTGGATATCAAATTCCCCATGTTTTGTGCGTGAAGTCTCCGCTGGTTTGCCGGTGGTCATAACTGACGTTCTAACCTCCGCATTTCCCCTCTTTTTCCCCTCCTTTTAGCACCGTGCAGGAAGTGGAAGTGACTGGGATAGAAGGCTCACCGGTCAACGGATATGGTATCGCACTCCCCTCAATTTCTCCAGGCCCTCCAGACTTGATGGCCCTGCGTCAGCAAACTCCAGGTCACTCCAGGATATCCGACCCTTTCCGGGCCACGCGCGGTCATTTGCTTGCCGAACTCTGGAGTTGTGGGTGAGTGTCCCAAAGAGGCATAGTGGTAGTGGGGCATCTCCACATTGGGCAAGAATGCCTTTTGTTCATTCATCGCCAGGCTTTCCCCCTCTGGAGCGCCGCTGATGCCCGTCTCAACCTGCAACCTGCACTTTTCCTTGTTCTGCTTCTTTTCTTCTCTGCTGTCTTGGCTGATGCACGACTCTCACATCCCTGTCGGCCATCATCAGTTCACTGTAGACCAGGTCTGTGTTCCCCGGATGTCCAAAATGACACCAGACTAACCCATTTCTGTACGACAGCATCTCTCTCTCTTCCCTCGTGGAAACCGATGTCATCGATCTGGGGAACCCATGGATGGCTCCTTGACACACGCCTCCCGTGCCATGCAGGCGGGTGGCGTCGAACCCCTTCAAACCTCTAGTCGAGAATAATTAATTCCGTGTGCCGATGCCGTCAGCCAACGAGATCCGTCACCTGCTCTTCTAACTGTCCCGAAAGAGGCCCGTGGAACCCGATAGTACTGCAACTCCCCCTGGTACTCCGGCGGTTCCCCAGTATTCCGTCACTTCTGACTGGCCTGTCGGTTTCGGCCGGCCTTCTACGGCATACCTGGGGCCATTGAGAAAGTCGTCAGCCCTGGTCTCATTCCCCCCGGCAGCTGCTGATGTCGGCTCCCCACATGTCGGCTCTCTGCCCAGGCGTGGATCTGTTTTCCCCCGATGAAAAATTTCCCCTCCCTCTTTCGTCTAGAGGACAAGGCATAAAAGGCCGCTCATTCCCCCCGGAGAATGAGATCTTTCTGAATCAGGCATCTGCATCCTTCTTCTTGACTCCCAAACAAATCATATCTTCCCTAAAAGGGTGATTGAGTTCAACCCTTCTATACCTTCACGGGTTCGACATCTCCCTATCGTCCGCTCCTTTGGGCTCGATCTCACTGATCATTACTCTCTTCGACAAGATCAAAACAATCCCCGCAGCCTGCACCCTTCTCCACCATGGGTGTTGAATCCTCTGCCAGCCATGGGGAGCACATCACCCCTGCTGTCGCTCCCCAACAACAGTCTAGCCAAGAATCGCTTGGCTACGACAAGCCGATGGAGATGGGCGTGGACACCCCCGTCCCTCGGGTCACGCTGCGCTCCTTCGTCCTGACCATGTTCGTCTCCATGGGAGGTCTTCTCTTCGGTTATGATACCGGCCAGATCGCCGGTTTCGAGCAGGAGGATGATTACCTTCGACGGTACGGTATGCAGAAGGCGGATGGTACCTGGTATCTCAGCAATGTGCGCTCCGGTCTGTTGACCAGTCTGTTGTCTATCGGTACCTTGATTGGTGCCCTGGTTGCTGCCCCCATCGCCAACCGCATTGGTCGCAAGTGGTCGATCACCGTCTGGTGTGTCATCCTTATCATCGGCCTCATTGTGCAGATCACGGCTCCCTCGGGTAACTGGGTCCAAATGGTCATGGGCCGTTGGACCACTGGTCTGGGTGTCGGAGGCTGCTCCCTCCTGGTGCCCATGTACCAGGGTGAGAGTGCGCCTCGCCACATCCGTGGTGCCATGATCAGTTGTTACCAGCTGTTCGTCACTCTGGGTATCTTCCTGGCCTACCTGATCAACCTGGGAACGCACAACCTCGATGGCACCGCTCAGTGGCGCATTACCCTTGGTATCACCTTCGTGTTTGCCCTCGCCCTCGGTGCCGGTATGGCCTTCTTCCCCGAATCTCCTCGCTTTGCCTACCGTCACGGCCGCATCGAGGAGGCTCGCAATACCATGTCCAAGCTCTATGGTGTCCCGGAGAACCACCGCGTTATTATCAATGAACTGGATGAGATCCGGGCTCAGCTCGAGGCCGAGAACGTTAGCCAGAAGTGGCACGAGTTCATCACTGCCCCCCGCATGTTCTACCGCATCGTCCTGGGTATGGTCCTGCAGGCGCTCCAGCAGCTGACCGGTGCCAACTATTTCTTCTACTATGTAAGTTTACCTTGATTTCTTTTTTATATGAATCGCCTTGCTAACGCTTAACAGGGTACTACTATCTTCAAGGGTGCTGGTATCTCCGACAGCTTCATCACTCAGGTGATTCTCGGTGCTGTCAACTTCGGAACCACCTTCGGTGGCTTGTACATCGTTGAGAACTTCGGTCGCCGCAAGTCTCTGATGGTGGGTGCTGGATTCATGTTCGTGTGCTTCATGATCTTCGCTTCCATCGGCCACTTCATGCTCGATGTGCAAAACCCCGAGAACACCCCCGAGGTTGGTAAGGGTATGATCGTGGTTACTTGTTTCTTCATTGCTGGTAAGTCCGGACGATTTTCCCTGGGTACAATTTTCATCATGCTGATTATTCTTCCAGCTTACGCTATGACTTGGGGTCCCATGGTCTGGGCCATCGTTGCCGAGCTCTACCCCGGCAAGTACCGTGCCCAGGGTATGGCTCTGGCCACCGCCTCCAACTGGCTCTGGAACTTCCTGATCGGTTTCTTCACCCCCTTCATCACCGGTGCCATCGACTTTGCCTACGGCTACGTCTTCGCTGGCTGTCTGCTGGTTGCTGTCTTCGTGATCTACTTCTTTGTGATTGAGGGCAAGGGCCGCACCCTGGAGGAGCTGGACTGGATGTACGTCAACAAGGTCAAGCCCTGGAAGAGCAGCAGCTTCGAGATGCCGACCCTCCACTCGGCCGAGTACTTCCAGGAGGAGGAGCGTCACCGCAAGGAGTCCCGCTCCTACCACGCGGAGAATGCTGCTTAAGTTGAAAGCGTGGAAACCAGAAGGAAAAGTTATACCCCTGGGGATTGGAGTTTGATTTGGATGTGTTTATGATGTTTTTTCACGTACAGTGCATATGTGGTGGTGTGTATTTGATCGCATGATATACCAGGCTCGGCCATGTACATTATTATTGCATAGTTCATATATTTTTTGCCTCTTTTCAACTTCTCATCATGCCTTGTGTAACTTGGTTCCATAGAGAATTCACTGTGACTGCCTTGCCACTGGGGTATGATGTCATGGTGTAACGGACATGACATTACTGCCTACACCGCCTGCACCGCCACACTGTCCACCGCCACAAATTGCTTATCGGTGTTATCTTATCGCCCAGAATGGACAGACCCACAGGGTGTAAGTTACTGCAAGGTTACAGAATGCGTATCACTTCTACACCTCCATCCAGGGCTGCAGACAGCAGCCATGGCCAATTGATGCCATCAATGCTCGGCCTTTCATACTCCCACAGTGTCAACGGACCTTAGGCAAGTAGATGAGATGAGACTACTACCAGGTAAATACTACCGTAACCTAATTCACGAAGCAGCCAACCCCAACATCCAGATCCATCTGGCCCCTTACAGACCAGCACTAGCGCCGCCCCGGGGGCCCGCATTCTCATCCTTCCCGCCTCGTATAACCACCCGCGATTGTTACACCACTTCCTCCCATCAACCTTGAGCATTTTAAGCTACCCACCTCCCGTCACATCACATCACATCACAATAACACCCCCAATCCAAACCTCCCTCCCTCCCATCCAACCCACCAACCCACCCACAATGACCTCCCCAAAACAACAACCAGCAGAAACGCGCAAGACCGTCCTCATCACCGGCTGCAGCGCGCACGGCATCGGCTCCGCCCTCGCCCAAACCTTCCACGCGCGGGGCTTCCACGTCTTCGCCACCGCGCGCTCCCTCCTCAAGATGGCCCACCTCGCCGACCTGCCCCACATGACCTTGCTGGAGCTGGACGTGACATCGCCCGAGCAGATCGCGCGGGCGGTGGCCGCCGTGCGCGCCCACACGGCCGGGACGCTGGACTACCTGGTCAACAACTCGGGCTTGCCGCTGGTGCGGCCCGCGCTGGAGACGTCGCTGGCCGAGGCGCAGGCGCTCTTCGACGTCAACTTCTGGGGCACGGTGCGCGTGACGCAGGCGTTCAGCGGGATGGTGGTTGCCGCCAAGGGGTGTGTGGTCAATATCGCCAGTCTGGGGGGCAATATGCCTGTTGTGTGGAATGGTGAGTTTCCTTGATGATTTCCAGGGGGGTAGGGGGGTTAGGGGAGAGTGGTTGAGTTTGCGGGAGGCTGATCCGATTGAATGTTTCTGTGGTGGATGGGCAGCGTTCTACGCCGCCTCCAAAGCCGCCCTGAAATCCTACGGCGAGACGCTGCGGTTGGAGCTGGCGCCGTTCGGGGTCCGGGTCGTCACGGTGATGTCGGGCGTGGTGCAGACGCAGATCTTCGCGAAGCATCCCGACCTCGAGTTTCCGGGGTCGATGTATGAGCCGGCCACGGAGGGGGTTCGGCGCATGGCGGCCGGGGATTCGGTCAAGGATCCCATGGCGCCGGAGGAGTATGCGCGGCGGGTGGTGGATGATTTGCTGGGTGGGAAGACCGGGTTGGTGTGGCGCGGCAGGATGGCGTCCATCGGGTGGTTTTTGACGACCTGGATGCCGACTTGGGTCTTGGTGAGTTTTACTTTTCTTTGATGTTTTGGGGGGTTGTGGTGGTGGTGGGTGTAAGTGTGTTTGGCTGACTGTTTAGGATCGGATGGGGACGGCGGGGATGGGGTTGGAGGAGTTGAGGAGGTAGATCATTTGTTGGATAATGGGTGGTATGTTTTTGCTTCTTTTGACTCGGAAATGATTCTCCCTCTTGGCGAGTTGTATATTAGCTAGATAATGTATGCACAGTCCACTCTCTGGTAACAGCGGTGACGAACTGTCCCAAGATATTAGCACTCACAGGCAAGCGGTAGACATAGGGCTAGTACACCCTCCCCACAGACCACCATGACCAACCATGACTAACACATACAAAGCCCAGCCGGATACTACCCCAGTCCTACAGCACCATATGATTGACCAACTACTAACCCACCCCATGTAGTCCATCACACGCACATCATCCGAGTTACAAGCCCCCAAAGATTGTCCCACAAAGCCAGACATAATAGCCCGAAGAAGCCTCATGATAGAAATCACCAGCTTCGACGATGCTGCCAACCAAATCATAGAAGACGAGTGGAGTGATGAGATCAGCTGGCTGTATCGTTATCAGGTCCGGTTTGGGTTTGGTGGCATGTCACGATTGCTGACTGGCGTTGCAGGTGGAAGACGTCTGGCACCAAGCCTGGAGGGCGGAAGAGGCACGTTGGAGTGTGCTTGATGGTGACGATGACAACAACAGAGAAAAGGCGACCAGAGCTAAAAGTACTTCTCATCTCTAAACAAGTGAGCGGCCATATACTGTATACCGTGATGTGTAAACAATGCACTTTGTAACCAGACAGTACTGTACACACACCATGTAAACATTAAGCAATCCAAACCTCGGCAAAACAAGCCATATCTGAAAGGCGGTGTGCCATTCTGCCACCCCAACATCCAGAAAGGGGATCGCGGTGTTTTCTTTACCTTTTTTCCACACCTCCCTAATCCCCCATCCCTGAACCCCAGAATCACAAACACGCCCTCTATTTGCACACCCCCCGACCCTGTGAACTAGACTATACATTATACACACATGCAAACCACCCAGCCACACCACCATCTAATGGCCACGGCCACGCCCGCCTCCCCCTTCAACTGCTTCGCCGTTGCGCCGCCCACCGACCCGAACGCGCCGCCGCCCCCACCGCCCGACCCATCCATGCTGCAGCTGCCCCCGCCCCTGGAGGGCTGGTACGTGACCTGGGAGGAGGCCTTTGGGAAATCCCAGGCGTTCGCCGAGTCGCACGGCTACCGGCTGGTCAAGAAGCGGTCCAGCCGCGGCGAGACGGGCGGCAACCAGCTCAAGGCGCTGTACCTGATCTGCGACCGGGGCATCTTCAAGCCCTCCGTCGCGAAGATCCGCAAGCGGCCCAACCGCAAGCGCATCGGGTGTCCGTTCGACATGTCGATCCTGTGGAACTCGCGCCAGGGCCTGTACCAGGTGCGCGTGCGCAATCCCTTGCATAACCATGGGCCCCGCGAGAAGACGCCCCCGCGGGAGCCCTCGCCGGGGTCCAACCTGCCGTTTCTGAGTGAGGAGTTGCCGCCGCGGTTGGGGGAGGAGGAGAATGAGGAGGACGGGGAGGGGGAGGGGGAAGGGGGGGAGGGTCCGCCGTCCGCGGAGTCGGATGCACAGCAGCAGCAGCAACAGCAGCAGCCAAGCAAGCCTGCGGTGAAGAGGATCAAGGTTCGCGGGCTGCGGGATGTCGCCGTCAAGGCTTATTGTGAGTGGCAGGAGTCGTATGTGCAGTCTCCGCTGCTCAAGGCGGAGTTTCGCAAGGCGCGCGACGTGGCGTTGGAGAATGGGCTGGATCTCGAGCAGATGCACTTGGATCAGGATTGGGAGTTTTTTGTCGAGAATGGGGTCAAGAAGGGCATTGCGAGGCGGTTCATTGAAGACATTGTTGAATGGGCGAGGTTGTTTGAGGAGCTATCGGGGAATTGAACTCTTGACTGTGCTTACAATGGAGTCCGGTTTGATGAACATGTTTAGTGTACATATCGTGTTAAGTTTATTGGCCGGAGTACTTACTTTTCAAGGTCTAGTGGTGCAAATTACTTTCGGTATAAACTGTTGGGCAATCTACTCATGAGCCAGATAGCCAGAGACATCGAGACCTGACTATGTCCGCTTAGAGGGACGGTGTCAACCCACGCCGCGACTTAGGATGTGAAGAATGACATTGGGGCCGAACAGCTCGGGACGACAGTTCAAATATGCAACGATTCATAGAGGCTCTCTGCTAGAGCATCTGATTGGCGCCATCGTAAGTTAAGGTCGTCGTAGATTGTGGAATAGCGTGGGTGACGTTGATCTATGGGGGCCATTAAGGCGCAGGTGGCATCTGCAGCGGCAAGGATCGGGGCCGAAATCCTGCCGGAAAAATCATGTGCAAGGCTATCTAGCATTTGTCCTGACAGACGGTAAGCTTGACATTGCGTCTGCTGCGCAACAGCCGTACGCGTCATGCTTCCCCGCAAAACCGCCCCCAGGCGTTTCGGGACCAAGCCACCAGCCTGATTCGCTTATGCAGAACTATGTCGGGTTTCGTGGCAACATGCAGCCATCCAGTACACACTTGATAGTATGAATAATTGCAGTGTCAAAGACAGGAAAGGAGACACATGGGGAGTTGAAAAGGTATAAAAGGGGTCTGTCATCTGTGATTCCAGATCATCATCAACGACAACAGCACTCTCAACACATCACCACAAGCACCCAATCACTCCTTTGACTCACTCAAGTCTATCATCCTCCATTCAGCCAATCCAGTCGTCAAGATGAAGTTCTCCACCGCCCTTCTTTCCGCCGCCGTCTCCCTCCTGACCGGGTCCCAGCTCGTCTCCGCGCTCTGGTCCTGCAGCGAGCTCTCCAAACTGGGCGATACCGCCATCGACGGCACCGCCTACATCCACTACACCTCCATCCGCGACAGCAGCTACAAGGCCAACGGCGAAGGTGCCGCCGAGCCATGGGTACGATGACCCCTCCCCGTGAAACTGCCCACTCCCTTCCTATCCAGAGACATTTCAGCCAAGAACGAACGAGGGCTAACCGCACTAGATCGCAATCTGCACCCCCAGCGACGACTCCTGGAGCCAGAAGGACTTCGGCCTCCCCTGCACCAACTCCGCGGGCGGCAGCCAGCCCTACACCTTCTCCTCCTCCGAGACCGGCCTCGGCGCCAGCCTCGTCGTCTACAGCGGCGAGGGTTGCGATGAGAGCGCCTCCGACCTGCAGGGCGGGTACATCTCCTTTGACGGGACGACCAAGGAGTTGAACTCGGACTGTGGCACGCGCAACAAGGGCGTTACTTGCCAGTTCTCTTACTCTGCTTAGGGATCGCCTCTTTGTTTGAATGAAGGGGGTTTTCGCCGTTGTGATGGGGATAGGGACAGTGATGATCGCGAGATCTGGGTTTACACTTGGAACAACCAAGTGTAGTCCGTTTTTGTGTTTACTATTACCGGGATGAAACATTTGCCGTGATAGTATGGCTTGTAAGATGATCGGAAGAATGCACTTGCTGTTTGTCCTGAATATCACACCAATCAAATCATATTATTGTACCTGGTATACACAGAAGAGATACGACGATAAAGTTGAAAGAGTCTCATATAGTAGGCGAACCTCGACACCAAGGTTCACAACCAGCACTGACAGTGATAACCGGACCATAGCGCAAGTATAGCAAAGGAACGAGATCAAAATTCCAATCCAAGACAAAGAGCCAGACAAGTTCATTGTCTGCCCACATCCGACCTTTATCACAGCTACACTCATAGCGGGAGAATACTATCCAAGATTTCCACCCCTCCCTATACACATCCACACATCAAGCCCTCATCTAAGGATTATAAATACCACCCCCCTTACCCCACCCCAACCTCAAACCAACACCTCCAAACCCCACAACCACCCAACACACTCACAAAGCTACACCAACAACCCCAGCATACGCATATCACTTACCCAGAGTGAAAATGGCCTCCCGTCTTCCCCAAGTACCGCCCGGCTACCTCGCCATCTACTGGGCCGAGAAGGTCATCCTGCTGATGTTGCTGCACGTCCACTCGCCCGTCGCGTGCGAACCCGAGCGTCCGTTCGACCTCGCCGAGGCCGAGCGCGTCGTGGAGAACGGCTTCATCGACACGTTCTGCGGCAAGGTGATCCGGGCCAACATCTCGGGGGACTTCGCCTCGCCCAAGAGCTACGACGAGGTCGCCGGCCCCGGCGCCTTCAAGACCTGTGTCGACTTGACCAAGCAGATCATGTGGGCCGCGCACCAGGATCCGTCCGTCTTGGACGGGGAGGGGGAGTTGCTGGCGGAACGGCTCTGCGCGTTGGGCTTTGCGATCTAGGATGGTGGAAATGTCTTTGTGGATGCGAGGCGGAGGATGTAAAGGGGGCATTTGTGTATCTAGCCTGGTTATATTAGCTGTGCTCGTTGGTCCGTGGTATTTAGGTATTTTCCGTAGGCGGAGAATAGTTAATGCGTTGATCATGATATGGATTACTTTCTTTTCTTTCATTTTGTATTTGTAAATTTCCTTAAGCTGCACGTTTATATATTTGTGTGCTTTCAGTTGCACTTGTAGACTGATGTACTTTCATATTTCAACTTATTAATGACCCAGTGTTCTTTTTGTGTGTCTGAACTTTGTAAATTTGGTTACCAAAAATTCTACGAAGCTGGTGAAAGTCTTTGTGGTTTCAATCACCCCAGACCTAGACAGTAGCTCTGGGTCATTCAGGAGCCTGTCTAATCCTAAGCATCTGGCGTTATAAGCAGACATCCGCCATCCGGCCAAACTGGGCACTGGGTTCTCAATCCACCAGGGATCCGTTTGTTCTTCTGTCTCGGGGGGTGACGACTGGATAAATCACTTATCGGTAATTGTATCCACATAATGTGATAACCCAGACTATAGTTGTTAGTTAGAAAACCTAGCTTTTAAGATTGGTAGTTTAGGGTGAACGAGAAAAAATAGATAAAAATAAGAAAAGAAATGCAGACCAGAGTGGATCAATCAAAAGCAAACATGAAGATCTGTAGTGCATGCATTTGTAGTGCATGGATTACCCAGATTCTAAATAGACAATGCCTGCTCTGCACTATCAGGCGGCAAATTAAGGTGATCCCTCTAGTAGAAAATTTTACAACTGAATTGTCCACTAGAACATTGATTGAATTACCGAACAAAGTATGTACAAACTTATGCATATGAACACTGCAGAGAAGTTTGTGGAGAGGGATAAATAACAGATAAATACACAATTAAAGCGAGGATCGTATCGCACATATGCAATAAACAGGGCAACATGCATGGTGTTGGGTATCCAAATCCCGCCAGCGCTGAAGAAAACATGAAGAACAAAGACTCCACAAGAAACTGCGGATTCTAGTGATATTTCACAAACTAAAGGTGCACCGAGAAACCCATCATCTCCTCCCTCAAACAGCCTCCCAATCCATCGCATCGACCAAAAAGTCCCACTCATCGGGATCACTCTCGCTCCCGCCCGCAGCGGCGGCGGCCGCCGCCGCATCGTCCTGGCCCGCCTCGCGCCCGAGCTCATCGACGCGCAGCTGGGCGATGTCGGCCGCCTCGACCAAGCCCTGCAGGATCTGGACGAAGATGGTATCGAAATCGTAGCTCTCGAGCGGGGTCAGCGCGTCCTTCCAGGCCTTGTAGCCGGCGCGCCAGGTCTGGGGGTCGCGCTCGCGCTCCTCGGGGTCCAGGTCGGCGTACTTCCAGCGGTTGCGCAGCTCCTTGGCCTTCTGCAGGTGGGCGAAGCGGTCGCCGGAGCCCAGCACCTCGAAGTACGGGCTGTCGAGGTCGCGGAGGGCCTCGAGGACGTTGGCGTGGTAGCGGTGGGTTCCGGAACCACCACCATTCATCTCGTCCGCCCAGCTGATCTTGGTGGACGTGGACGTGGACGGGTGCGCCCGCGACACGTGGATGTTCCACACCAACATCAGGTACACGAGCGCCCGCTCCAGCAGGCCGTAGTACTCGTGGAAGTCCAGCTTGAACATCTGCTCCGCGTACAGCTGCTCCGTCGCGGGTTGGTCGCGGTTCGTCGCCTGCTTGAACCCGTCGACCAGGTGTCGCAGTTTCCACTCCAGGCGGCGGCGGATCTTGCGGTACCGCGAGAGGGCCTCGACGGCGTCCGCGATGGACGGTGGGATCGGTCGTTTCTTCTGCGTCTTCGTCGGGGACTGGGATTCAGAGCGCAGGCTGGGTGCGCAGGAGGACGGCTCCGGGGTCGGCTCCGGGTGGGTCGGGATCTTCTCCCAGCCGTCGCCGAGCGAGGAGCTCACTCCTCCAACCACCCGCGGGAGTCTGGCGGCGCGTTGCTGCTGCTGCTGTTGCTGCTGTTGCTGCTGGGTTGGGCTCGTGCTCGTCAGAGCCGTGCCGTTGCTAAGACCAGGGCGCGGGGACGGGGTCCAGATTTTAGGCTTCGTGTTGGGTGCAGTTGACGCCCCGTTGAGAGTGCTGTTGGCTGTGGCTGTGGCTGTGATGGTAGTGGTGGTGGTCGTGGTGGTTGCAGTGGCGGGCTGGAGTGGCCCGGTAGGCTTGGATTTGTGAGACTTTTTGCCATGGCGATTGTTCTTGGTCCCACCATGGCCACAATGGTGCTGATGATGAGTGGTGGTGATGGTGGAGCTTACACTGGATGGCTTGTCGGAGCCCTGGGGGGCCCAGCGCGACTTAGCAAGTTCTTCACTCATATCTGCAGCCATGATGATAATTTGTGATGAGATAAGTTCGCGCCAGTTTCACCGAATAATCTTATCGGGTTGCGCGAAAAGTGAAACGGGGAGCCTGGCGTGCGACGGAATGGCGGCTATTTATGCATCTGACTAAACTTGTGCCGCTTTGTTTCTGGCTTCACCGCGGGAGTCTCCGCCCTCCTTGAGCCTTTGTGCTTGGAACAACTCAATCATTGTGCAGATAATTTAAGGTTTTTTTGTGAAGAGATATTATTAAGGTGATGAATTAGATCTGCGGGTGTACTTCATCATGGAGACGATCATTAACAATGGGATCAACATGATCTTTGTAGATAGGAAATTTGGTACAGCACATAGGAGAAATCTTTGAATGATTGACAGCCCAGGTGACAAATGCCTCCCCCTGGGTATAAGTTGTGTATTCGGTGCAAAGGGTATCGAACAAACCCGGAAACAAAGCAAAACCCGTCATGACTCCATAACACCGTTCCTCATGGATGGTAAGTTAAGTATTGGGGGTTCCTTTTAGACCCGAGTGTATTTTCCGTCCATCTCCACCAAATGGACCTCGCTGTTGTCATCACGCGGGCCGCGTGACACATAATCCACTGAAAAATTGACCGACTTGGAGATTTTGCTGTTGGCATTGGTCTGGCCCTTGGACAGAAAGGAAGGGCCGCGCGAGGCGTAGGTCCGTCGCGAGCCCTGGCTGTTCATCCCCGGGATGTTGTGGGCGGCCACCGCTCGGGCGGCGGGGAGACAGGTCGTGAGGATGGCGATTTGCGACTCGATGACGGACCAGTGGATGAGTGGGAGGAGACCAGCTATTTGGAGTCAGTGTCACGCTTCCTCTTACCGATAGTGAAGGATGAGAAAATAGGCTTACCGGTTTGGTTCACGCCCCAGCGGTGGTTCCAGAACACAACCAGCCGAATAATTGCGACAACCGTCAAGCTGGATAGCATGTACCATCAGTATGGATATAAGGAATCCGAAAGCCACATGATCCAACTCACATCAAGCCCATCATGAACATCATTCCCACGGTGATCTTCTTGCCGGTCGGCAGCTGCAGCTTCGAAACCTCGTAAACGGGCAGGATGACGATGATGACGTCGGCGACGATATTCACGATACAGTGCACGAGAATGGCGTCGATGAAGTCGATGCAGGTTCCGCCGGCGTAGTTCGTGGCCCAGCCATCCCAATCCAGGTGGACCGGGGTGCACCGGAGCAGGTCGACCAGCGCAAAAGTGATGCCGATCGAAGCGTTCACGCCGATCATGATGTAGGCGAAGGTGCGGAAAACGCGCGACTGGAAAATGCGGAGGAGGAAGAGCAGGACGGAGATCTTGGCGAGCGAAATTTGCGTCTTGTAGACCATCGCCAGGGCTTCGAAGTGCTATTTGGACGGTGGTCCGTCAGTGTTACTCCATGAGTGCACGAGCCTGCCACACACACCTTATAGAAATTCGTGATGTCGTCGAACGGGACGTCCCAGATGTTCTGGCCGAAGCCGTAGTAGATCACTGGTGCAGTGTTAGTGTATAGAATAAGCCGTCAAGCCTCAGGAAAAGATCACGCACTCTTGTCGTACATGGCATATTCCACAACACCAAAGACCTGGACGACGTCATCAGTGAACTGCCAGCACGAAATCCAGTACGCGACCGAGTCTTAGTCTTACAAATGAGAGCGCGATTGTGGTGTCGTCCGGCCCCCAGCCTCCCGCAAGACCCTGGAGCTTGGCCCATAATCGGATGACGAAGAAGACGGTCGCAAGAACGAGCGGCGCAAGAACGGATGGGTCCACGAGGGAAGGACCTGCGCGAGGGCGGATATTACATTCTTGTTCGAAGAGGTGTCTGGCGTCTGCGAAGGATCAGTATGCGAAACGTCTTGATTGGACAATCATTCAAAAAACTCACGGAAATACTCCTTGGGAGTACATTCACTTGAAGCGTAGGCGATCAGGCTGGACTCTTTGGTGCAAACACACGAGGTGTCGGTGATTGGGCAATCTGGATAGGTTTGCTCCCAGTAGGACAACTGCCAGAGGAACAATTAGTGTGAGAAACACCAAGTCGAGGCGCAAGATGGGTACTGACGACGCATTCTGAGAAATCGGCGGTGGTATAATTGGTTGCGAGCGCGGTGGTGGTGAGAGTTCCCAGCAGGAACAGAAGAGTTTGGTGAAGCTTCATAGTGACAGTGACAGGCTTTGTCAGGTGCAACGAGACAGCAGCAGCAGCAACAGCAGCAGCACGTTGCAGCGGCAGTAGTTCATTATTACAAGTGGATGAACTTCGGGGGGGAAACAGTCTTAACACCCCTTATTAAGACAGCCCTCGGGCCAAACCTTCTCCTCGAGTCCACACGCACCACCTGAAACGTCAAGCAACGGTTGAGCGAGCACCGAACCAAGCCTACATCTACGCGGTGCATGAATCGTATCGTGTACATGCCCACCTTGGTTGGGGGGGCCAGATCACTCTATTGCACATGGCCTTGACTTGACTAAGGAAACTCAGATTTTGAAGAAAAATAAAAAAAAAAAAAAAAAAAAAAAAAAAAAAAGCTTAATGACTGGCAGCAATAGCGAAATCTCGGTAGAAAAGTCTGCCCTGCCATGGATTTAAGATTGAGTGTGGTGGGCTACCATCGATCTACTCGGTACTCCGTAGTACAGTTGCTACTCAGTAGACTACAGTGCGCAGGGACCCGTGGGTGGGAGTGAAACGGAACACCCCCGCTAAACCTCTTTGGTGCTTAACCTCCGTGGCGGCGATCGGCTTGTGTTGCCCGACAAGACGCAGTGCACCCGCCGCTGTGTGTCTGGTCCAATCCGAAGGATTTCCAATTACTTGGGCACCCCCACTCCACTAACAAGATCAAGGTAGAATCCTCGACCGGTGACCCAGGAGGATTCTGTACTGTCCATGACAAAAAAAAAAGACCAACCTGGACGTCCTTCCTGAGTCCCCATCATCGGCTGAAATGACTCTGTTTGACTGAAACTCCTTCCAATGACGCCATGTGATCGGGGTTTTTTTGTTTAATACTGCAGCCTACCACCACCCTGTGCCTGTACCCCGCAAGAAAACAAAAAGGATCACCAAACCCTGGCTTGGTGGCGTGCTGCCACGCACGTGGCCTTCTAGAAATCTCCAGCCCGAGGAGGATCGTCCTCCAGGCCTCCTCCTTTGCACTGCACCTAATCACCCCCTCCTACCTCTTTTGCACGGTACCTATGCCTCGTGCAGCTGCCAAGTGGGACAACCACGTTAAGCAGCTGCTGGACTGTTTGTTATAAATGAAGGATCCAGACTTCATTCCCGAGGTCCCAACTTGGAAGGCCTTGGAAGGGCACAGTGCGCCATTGCAAATACTTTCAAGGGCTTAGTGCCCCCCTCATTAAGGTATCCGGGGCAATGTTGATCCGCGGAAGTAGATCTCCGAAAGGGAAATGTCTCCGGCACCAACATAATCCTTTCATAAGTTATACTCATATACTCCGTAGTATGCTGGCTGGCGGACGGTGTCTCCGAGGATCAGCATCATACCTGCAAATGTTTATTGCAGGGGGGAGTCTGTTTAATATATGTACCTCGGATTCTCGGTTGACCTCTTGCCAGAACCGGCAGTCACCAGTGCGGCAGCGGCAGCAACGGCAGCATTGACCGCGGTACCTTGTGCCACTGTGTGAGATCGAGCCTCTTCCGGAGCTGATCGACCCAGAGCTAAATTTGGCCTCTTTGTACTTAATTATGTGTAATTAATTAATCGCTGCGCAGCTCTTCCGCGGAGCCCAGCTGAGCCCAGCTCAGCCCAGCCCTGTTTGCCACCCCCTACTGATTGATCTGGTGAACTAATTCTATGTCCAGTCCGTCAGTATCTTGTTGTCAGTGTTTTGTGCTCTAGCCTTAGGCATCGACTTTCGGTTTGAACCGCTTGCTTACATTTGACTCAGCCTCGGGTCTATTGTGGCTCCTCCGTCATTCCTCATATCCCATTATTCTCTACTTCTTTCGATCTCTTCAAAGGTCCATTGAACTCAGTCTACTCACAAATTTGAGTCCATCACGGACCAGAGCACAGTTGCGTCCTAGTCGAAAGTATATCGCAGGGCTTAAGTTCATCTTTGCCAGACCACCTCTTGGCTAAAGCAGATCATACTTTGTGAGGCGCCGATGGTTTAATGCCACCCGTATCAACTTGCCCGATCCAAGTCTTGGCGTGGGGGGGCGGAGGGTCAGGGAAACCCGCGCGATGCCGATCTGAATTTAGGAAGAGATCAAATACGATCGATCCCCATAACCAGGGCAGCAAGCAGCTGGGTATCTTATCCTCACTGCTCTGTCTCGTATCTTCCGATGATATGCGATGCGACTCAAAAAGCGAACCCTTTTTCTTGTGTCGGTAATCGATATGTAACCTTTGACCCGATGCACTGGTTGCAGAGTAAACAATTAGACTTTACCATCCGGCTACATCCGGGTCCTGCCGCCAGCAAAACCGAGCGAGGAACTCTAAAAATGTGCACACAGTGTCACACACAATGGATTCTGCATGCAAGCAGCAAGACCCTAGTCAAGCAGAAGAGAAACATACCCACCGCAATCCATGGCTCTAGGACAGGGCCAACCGTGCTTTTTTTTTTTTGTCACAGGGATGAAGAGCTATCGAAGTGCATGTAAGGAACAGGTAACGAGCTTAGCGAATGCGTTTCAGCTCCCCAGCTAACCTCCAAGCGAATCCCAACCCCAAGTTCTTTCTATACCATCACTCCCAGCTAGCCCCCTGATCTTCCAACCCCAAACAACACGGAAGCTCGCTACCAAACTCTGCCCTTCAACACCAACCTCCAACACGAAACACACCCGTCTCCTCATCCCACGCATAATGCACCTACCAACTCAAATTCGAAAAACACCTTTCGTCTAGTCTAGCCTTCTTCATTCCCCCAACTTTTGGGAATCAGGCTTTCGGCTCTTCGAACAAAACCGGATTCTACGCCCGAGCGCTAACAAACCTTAAGTCCCGGTCGGAGACCCTGCAGAGTGGTTGCTCACGAGCGAGCGCAGATTCCCGCCCCTCCTTCATCTTTACACTACTGTGCTGTGAGTATGTCACTACTGTACTGTACTGTACATACAAAAATGTGCATACTCGCTTACTTAAGCGGGAGCACTATTCCACCCGGTCGATTCCACTCCGCGCTCCCCAAAATTTAGGTCCGGTGTGGAGGTGAAACCTGGAGACTTTTTTTCATGATTCGAGTGTCTCGCCTTCGGTATGGAGATGACGACTCGGGAGGGATCCAGTTCGGTTGGTTTGATCCTGGCCCTAATTCCGACTCTGGCTCTGAGTCTGGAGGCAAGGGGGCCCTTGATGACTCGAGTAGCATTAGGTTGCCGTTGCGGTGCCTCGAGGCGAGTAAATCGCCTTGACTCCTTTCAGGGTCAAGAATTGCTGGTGGGAATCGTCGGGGGCCTTGGCGGATGACTCGATTTGATGCTGGACCTGACTCGGATTTTGAGGTTTGTATCGTTCTGGTGCCATGACTCGAGCCTGCAATATGGTGTGCAGTGAGGTCTCGATACGACGCAGTGTTTTGCTCTGGCCTGACGAAGAGGTCAGCGTTTGTGGCGTGTTGAAAACAAACTCTTTTCAGCGCAGTAGCTCTAGCCCTTCCTCCCACTGGTCTTTTTCTTTCCCTGGCTGCTTTTTCGGTTGCATGCTCGGAGTCCCTCGGCCGTGCTCCTCATGCTCTGGTGGAGGAGGGTTCGGTACGAGGACGGACTCTGGGTGGTGTGAACTGGTCCGGGGATTCCCGTATCCGTTCTGCTGGCCTTGGTCCGTTCTGCGTCTGCCATGGTCCGCTCGGGTATCTTATCTATCTCCCGAGTCAGGTCCCAGGACCTTTTTCTTGGTTACCGGGATGAACTATGGCTACAGCTATTTGTCACAATAACCGGTCCTGGGACCTTGACCATGATCGCGAAGCTGGACGTGCTCGACGACCAACAAACACGGATGTCCTCATTGTAGATATCGTCTGGGCCCGTCTCGTTCGAAGCACAAACTTTCCATGGGCGGAGTTTGTGTTGCTTGCAGACGCCTAAACCACAGACCTTACTGACTAGAGCCATCTATCTTAGGTACTAGCGGATCCTCGATCCCTGGAAATGCCACGTGGGCGACATGAGTGCGCGGTGGCACCGACTTACTAGTCATGTCAAGACGCAAGGCCCTTCTCGCTCGTGCATTGAGTTCAATAGCTTATGTACATTGACTTTGAATCATATCTGGGTGGAAGGATCGATAGAAGTGCCACTCGTCCCGATCAGACCATGGGACTGAACTGAGACATTCGTTTTCTGCTTGGTGAAGGTTTTGGGGATACGAGACAGGCGAAGGTAAGAGAAGCAATTAGTGATTTGTAAGCTCGTGTGCTTGGTTGAGCTTCGTTGGTTTGTCGTGTGAAGTTGTGGCTGCAACTTCAATCTCTACGGCAGCGACAGGAACAGCTTCTTCAGCTTGGGGTAGTTGGGGGTCCCCAATCCAGTAGTGGGGTCCCATCTGTGGCGGTTACAGTGTTAGCAAGCCCCCCCTCGTGATCTGTGTCCGATAGAGTGGTTTCTGTCTCGTGGACTTACCCGGGGATAGCGCTAAAGCCGTAGGTACCACATCCAGCGTTGGTACCGTTGGTGATATCATTCAGGGCTTCGGGGTGCTCATAGAGCACGGGGTTGATGAAGCCCACGGGGCCCTTTCCGACCGCGAGACGCTCCTCGTTGATCTGGGAGAGAAGGACAACAAATTAGCTCTGTTTCGGGGCTGGAACACCACACCGGTGGTGGCGTTGTCTTCCCCCTTGATTGGCTTTGCGGGTCTCTCTCATGGTCTAGAACTCACCAGCGTCAGCACGGAGGCAAACAGTGGCGACGCCAAGCTGGCCCCGTAGAAATGGTACAGCTCCTCGCCCATGTAGGCGCGGAAGTTGGCGCCGTTGGCCGCGACGTCCGGGTACGCGCGCCCGATGCGGTTGTACAGGCCCTTGGTCGTGTTGAGGTCGACCTCCAGCTCCGAGTAGTACGGGTAGGTCAGGTTGGCGCGCTGGAAGTAGGTCGCGACCGCCTTCTTCTGGTACTCGGGCTGCGGGAAGTAGTTGGAGAAGCCGCCCGAGGAGCTGAAGTTGCTGGCCGTGCCGCCCAGGTTCGCGTGCATCACGCTCTCCGCGTCCTCGTAGGTCTGGTCCGCGTAGAGCATCGTGCCGCCCACCGAGGTCACGTACGGGCAGTTGGACGGGTACTGCGGGTTGAAGATCTTCGCCTCCGGGCCCAGGCACCCGTTCGCGTTGCCGCCGTCCCCGGCGAAGGAGGCCACGCCGTAGTCGCCGGAGGCGAAGAGGATCGAGTGCCCTTGCAGGCCGAGCTTCAGGAACTCGTTGCATTGCCGCTTGGTGTATGCGACCGGGAGGTCTTTCTCGGCCTGGCCGTAGGATGCCGAGATGACGTTTGTGGGCTTGTAGACGCCGCACTGCAGCTTGCCTGGGGTACCGTTAGGGCTTTTTTGTCTGGTGAAAAATTGGCATCATCGGGAGCGTACCTTTGTATCCGCCGGCGTTGGGGTCAGGGTAGACGGGGTCGATGTCTGGGTCATTGCCTTTTTCTCCGTATGCGCTGTAGGTGCAGTAGGACTGGAAGAGTTGGCTAGAGTCACAAAAGGGGCAGGATTACACATACGCCATCCAAAGCATCCAAGAACGTGTTGAACAGGTTGGTAGTCGCGACTTCACGCGGCTCGTAGTACTGGTCGTCAACCTGATACAGGGTGACTTGCTGTGGGTAGATCAAGGCGTAGCTATAGACTGTCTTAGTACCGTGCATCCTGAACCAGTCCAATTTACTTACGCCATGTCAATGTCAATGTTTGATTCACCGGTGTTCAAGGAGCTGTCAGTCGGGACAGAGTAGTTGGCTCCATCGATGAGCGCTGGAATGGGATATGTGCCCTGGGGAACCCATGGAGCATAGGCTTTGTAGAAGAGATCGAGGTCGGCCTTGGCAAAGTAGTCGCCCTGCTCATACAGCCCCAGGGTGTTGCCCTTCGTCGCCTTCGTCGCATCGGGGATCTGGTACAAGGCCTTGATGCACGTCGGGGTCATGTTGGATCCGCAGCCTTGCAGCTCAGTCGGCAGTAGTTTGGCTTTGCTGGAGATGATCGCGTCGCCAGTGACAGCCTTCAGGTTGGACGCATGACCGAGCTGCGACGCGCGCTTGACCTTCTTGCTTTTCTTGACTACTGGTGTGAGTTTGACACCAGGCGTGATGTAATCAATGTGATGCTGGATGTGTTCGGGGACATGGTAACTAAAGACAGATCAGCCATTGGTGTGCCTCCCGCGAGTGTCATACACACCTGTCACATCCAACTCTGATGCTCGCACTGCCGGCGCTCTCGTGCTCATGAAACTTGGTCTTCAAGAGGTTTTCGGCTTCGTGCGCGTAGGCATCGAAGGCAAGCCAGCCCTTGTTATCGGAGTGCACAACTCGGGAATGATCAATGCCAGCGGAGGCGAGCCATTCTCTCACTGCCTCGACGGCTTCCTCGGAGGGACTGAACATGTCATGGACCTGGTCCGCTGTCCAGTACTGGCCATAACGCGCAGACTCCGGATGAGAGACTTCCATGAGGTAATCGTAACCCTTCTCCAGATTGCTCTGGGCCAACCCAATGCGCATTGGCAGGACAGCATGGCTGTCGACGCGGGCCCTCTTTACCCAGTCCGAAGAGTCGCGGCCGCGCTTTTCATGTAGGACATGCTTGACTGTCGCGGGAAGAGCATTGGCCAAAGCCGCAACGGCCAGAGCCACCGTAAGCTGGCGTACAAGCATTGTGAAGTCTGGTCAACGCGCTCTGGAAAAGAGCTGGCCGAGATCGAGCCGTTCAACGCGACTTTAAATAAGAGGGCAGAAGCCCCTCACGAGCAGTGGACCCCTTGCAGGCATGGCAAGTAGGTACCATGCGAGATTGGATTGCGACATGAAAGCCCACACCGCCGGCAGACGAACCACGATGGGTTTGTTGATTGGTTGGTGACGGTGTCGGATAGGCTCTGGTGCCTTGATGAACAAACGTAGAAGCGGTGACATCCAAGCATCCTTGCGTGATCCTGGGCAAACGTGTAATGGGGCAAACAAAATTGGCAAGGTGATACGCCGCTTATCTGCCCGTTGCAGCGGACGATTGGACTGTTGACATTTCTAGCCTCGGTTAGCGGGTTTGTTATCTGCAGCTAAGCTTCCGGGGCCGGTGTCATTCGCTGCTGCAACCGGAGTATGGCCGGAGAACCGACTGCCACAAGGCGGGAGGACGATAAGAGACCGCATTATTGGGCAAGGTGTAAATTAGCTGCATGGCTGGTATGATTGCGGACCAAGTTTATCGTCGCGAGTGCGTGATGAGCTGCACAGAAGAAGGCGGATGCTTTGTGGATCGATACCCCAAACACGCATTACCGTGATGCTGTGGGATGTGATAAGTTGGGGAAACCAAGTGTCCATTGTAAACTCAATCTCAGGAATGGTCGCTTATATGTTAAATGGCGAGGCTGACTCAATTTCAGTCATGGAATCAGTTTTGCGGACTCTGAACATGACGTTTATGAACTTAGAGGGGTAACTCTACTCGATTTCCGGGCAAGAAAAGGCTTCTTGCTCTGGTTTCATGTCAGTGCCTGGACTTCCAATGGATCGTTATTTCAAGATGCGCAAGCGATGCATCATGGCATAACAGAAGATGTGAGGAGTGAGGAGTGAGAAGGTGAAGCGATGGAGTGTTGTTTGCATTGTAGACAAATCAGACACATCAGACAAACAGGTCACACTGACCTCCTCCACCTCCCCTGATTCTTCCGTCTTTCATCTCTCCAAGAACAGCATTCTATTCCTTTTACTCTTCTCTGGCTGAAGCTTGAATCATTTCGAATCTTGGCCATTTGGCTATCGAGAGAGTCATCCTGCTTATAGCATTCCAAGTTTCTTATCATCCCAATTGTTCGACGGCCATGACACCCTAAAGGGTTGATGATCAACCTGAACATGCGAGCACGGCAATTAAGGACAATGGGGATGCTCAGGAGAAGCTCTGATCGCAAAGCGGGGTAGACATCGGCTAATTGCACCATTCAACCCATTGGTGCGTTTTCTTGAAGCGGGGACGGGGAGCTGCTGCAGGGTTACATCAGCTAATCAACAGGCATAGAGACAGTACAACGACGTGCAGAGATGCTGAAGAATCTCATGACATCATCCTCCCAAATTATCCGATGGGATCTCTGGACATACTCGACTATCGTTTGAGTCGATGTAAACCTAGGCTGTTCACTTCAAGATCCTTGGTAGCACATGCATGAGGAACAGCTGTTTGAGCCGTTCATGTTCTCGGGACACGAATGTTGCGCATTTCGGTGTTTTGAGATGCGGGGATTATGGACCAGGGCACTTCATTTCCCCGCTTGACAACAGGCACAATCAGGTTGTCCACGAATAGCACTCGTCAACGCCACGGGCAATATGGAGATATCACCAAGACCGGAGAACGAGTGGAAATGGGTCAATCATGCGACCTCATGATTGACATGGGTGTATGCGGGCTAAACATATGAGCATTCGGGACGAGGAGGTCATCTTAAAAAGCCAACATTCTCGGCGATATGCATGGACTCATCCTATTCTATCCTCCATCGCACAAGTACCAACATAATGTATCTTCGACGAGTGCTCGGTCTGCTCTTTGCTGCAGGACCCCTGATTGCCAACGCAATCTCATCCGAACCTCTCTCTACGTCAGGGCGATGGATCGTTGACTCCGACGGCAACAATGTTACCTACGCCGGGGTGAACTGGCCTGGTGCAGCTGAGGCCATGTTGCCGGAAGGGCTGCAGTACCAGTCTATCGAATACATCGTCAGTAAGATCAAGAGTCTGGGCATGAACGTCATCCGCCTTACCTTCGCCATTGAGATGATCGACGACATTTATGAGAACGGCGCAGATGTCCCAATCAAGACATCTCTAATCAATGCCCTGGGAGAGACAAATGGCACCGCTGTGTACAACGACATCATTAGCAATAATCCTCAGTTCAATGACGAAACTACCAGATTGCAGGTGAGTAATGACTCGGACTTACTGCAGCAGTGAACACTAACAACCGAAGGTCTACGACGCTGTCGCCAGCGAATGCTACAAACAGGGTATTTACGTGCACCTCGACAACCACATCTCCAAGGCCATGTGGTGCTGCAGCACCACGGACGGCAACAGCTGGTTCGGAGACACCTACTTCAACGTAGCGAATTGGCATCGTGCGTGGACTTACATGGCGACCCACGTAAGTCTCTTCCTTGTCTTCCCAGCCTCATCCTCGCTGACAAGAAGCACAGGTCAAATCCCTTCCAGCGGTCAAGAGTGTAGGCATGCGGAACGAGCTCCGCACTCCGGCCGACAACGCGACCTTGACCAGCACCTCCTACAACTGGGAGAATTGGTACACCAACATGGTGGAGAACGCGAAGCAAGTGCACAGCGCCAACCCGGATCTCCTGATCTTCTTCTCTGGCCTCAACTTTGACGTAACCCTGTCGCCGATCCCCACCGCGTCCGATCTGGGGAGCGGCACCGTCTTCCTGAAGACGGACTTCGATTTCGCGGACAAGATCGTCCTGGAGCTGCACAACTACGACTCTTCGGCTTCGAGCTGCAGCAGTCTGTCGTCGAGCTTGCTGAGCGACGGCTTCAATGCGTTGGAGACGGACAATGCGAGTATCAAGAATGTCCTACCTGTCGTCCTGACCGAGTTCGGCTATGCGCAGGACGATACCACGTACACCGGGGTGTATGCTTCCTGCCTCGCGGAGTGGATTCCCAGCGTGCATGCGGGTTGGATGGTCTGGGTTCTGGCGGGTAGCTACTATATCCGAGAAGGAACTCAGGACTATGACGAGACATGGGGTGAGTTGTCCCGCGTGGCAATGTTGAAGCGCCCAAGCTAATTATTTATAGGGCTCCTCGATCACACCTGGTCGGACTGGCGGTCATCTGAGGCGATCGAGAACGGCATCGCTCCGATGGTGGAAGCCAGTCTGGGCTAGACACAGTGAGGACTTCTTCGGCACTTGGGCCAGTGGCCATCGGACCATCGGTTATATCGAATAGTAGTGTCTTCGGAGTTGTACTGGTGTCGCAATCCCTTTAAAACCATAAGTCTGATCAACAGTTCTTTCTCCAAAGCCATCTTCAATTTCAAGTCATTCATTATTCTGTGACCTAATGGTCACGCTTCTTTACATCCGGGAGGAAAATCTCCAGGTCTGTTGATTGTAGACAAGCCACCGAGGTGATCAGCTACACCGAATTTAGGATGAAAGGAACAGTTACAGCGATAATCTACAACACATCCAAATACCAAACACTGCCCTCCCAAAGCCGACCCAAATCATCGAAACCGTACATCATTAACCACTCCAATCGAGTCAGTATCCCTCGATTCAATCCCTCCAAGCAAAACTCCCTATGACCAAGCCCAAGACGCAGCATCTCCAATCCAAAACCCCAACACCCCGCCTCCAACCTACGACACGCGAGTAATCACAAACTCGATCCCGAACTTCACGCCCTCCATCCACGCGACATCCTCCGCCTCCATCCCCCACTCCTCCAACTCGACCTCCCTGACCACGACCTCCCACCGCGTCCCCGTCTCCGCCTGCACCGCCTCCCACATCTTCACGAAAGACTCCCGATTCTGGTAGAACGTCACCCCCCACGGCCGGACATACTCGACGGGCCGCCGCCGCCCCTGCTGGAACCCGACGACCGTGGTCCCGGGCCTCGAGAGCGCGGCGATCCGCTTACAGGCCGCCTGCTGGCCCGCCCGGCTGAACAGATGCAGGAACTGCGCCGCAATCACCAGATCGACGTTCCCCTGCACGGGGGCCAGCGCCGCGTCCGGCATGGTGTGGAAATCCCCCTCGATGAACCGCGCCTGCATGCGATTCGCGTCCCGGAACAGCTCGTACCCCAGCTGCCAGAGGCGCGGCTCGCGGTCGACGGCGACCATGCGCGTGGTCGGCACGCCGTGGGCGGCCAGCAGGCGCAGGTCTTGGCCGAGGCCCGTGCCGAGGTCGAGGATCATGGAGGAGCCCGAGGTGGATTGGCCGCGCGCCCGGGCGACGAGGCTGTCGAATTCCGGGAAGCCCGCTAGCCCCGGTAGGAGGAAGATCCACATCCCGATGCAGGGGTAGTTGCCTAGCGGCCAGGCGCGGTTGCGCTTTGATGGTTAATTTGGTTTGGGGGGGGTGAGGGGAGAGGGAGAGTGGCGTACGATGCTGTGGAGGTGGGTGGGGAGTTCCTCGTCAGGGATCTCGCTCCAGTTGTTGTAGACGAACCGGGTCGAGGGCTTGAGTCTGGCGCCGTAGTCGGGGCGGTACCAGACTGAGGGATTGGCTGCGGACAGGGTTGGAGCCATGGTAGCAGAGATGTGATGGTGGTGTTGAGGGTGGTGCAGGATGGGATGGAGGTAGTTGAGAGGAGGAGGGAGTGGTTCAAGTTGGCCAAGGCCGACCTCCTTAGCTTTTGTACAAGATGGCTACATGAACCATCGCTGCGAGAAGAGAGAAGCTTTAGGTGAATGATGTGAGCTGACGCTTTTTATGAACCATTCACTGGGAGCAGGGTTCGTCATCAGCGCTCGGATGGCAGTCATGGGAACAAAGAGAGCGAGCCGCCGCACCGTAGCCGATGCTAATCCTCGTATCCGGCGGGCTAGCCCGAGCTGACGGCGTGTAATCCGGCGACTGTTCCGCGAGCGCTCATTCGCAAGTGTGGTGAGAGGGGCCTCATTACACGGTTCCTGGACGTTCAGCCCCTCTACTGGGTGCAGTCAGCCTCTCACTAACTGGTGGGGTGTTCTTTTGCTCATCCCCTTATCCTCTGATCTGACCTCGCGCGTGCGGGGCAACAAACGGTCGATGAGAGCAAACTGAGCATCATCTAAAGCTGTCTGTTCTTTCAACCGTGCTTTGCAGCAGTTCGTATGGAACATGGCGTTTGAGCAATCAGACTTTGAACCGACTCACATGCCCTCTGTGGTACAGTACCTGATCAGCTCGAGCACAAGCGCCACGCATTATAGAAGTCCGTCCAAGCACCCAAGAACAGCCGTTGGATGTCAGCACGACGGATACACGAAGACACCATTGCTTTCATAGATGGCTGAATGGCTGGATTTCTGTGGACAAGAGCTCAGATCGATAAGTTTGTCAGACCTTGTGCATTAGTGTTGGTGGCTCTGACATGGATGCTACTACGGGATAACGCCGGTAGGTTACACATTGTTGCCCGTCTCAGAGGCTGTAATTCAAGAACCGTACGACTCTCGATGAAGCCACTTTCTGTTAGCGCTGGACTGTGACGCTTCCATGCTAAGTAGAGTCAGGTCTAGGTGCCTATTACTTCGCTGACCGGCTGCTGACATGCTACAATAATGTTTGACCGATGAAGGAAAATGTCTCATGTCCGAGAACAAGCAAAGGAGAGGGAGTCGGGGGTGTAGTGAGCTTGGTGAAAAGGGGGAAACGAGGGTATGAATGTGACACAGCAGCATCAGAGCGGCAACAACCCGAGGGTCATTTGGTGGTGGGAGGAGTACAGCTCTGTGATGTGTATGGTGTTGACACCCGATTAGAATTAGTGAGATATTTTTTGATGTGAGGGCATCTTGGCAAAAAGTATACCTCCTTATCCTCCTTATGGAGGGGGGAAGGGAAGAAGGCAAAAAGAATTCTCCCCGACTGGGAGTCGAACCCAGGTCTCCCGCGCTTGTTCCCTATTGGGATTGACAAGCGGAAATCATGACCGTTAGACCATCGAGGAATGGAGATGTCGTTATGGGATAGTTCTTGCATTAGCAGCGAAAACAAGTGGTCTCACCACAATAAACAATGTTGGTTCAAAATGTCTCAAGAGGTTGTCTGCTTATACTCCATAGGCATCTTTGAGTGGGAGTGGGGGTTACAGATAGACTCGAGGATGAAGTTTTAGTATCATAAAGTCTAATTCGCCATTTGTTGAGACTACGATATGCGCAAACTCCAATAGCTAAAGTATTGAATCAAGATTGCATATTTGCTCTTGCAGAGGCATTAACCGACCCAGTAAACCTAGAAGCAGTTAAGCTTGGGATGAGACTACAGTACCATCCCTGAGCGGCTGGTCGTGCTAGAAGGTCAACAATCGTTTATATAACCCATTTCGTTCGAGAGATTCCAGTCATAAAGACAACTCTTTAGACTTAGCCCATAGTCATCCAAGCCATATTCTCTATGTTGTGGCATGATCACAAAATCCTTGACGGACTGTAATTCAGGTAACCCGGGAGTGTAGTTCCAGCCAGGGGCAATGGTTGGACCAAAAGAGCGGCGGGATATGATACGGTTCCACCGGCGAGTTCGTTCAACCCCGAATAAGCTTAATACGACGGGATTCTGCATGATGCAAGGATACAACGCCATTTATTGATCAGGGCTGCTCGTCCCCAGCCCTCGACCGAACCATCCCTCAAAGCCAAGAGAGCCCCCTATGCAAATCACGGTTGGAGACCTCTCAAGTCTGGCGAACCCCTGGCTTACAGTTTGGCCGCATGTGACCTATCAGCCGCGCAGTCATTTTATTTGGACCAATGCGGCATGTGAGTGACGAGCGGCAGGAATCTATCGGTTTAATGCAGTGGGAGGCAATATTCTCGACTAACATTACCTTTCAACTGAAGTCTGATTGTCGGCTCGTCATTTCGATCAACAGGCACCATCCACCTTGCCCGCGACGATCGAGCCTTCCTGCATGGACTCTGACCTGCAATTAACGCAACACCATCAATCGAATTGATCACATTAGCCCCTGAATCTCCTAAACGGGTGAATGGCGAACGGTCCTCACTGGGTATGATTCGATTGTGCGAGATGTGAAGGCATGGAAAAAAAGGTATTTAAACCCCCAGACTACCGGGCCATTCTGTCTCAATCATCCCAACAGCATCTCTCACTCTCTCTCCAGCCTCCTCCAACTACCCAAACAAACCTTACTTTCAAGCTCACGCTTCGAGTCTCTCCACCACTTTCAAGATGCAGCCTACCGTTCTCCTCATGGGCCTTTTCGCCGCCTTCGCCGTCGCCGCCCCCACCGCCCCCGGCGGCTCCAGCACCGACGTGACCTACAAGGCCAACTCCGACAACACTCAGGACAACAGCCAGAACGTCGACCAGACCCAGGTCCTGCCCATCAGCGCTCTCAAGGATGTCAGCGTTGCGGACGGCGCCGACATCGTCAAGAACGTCGATGTCAGCGCCCTCAACCACGTCCTGAGCGACGACGCCATCTTGAACAACAACAACATCGTAAGTGCAATCGCCGACATCGCTCGGCACGCCCGTGCTGCATCCGAGGTTGATCGCCTGTACTAATTACAATCCGTGCCAGCCCATCGACGTCTTGTAAAGCGGTCTCGACTTGACACAGGTGTCACAGAGTCCTGTCAAAGTTCCACCTTTTCGAGATCTCTTTTCTGTGTGCGAGGAGAAGGGGCATTGATGGGAGAGGAGTGGAGGCGAAACCAGTCTTGACTCATGTTGTATTTAGACTCTTTCTCTTCTTGAGGTTGATAATAATTTAATCGGGACGTGTTTATACACTGGAAACCGGCGTTTACCCTGGAGAAAGGACCCGTAGTGAGGAAAGATACTTTTAGTGTTGTCTTGGGCGAATAATAATTAGAAGCCTCACCGTCTCGTTCCAGCGCTGACAGGTGAAGTCCCGACCACGTACTCTGTAGTCAAGTTTCAATAATATCAGATAGGTATCTCGCTGTGGGCGAAGTATAACCAAATTCTCTGTAGCAACATATTAGATCCTGAGCTACTCCATCACGCATAACCAGAGCAGCCAGGGACCGGGCCGCAGACCACTCTGGCTCTGGTGACTAGAACAGCATTGCAATGTGAAATTTGCCTGAGAATATCTACTGTGCAGTACACATGAGTGAAGTGGGGAGTGCTGGATCAACAGCAACACTTTGAATGATTGCAAGCGAAGAAGTGCACACAGAAGGGAGGAGTGAGATATACATCTATATTTAGGGTCTATATCGGGCATATATATTGTTCGCAGCGAACGGAGCTGGGTTCGAGAAGTGCCAGGACACGACGCGATATAAATACCATCTGCAATCAGATCACACCTCTCAATAAACACTCTACTAGAAGCTTCGTTCAAAACGTCGAACCCAGCAGCACGCTACCTTGCACATCTTCTCGTGAGACGACTCGGAGGCATGAACTCTCTCCCGCCAATCCTGGCACTATGATGCTGCCGCTGGTATGTGATAGGTCTTGTGGGTTCTCCCGAGTCGGTGTTTGCACTTTGTTGGCATACGGGCTACGACGACTGTGGACGTGGCAACGCATAATAATATGCCTGCCCTGCGAACTTCACAGAAGATTCGTGAATGTAAAATGTACACTATGCACACTCAGTAATTACAAAACTCTCATCTAAAAGTCTATCGGCAAGTCGAAAGTAAACACCATCCACAAGACAGCTTGACTAAAGCCTACTCCCACCCCGTACCCGCAACCCCTCTATCCTGAAAGCTACCACCCGCTAATCATAGCCATAGCACAAATAACCACCCTGGGTGTTCATGACCGTGCCGATCGTGACATTAGGCTTGATCTCAAACGAGGACAGCGCGTAATGCAGCGTCGCGTTCTGCCACCCGCCGGCCGGCTCAACGTTGGCCGTGTGGTTCAGCGTCGGCCCGCTGATATCGTACATGCGGTTGACGGGGTCCGCCTTCTGCCACGCCCACCACACCTTGTCGATGTAGGCGTGGTGCATGAAGAAGACCGGGTCGCCGGGGGAGGACTTGATGTCGGCCATCTACACTCTCTGTTAGCAAGAATCCTCACACTCGCATAACTGCTCAGCAACTGAATTGTAAGGTGAAAGAACATACCACTCCACCGATATTCGTATGCACCCCCTTGTGCGGGATGTTGGAGACGCAGTCCCACCACGGCGAGTAGGTGTTGTACGCGTTACACGCGTTCAGCGCGGTGCTGTTGGCGTTGGCGATGGCGGCCTCATTGTCCCACGCACGTCGCAGGCAGTAGTCCGTGTCCTCGTCGCCGGGCCCGATGTGCAGGGTCATGTTGGCGAAGCGGCCGTCGGTCACGCAGGAGCCCGATCCAGTGCCGTTGCCTCCGAAGGCGTCGGGGCCCCACATCGTGGATTGGAACATGTTGCCGCTGTCGGCGTCGAGCTGTTCGTTCCAGTAGCTGTTTTGCCATGTTAGCATAGTGCTTTAGCGGGGGCATGATAAGAGTTTTGGGGGCATGGGGGCAGCGTACGGAATCGACCCGGTGTAGCCGCACTCGTCGCGGAGGAGGGTCTCGTAGATGTGCATGTAGTATCGGTGCCAGGGGAGGAACTGGCCCACATGGTGGATGATGTCCGCGTAGGCGGTGTTGGTCATTCCGCGGTGCAGCGCCTGCAGGTCGCTGAATCGGCTGGTGGTTGCGCTGAGGCCGGACTGCGCCGGCTTGTCCATCAGGCACTGCAGGGCGTCGAGGAAGTGGCTCTGCTCCTGGGTGGTCAGATGCCGCCATTCCTTGCGAATGGTCATCTTCTCCTTGGTGCAGCCGTCGGTGAAGTAGGAAGGGATGTACTCCGTCGTGGACTCGCGCTTCTGCGCCGACGCGGGGACGGCGGCGGCGGTGGCACTGGCTGCCAGCGCCAGTGCGGTGGCGAGAATTGAATACTTCATGATGAAGTCAGATTGGAAGAGAAGTTCAATGAGCGACAATTAATGAATGAATGTGAAGAAGAGGAAGGCTAAGAAAAAAAACGAAGGGAGAGTGGTCTGCGGGAGAAGAATACCAGTGGTTCTGGCTCCTGGCTGGCCTTTATACAGCCATCCCTCGCGGTCCTTCGTATCCCACCGATACACATACTCTCATGTCTGTGACGGGAACACTTGACAGCGCCTTGTGGGGAGCGAATCCGATTCTCAAGGTACAATGCCTATATTCGGCATCGTTTGTGGGTGAGTGATGAGTCCACTGTTCAAGATCCCGCGTGGACTGGGCCCGCAGTTATCGGTACCATCGGTATACGGAGCTCAAGCGACTCGTCACCTCCGAGTCTATACTAAAGGGATTCTATGGAACGTGAACGGGGTCTGTTCTTCACTGTGGCTAGAGATGTATACTATTGCAGCTCTAGTGACAGAACTTGTGCCGGAGTATTCCCGATTGGCCGACCGATCTGCTGGCAGATCTCTGCACACCTGTATGAAATTCAACAACCACATACATTCAAGACGATCACTTTGACAAGTTTCGATGCGCATACTCACAAACACAAATCTACGCTATACGAAGACCTCAATCTCTTGACAGTTGAGATTTGTCCGAGACTCCGAGTTGGTCAAAGTCTCCGCATGGGACGCGGCGGACAGGTCTTGGCGCTAGGGCTGTTAGCGAAAGACGCGCGTCCCGAGCCGACAGGCCAGAACGCCGCTGAAGAAGCTCGACCCTGACAGCAGGGAAAAGCCGCTAATGCGAACACTTCCCCATAGGGCTTTGCGACGGCGGTTAGAGATCGATATTAGTTCGGTTTGGCTAATGATTTCGAGAACCTTCACCGCAGGTGTGAGCAAAGGAGGACTCGAGCCATAGGCTGCGGAAGGAAGATGAACTGCTGGCGGGATAATACTACTAGGTAATGACAATATTGGGATGGATTTTACGATATACAGTCCTCACCCAGAGTGTATGCATCTAAGCCTCACACATGGCTGGCTAAAAATGGACAGGAGGTGAATCCATCATTCATTAGCTCAATCCAAGATCTGACCTGGAACCCGGCTACAGCCGATACAGTTTAGTGTGAATGATTGAGATAAGATGCAGCCGATCCCTGCCTTTTTCACAATCGGCTCCCACGTCAGCCACCAGGAAGTCTCTTCCCTTGGGACGCGCAGTCTGTGAACCGGCCCTTCAATCTTTGTGGCGATGAAATGCAATTACAATCAGGATCATCCCTTGATTCGAAGCCAAGCCCACGCAATCTGCGTCTTGGCTAGTGCTTGGCGCTAAGATGGTCCAAACCAGTTTAGCGTGCTGGATCGCAGTCTCATCTCGCCTTGCGTATTCTATAGCTTCATGGTCGTGATTTGCCCTATCCGATTGGGAGAAATTGGGTCAATCCAACTGCCGCTGACTCAGATCCAGGCCGCTGAGTCAGATGCTCACTGGTCCTTGAACAGAAGTTACGGAGTAAAGTTATACATTTTGCCGTTGCCATTGCTCCTGCGGGATGGAGATCGGCTGTCAGAGGAGACGTCAACTCGCAAGCTGTTACAGTGGAGTCGACTATGACCAAGGCAGCGGTTCTTGAGAACAGTACGCGTCTCTGGGTAATGAGTACGGGATTTGATATGGTCTCTCACAAGACTTCCATCGTAATATGGATGCAGTTTGCCATTCCAAGAAAACTACACTGCACAGTCCCGACAACCCTCTTCTGTTCCTTCGGACACACCTTCATGCCCCTGTTCAATCCATTTGAATTCTTCTTTCAGATGCAGATGAGCTCGCAGGTCCCCGGACCGGGCATGTCCCTCGAAGAACTCCGCCCTCGCTGCGCGACCGCAGAGTTTCCCGAGTTTTCCACTGGCTTCATCTGACGTGACCTCCTGGTAAGTAATGGTCCGCAAGAACTTGCCAACCCAGAGACCTCCAGTGTAGCGAGCAGCCTTTCTCGTGGGGAGTACATGGTTGGTTCCGATGCACTAATAACCATAAATTAGTCTCATCCCGTACCCGTCATCAGTACCACAACAGAAAACACAGAGAAGCACCCACCTTATCACCATACGACACACAGGTCCGCTCGCCCAAGAACAGCGCGCCATACGCCGTCATCTTCTCCAGCGCATCGCGTGGATGTCTCGTGAAGATCTGCACATGCTCACTGGCGATTTCGTCCGCCATCTGCCAGGCCTCGTCCATCGTATCCGCCACGATCGCCTCGCCCCAGTTCTCCCACGAGACGCCCGCCAGCGCCGCCGTGGGTAGCTCTTTCAATATCTGGTTGATGTATCCGATCGCCGTCCGGGCCACTTTCTCGGAGGTGGTCAGGATCACGCACGGCGAGTCGGGCCCGTGTTCCGCCTGCGACAGGATGTCGGTCGCCACGGTGAACGGGTCCGCCGTCTCGTCGGTGACGATCAGGATCTCCGTCGGCCCCGCGAAGAGGTCGATGCCGATCTCGCCGAACAGCTGGCGCTTGGCTTCCGCGACGAAGGCGTTGCCGGGCCCCGCGATGAAGTCCACCTTGGGGATGGTCTCGGTGCCGATGGCCATGGCGGCCACCGCTTGCACTCCGCCCAGAATGTAGATCTCGTCGGCGCCGGCCAGGTGCATGGCTGCTACCGTGCTGCTCGGGATCTTGCCGTTGATCGGGGGCGTGCAGCCGATCACTCGCTTGACTCCGGCCACCTTGGCTGTCAGGATTGTCATGTGTGCGGAGGCGAGAAGGGGATATCGGCCGCCGGGGATGTATCTGTAGTCGAAGCCAGCATGTTAGAGAGATGTAGTTTTGTCCCGTATGCGAGGAGACTTACGCGCCAACGGTCTGGATGGGGATGTTCTTCTGGCCTAGGAACACTCCCTGTACAGTCGACAATTAGCATACTCCACTGGCCAGCGTCAGAGGGGCAGTACCGGCTGCGTCTCGATCTCAAAATCTTGGATCGACTTGCGCTGTGCCTCGGCAAACTGCCGCACATTGGCCTGTACCTCCTTGATATCGGCGATAGTCTGCTCCGGAACCTCCGCCATAATCGCCTGGATATCCTCCGAGGACAGTCGGTAAGATGTAGGCGACCATTTGTCAAACTTCTCCGAGTACTTGCGGACAGCGGCGTCGCCATTTTCTCGGATGTCGTCGATCACTCCCTTGACGATGGCCGAGACGTCAACGGACGGAGCCGTCGACTTCGTGCTCTGCGGCGCCCGTTCTTTGAGATATGTATAGCCCATGGTGTAGTTTGTTTGACTAGCTTACTGTACTTGAGAAGTGATCCCCGTAACACTGTTGTGCTGGTACCGCATCTTTATACCCCTCGCCACCACCCGCGGCCCTCACGGCTTCGGAACAAAGTCCGAAGTCTTCGATCATCCCAAATTCACCGCAAACAGTAGATTCGGCATTCTCTCCGATAGATATTTGTAGCCGGAATTGAAGTGGACAAAGTTAACTTGAGGGAGGGGAAGTGCAGTACATACCTTGAAATACTTCCGATGTGGAGCCGAAAGGGAGAAGGACCCTCCTTCGGGATGCCCCCTTCAAAACCCAACCCAACTCCCCCTCCAAGCCGCCCGAATACATCACATCAGTTTATGTTAGTTCCAATGACAACCCCAAAAGTAGCCCTCATAACCGCCGGATCGCGCGGCGTCGGCGCAGCGGTCGCCCGCGCCCTCGCCCGCGACGCGCACCTCCGCGTGGCCATCAACTACCACTCCGACCACACGGCCGCAAACGCGCTGATCGAGGAGCTCGCCACCCTCTCGCCATTACCACACAACTCCGCCACACCGAACTTCATCGCGCTGCAGGGCGACATGGCGCGTCGGGAGGAGATCACGCGCGTGGTCGCAGAGACGGTGCGCGCCTTCGGGCGGCTGGACGTCGTCGTCTCGAATGCGGGCTGGACCCGGATGACAGACTTCATGGATCTAGATGAAGCAGACCATGAAGACGACTGGGATCGGTGCTTTCAGGTCAATGTGAAGAGTCATTTCCAGCTGTTTCATGCGGCGCGTCCGTATTTGGATGCCGCCGGGGGATGCTTTGTGGCGACGGCGTCGGTGGCGGGGGTGAAGCCGAGTGGGAGTAGTTTGGTACCTCTGCCTTCTATCTTTGATCTGCTTGTTGAGAGTAAGGATGGATGCTGATTTCTGCCAGCCTTATGCCGTTACCAAGGCCGCGTTGATTCATCTCATGCGCAGTCTGGCGGTGATTGCTGCGCCGACGATTCGGGTGAATTCTGTCGCGCCAGGGGTGCTTTTGACGGTAAGACTTCTTCCTCCGAAAGATGGGGATGTTGGCTGAAGAGTGTTAGGATTGGGGCCGCCAGTTCTCGGAGGAGAAGCTTCGCTCGGTTCAGGAGAAGAATGCGCTCAAGCGATTCGCTACCCCTGAGGTTTGTTTTCTTATGTCTTCAGAGGGGGAGGTTGCTGACTCAAAACACAGGATGTAGCAGATCAAGTCCGCTTCCTAGCGACGAGTTCCTCGATCACAGGGCAGAATATTGTGATAGATGCAGGGTTTTCTCTCTGAATTCAAGGAATACACACTACCTGCAGGTTGCAGTGATGTAAATCCACATTGTAGCACGGACGCTGGTTTTAGCTTTGCACTAGCAAACGTGGCCACAAAACATCGGCCACGGCGCCAGCATCTGCCAGTGAACAACTTTACACCAGCGTGGAGTCATGCTGCAAGGCTGGCGCTTGGGCAATGCCCCCTTCGCCGCAGAAGATTACTCCACGGACGAAGCATTCTAGGCTTCACACTAAGTTGCCTATGTCTAGCCAGCTTTGCAATCTGCTCATCGTAGCCCCCAACTATACCATCCCACAGTACAAAAGTTCCATTCTTAGCCTCCATTCCCATCGTTGTTCATGGCCTCCGCTTTTCCTCACCTCCTGCGCGATCTCCTTGGCCCCGAAGACACAGATTCCTCAACAGCTGCAGCTCAACCACCACCACAAATCGCCCTCTTCTGCCGCCCCGACCACCTCGAACTCATCAAGACAATCCTTGACGAGATCTACGAGACCGACGACGCGGTCTCTCCCGAAACCCCCCAAACTGCGCCGGGGACCATTCTCGGCCGCCATGGCCGGACCACCGTCCTCCTCTCACCGGTCCCAGACACCGGGAAAACCAGAGCCGCAAAACGCGCACTAGATCTAAAGCTCTCGCTGCCCAGCATCGACCTTGCCATCGTAGTTGGCTGTTGTACTGCAACCCTTGACGCCGAGGACGGGAGGCAGATCTCCCCCGGTGATGTTTTGATCGCCGACGGCGTGGTGGAATATGATATAGGAAGGCTGATTCCGGGCGGTCGGTTCGTTCGGAAGAACGTGGGGGTCATCGGGCCCAGCGAGCGGGTTCGCGCGGTGCTGGACGAGTTACGCTCCAAGAAGGAGCTGGGATATGTTACTGGAACACAAGAAGTTGGGGTGGTGAGTGTTCATGTTGGTACGATTGCTTCGGGGGATAGACCTCTGGATGACATTGACGAGCGCGAAGCGTTGAGGACGGAGATGTCCGCTGTCGGGTTTGATGTTGGGGGCCTTTGCCTGGGCGTTGCGGCGGTATTTCGGTCCTGTCTTGTTGTTGTGGGTGTGGGTGGTGATGCTGATGGGGTCTGTGAGGATTGTGGGAGACGACGGGCTGTGGGAGCTGCTGTGGCGGAAGTTAAGGATTCTGCTTTCTGGTAAGTAGGTTTGGTGGTTGCGAAGAGACGTGTTGGCGTCTGTCTGGTCAGTGTGCTACTATGTTTGTACTATGTATGCGATGGATGGTCTAGAATCTCAATCTTATTCTCAACAGGGGCCCCTCGACACGGCAGCCATGAGCCTGTTCTAAAAGAGAGACAACTCCACCGTGAGATGAGTGAGATAATAGAATCTGGAACCTATTACACGCAAATCCTTCTCTCAACAACAACCGACCAACCATCTACCATCCAGTCTGCACAGTAAACCCTCCCAATTCCCATCCGGACCATCCAAGCCAACCCATCAGATAAGACCTGATCCCCAGCATGAGCCCCTCCCACATGGCACCAAAACCCCTCGCGTCCCAACCAATACGTCCAACACGCCCAGCCCTATAAGTGGATTTTCGCGATTAGTTGACATCTCGACAGGCCAGGCACGGTGATTGGCCCTCGTCGCGTCAACACGTCCCAACACAGCCAGCGGAGACAGCCCTACAAGTGGAATTTCGTGATACTTGGACATCTCAACACAGCATGCAATGTGATTGGGTGGAAGGTGTCTCAGACCCCTGACAACGCGTCCCAAGCAACACGGTCAGCCTTATATGTGGATTTTCGTGATGCTTCTGACATCTCGACGCTGCTGGCAAGGTGATTGGGTGAAGGGGGAGCGCGTTGGTACTGGCGCGCAGTGAGTAACACATGGGAGTGGGAGCAGCCTGATATGTGGAGTTTCGTGATGCTTTAACATCTTGGGTGTAGGTGTAGGGATTGGTGGGTGTTGGGCTGGTGCCTGGAGGTCTTCTCCAAAGATTGTCGGCTTTTGTTTGGAAGTCTATAGTGCCTTCCTTCATTGGGCAGGACGAGGGCTATGGGGAGACTTAAGCTGCACACAAGAAGCTGGGATCCAGAAGAAGTTTAGCTTAGAATTGATTTGTTAGTATAAAGTGGATCTCATTATCATTTGCAAATCTTGAGGAGGTCGTAAAGCCTGGATGGTCGCATTCTGGTCACGGAATGTCCTCAAGACACAGATCAAATAATGGCATCTCTCTACATCGATAAGCTAACATTTGGGGGGTTTACCAAGGACTATCACCATCTCGTATTCGATTTCGGTCCCAGAATCCAAGGGAACAAATTGAAAGACAATAGACGCTATCATGGCCGCATGCTATCAACACTATGTACATAACTGAAGTAAAACTGGTCAGAAAGACCATAGAAACTGCTTAGTTGACATTCTCGAACCCTCCTTCTGTTTCAGTACTTGTTCTGCGGGACTTGATTGTGCTGTCCCGAATAATATTCTGCATTCGCAGGTGGTGCTTGACTGTAAGACGCATGGGTGTTGGGCGGCCCTTGGTTGTACTGTTCAGAAGGGTATTGCGCACCGGAGGGCGGGCCCTGGTTGTAGCCCGCATGAGGGTTCGGTGGCCCCTGGTTGTACTGCTCCGGGTGGTATTGACCCTGGTTGGGGGGTGGCTGGTTGGAAGGGAGGTTGCTGTTGGGCGGCACTTGATACTGCTCCGGGTTGTGCTGCACGGCCTCGGGCGGAGGCGCGCCCGGCGCCTGGGCGTGGAACATGTCGCTCTGGGCCAATTGCTCCGGCGGGATGTCACTGGGGCTGGGGCCGGTCGGAATCTGCACCCCAGCCGGGGCCTGGTCGAAGTTGGCCTGTCCGGCCGCGGACTGGATCGTGTGCACCAGCCCCTTCACCGAGGGGTTGTTCGACCGGACCTGTCCAGCCAGGATGTCCTTCACCGGCACTCTGCGACCGTAGAACTTCTCGTTCTCATCCGATCGCTCCACGATGATCGAGCCATCGATCTGGATGCCCCCGTACAGTCCCTTGGACTTCATGTAGGTCCAGATCGGCGCGCGCCGCTTGTGCACCTCGCTCTCGACGACGCCGCCCATGCCAATCGGACCCGCAGCCACGCTGACCTCACTGCCGAGCGTGACGCGCAGCTTGGTGAAGGCCTCCAGGGCCTCGTATGTGTTGATGACCATGACGCAGTCATAGATATCCGCGCCAGCCAGGAAGCCCACACCAGCAGTGTGCAGGAGAATACCCGAGGGCTCGGTCCACTGGCCCGTCTGGGGATCGCGGGCGATGAGAATGCCACTGCCGCCGGCACCGCTGAAGCCCCAGCCCCACCGCATAGCAGTGAAGACGGCCAGGCCCTTCGCCTCTCGAATGACCTCCGAGGGGATCTTCTTCAACACCTTCTGTTTGCCCCGCGGCTTGTCGATCTTCTCCTTCTCCTTGTTGTTGGCGGCCTCAGGCCCACTGACGGGCGGGGCGCTCTCAGCCTTCTCGTCGATATAGACCCCCTCCTTGCAAAAGCTGCGCAAAATGCGGGCGGCCTTGTCGGATTCCTTGTCGATGGACATGGGCCAGAAGGCCTCCGCACCCAGCTTGTTGGAGAGACGGTTGACGGGCCCACCGAGCTTGTCCAGGGCGTCCCAGCCTTTGTCGAAGGTCTTCTTGCCGAAGACTTTGGTTTTGTCCCACATTTTGCTGGACGAGCTGGGGGTACTTTGTTGTGGTTGTGACATTGTGAAGATGTGTAAGAGATTTTTGTTTGTTGTGAAGGAAAATCCAGAAAAAAAAATGTGGAAGTGCAGTGGAAGAAGTCAAGTATATGTAGGTGGGCTGGAGGCTGACGTCGAAGGCACCAACATTAACAATGTTGAATTGGAGGGGCAGCTAAAGCTAAGCCTTCGTAATCCGCCCTCCAACCGGCTTAGCGCTGTGGGGTTGGATGTTGAATGATTTCATCGCCACACTTTCTCCCCACTTGGACTTGCTCCGATTAGGAAATATTCTCGTTTGCCTGCTTGGGCTCCAGTCATGAATTTGAGTCTGTCGCATGTGGGAGGGCTGAGCAAAATGTCAAGATTTAGGCCAAGACGAATGCATTCGTGCCCTATCATTCAGCCACAAGCTTATCGCTTATCGGATCTATGACGTCGGCCGATGTCGGTCTGTTAGACCTTGTATGCCTACATTGCTTCGAAGGATTACCACGGATACAAGCCTTATAATATATTGCACACCATATATTACGCTCAACATCATATATACTTTCAGAGACATGACATCCTCCCGCTTCAAGCCAAAGTATCCCGAATGGGATCCTTCTCCGCGCTCTCGACACTCTTCAAAAACTCCCGCGCCGCCTCAGGATCCTCCGCGAACAGATGCTCCGCCACGTTGCGCCGCGGCGTCTCGCCCATCCACTGGAACAGCGAGAAGTCGCGGAACCGATCCGCGCGGAAGATCTCGAGGACCTCAACCTCGTCCTCGTCCGACAGGTTCTCGATGAAGTGGCCCATGTTCTTGGGCACGATCCCCACGTCGCCCGCCACGTAGTCGAAGGTGCGCGCGTTGCCCTCCGCCGCGAAGACGGTCACCCGCGCCCGCCCGCGGATGAAGTACGACCACTCGTCCGCGTTGGGGTGCCAGTGCATCTCGCGCAGGGCCCCCGGCTGGATCGTCAGGTGCGCGGCCGCCACCGTCTTGGAGATGGGGAAGTTGGACGAGTCGGTGATGCGCACCTCGCCGCCCGAGGTGCGCTCGGGCTCCTGCGCGAGCATCCTGTGGGTGAACCGCTCCTTGGAGGGTTTGAAGTTCGGCGGGATCTCTTTGGGGATGGAAGCCGGGTGCGAGCCCGGGAAGATGTATTTCTCGCTCGTGGGCAGGTTCTTGAAGAGTTGGGGGCGGAGGCGGAAGTTCTCGGCGAGGACTGCTTTCGGAGTGTGCGCTTTGGGGATCGGTTAGCAGGACGGATTCAAGGGTGTGGGTACAGAAGAGGAAGGGTGGTGGAGGGGCGCGCCACATACCCATCCAATCCGTCAGCAGGAACGTTGACTCCTCACTGAAATTGCCATCGTCGAAGATCAAGAGAAACTCGGTGCCGTTCTCCCCGAGTCCTTGCAGACTGTGCGGGTGGCCGGAGGGGAAGTACCACAGATCTCCCTTTTCCAAATCGTCGATGAACGCGTTTCCGTCGAGATCGATGCCGGTCACGCGCACCTGGCCCGCGAGGACGTACGCCCATTCGGCCTCCCGATGCCAGTGTAGCTCTCGGTAGACCCCGCTGTCGAGGCGCATGTTCACCCCGGCGAGCTCCTTGCTTGTTCCGAGCTCGCGGACCGTGGTTTGGCGCGTCCAGCCGCCTTCCTACTCAGAGTTAGCATTGCATTCGATAATTCTGGTAGTGAATTTCCGGCGAAGATCACGCACCTCAATTCGCACGTGCGAGTCAGCGAATGACCATCGCATGTTGGGCAGCGAGCCGTGGTCGGTGCTCGGGGGCCGGACCAGGTCGGGGTTCTGGCGCTCGCGGTCCTTGTTCCGCGGTCCCATCATCGAGGCGCCATCGCCCATCCGCCAGGGAAGGGGCTCTCGATCTTCTCCGATGGCATCCACCTTATGGTCCCAGGGATCACGGTGGTCAGGGGTGAAAGGCTCTTTGCTGTTGCTGTTGAAGAAAGTCGAGGGTGAGGAGGCGGGGATCTGCATCAACTGCTGATAAACATCGTTGGGTACTGGGCCAGCATGGCTTCGTCCGATTAAGCCGGTCACGGCCACTAACGCCAGCAGAGACTGAGGGGACCTCGATAGTAAATGCATGGTGTGAGTATGGGCGGGATGTGATTATCTATGGGGGATCTGGTCTGCCACTGGGGAGAGGGTCGCCCTCTTTATACGTTGGTGAGGGATTATTCGTGCTCTGCTTCCGGGCTTTCCGACAACGTGGAAGAGAGCCAGGGGGTGTCAGAAACCGGTCATCGAGTGGAGACGCATTTTGGAAAAGGGGCCTCTCATGTGGACGAGGAGGGCTGTTGGGTCAAAGCTTGGGTTTTGCTTGTGCTGGGTGGGGGGAGGAATTGGTGCGGGCTATTGGCGGATGGCTCAGCCCTACAGGGCTGGGACGGCACGTCGTGGTCATCACGACGTCACCTGCCTTGGAGCATTTGCTTGCGAGCGGCATTTCCACAACGCCCTATTCTCCAATATGCAGGGGGAGAGACGAGGCTAGCCAGTTCAGTGGTCCAGGAGCATCGATTGAGAGTACGAAGATTTGCTCCTGAGATCAAACGGGCTTTCGTCCCCGCTCTCGAGGGAAAGTTCTTGCCCACTACTGTCTTTGAGGAGTCAGAATATTATTATCCTCGCTGTCTTCTCTTTGGACTCTCTTGCATGACAGAATGTTCGCTATCATGCATTATGCGAGTGTGATACGCACCACACATTCATCGGCCGTGTTTCTGGCTGCCTGTTCACAAACAGGCGGAACCGGAACAATCCAAAGCCGAAATGAACCCTGCTATCACGCTAGACCCTATACACATTAGTGCTCTTAGTATCCTGCCTCAGGCATTCAATATCTAGATAGGATCTTGTTAACAACAGTGAATATACAACAGAGAAGCTTGCAATGGATAATTTCTTCATCTTTCTCACTTCTATAAAACTTTCCATCATTTCTTCTCACTCCATGTCTCTCACCTCGAAGCCTCCACCCACAACCTCATCCTTTCATCAACCATCTCGAAACCTCCACTCAAGACTTCTCCATCTCATCTTCTCCACACCACAACAGACATCATCAAGACAAAAGAAGACCCTCAAGATGATGCGTCGACTTCTGGAAGTGGGAGCTCTGGGCCCTGTCCATCTTCTGCCCACAGCAACCCGTCTCCCCAGGGCCATTGTTCTTGACTCGATGAAGTCACGTTGGACCGGACCCCCCTTGTACGATCCTACTTCCTCGAGCCCGCACGAGGTCACGATAAACATCTTGCAACACGAGGCCGATGGCGAGCCGTTCTTTACGAAGAAAGCCTTGCTGGACCTGCAGGCCCAACTCTCACGTCCCCTTGAGGCAGGCGAGAAGTATGTGGCCATCGGGTTCGAAGGCACCCCCGTGGAGTTTGAGCCCGCCATCGGGCAGGTCAGTGAACATGTGGGACATCGATTCGTCAAGTAAGCATGATCCTTTCTTTCGATTTCCACGAGATGAAGCGGTTTTTGTCGAGTCGAAACACGCCGCGGAACGAAACTGACCACCTCATCCTCACAGTGGCGCCGTTGCCCTCGTGTATCACTCCTGGAGCGTCTTCCTCGGGCAGGCCTCCGACAAAAAGTACCTGGACGCCGCCTCGTACTGCCGCGTCGTCCCCATGCACGTCCAGCAGTGGATCAACCCGGACACCGGCGAGATCTTCGCTCTCCCCCCGCGCCCCGTCGAGGGCCCCAGCCGACTCCTTCGGAGCGCGGTCTTCACCTGGGAGCCCAGCGCCGCCTGGGCGGCCATCCGCGAGGTGCTGGTGGCGGCGCGCGAGAAGCACACGATCACCAACTTCGTGGGCTTCGCGGGTGGAACGATGTTCGGGGACAGTCCCTCGGCGACGCAGCATGCGCTCGTCTGGACGGTCATCCGACTCTTCCGCAAGGACGGGAAGGGCGAGTCGGACGAGCCGTTGGCCTGCTCGCTGCAGGACCCGATTTACGACGCGCAGGATACGCGCGTGTTGAACTTGCTGAAGATGAACGTCGTCGAGGATCCGCAGGGTTTCCTGGACGTGGAGGATTCCTCGATCGTGTTCACCTGCAACTCGGATGTGCCGGTCAAGGAGATCGTGCTCAATATCGCGCGTCCGGCTATCATGATCATTGACGATATTACCCGCATTAACTCGTGAGTTTTGTTTCTGGTTGCTGGTTGCTGGTGCGAGAGGAGTGCGGTGCTCACGAGACTAGGATCTACGATCCCGTCACTAATCGTGTGCTCAAGGCGATTGGGGACTCGTATGAGATGTTCGACTTTCCGGATCATGAGGCGTTCGGGCGGATGGCTATCTACGTGAGAAAGTAGATGCGCATCCGAGATGATGACATGCATGACCGAGATGATTTGATAGTTGCGAATGTATATGAACGAAGATCACGAGCTGCTCACCCTTTTTGTACTATAGCGAGATTGACATGTGTTTTTGTTTTAGAGCAAGCTGCCGTCATTGATCTGTGAAATTTATGGGAGACTGGAGTAACATTGCTTTGGATGGTTCTTATTCTTCGTAGACGGAATTAACCCCTTCGGGGTGTAAGCTATCAGTGACTCGGGGGAGCTCGGTCGCGGCATATCAGCATGGTCGGTCGCTTTTGCGAGTACGTTCGTCGGTCTTGCCTTTCCACTGATGTTTGGGGGGCGACACGGTTTGTATGAACAAGTACAGGCTCTGGAATGTTGCTGAGCTTCGTCATTGCGGCCATCGGCCTGGCCTGGAAACTCGCTGGGTTTTTTTGTCTCGGGGAATGTGACCGGTCGCGTCTGCCACTGAGGGCGAGCAGCATTTGTACTGTATTCCGTCACGTGTTCAGAAGCTGATACTAGACATTGAGCATTGAGAGGCTCGATATATACTGGTAAGATCAAAGCATTGGCATTGGAATTTTGCTTCCTAAGGTGTATGGCGCAGATCGTGCTGAGTGTGAAATTTGTCTTGCTGTCAATGTTCAGTGAAGTGTGGGGTTGAACTGCAGCTTGCGCGCAACATATATTTTCACCGGGAATGAGCAGAACCACCCACTCACACAGGCGAATCTGTCTACTTACTCGTCCCAAATTATCAGATGCTAGAAGCTGAGACAGAAACGAACGGGTATGTACTCATTCTGTTCACTGAAAAGAAAGGATTGAGAGAGAGACTGGTCGTTAGGCGCAATTGAAAAAGGGGAGAACAAAAACAAAAATGAAAAAAGAAAGTGGCGCTGCCCGGAATCGAACCGGGGCTGGCACGGCCACAACGTGACGTCATACCACTAGACCACAGCACCTGTTGTTGTGGTAGTTGGCTGAACATTACGGTATATAAGCGTCATCAGCAAGTGTGGTCTGCACCTTTCTTTTAACTTAATCGCTGTGCTGATTGTAAGGTCAAATCCGAGCCTTTCAGATGTTGCGCTACAAAGACCACGACAGTAAACATACACGCCGCAACTCAACCATGCTATCCTTCTTCAAGTTATTGTCTTCAAGTTATTGATTATCCAAGATGTGCGTTAATAAGACCCAAGGTTACTGGCTACTGCCTGAGGCTGAAGGCTGACCACTCGGGGTCGGGCTCAACTCTGGGTCCGACCGGGGGGTGTCAGCTTGTGCGATTGACAACCGTGTCAGAGAGCTCGTAGGAATTTAAGATTACTCTCAGACCTGTCCAACGGAATAGATGTTTGCATGGCGTTATCGATGCCGAGCGCGGCCTGCATTCCAGCTGATCGTGCCTCCCTTGCATCAGGTGACAGCTCTAGCCCTTGGCTGCGGGATCACAGCTCAGATCACAGCTACTGTGGATCTGGGTGGCCCCCAACCAGCGTTGAAGGGAGAAATAAAGTAAGTCTGAATACGAGAACGGGGGGGATCAGTTGACGGATGACCGAACGAGAGATTCAATATCCAGTGGGGAGTGGCTGGGGAGAATGTCTGGGGTGGAGGCGAACCCCGGAACCGCATTGGTACCATTGGGGCCCAGATTACTTTGGATTTCCGAAGCGGTGGAGCTGTTTGTCCCTTCCATCCACCGGCAAGGCTGCAACAAAGAACAGAGACTGAAAGAGGGTAAGTGAGATATCACGTTATCACCATTTCACTACTCAGGCAGCTGCCTGCTGTTCAGTTCTGTTGCTGTTGCTGTTGCTGCTGCATCGGCTGCTGCTGCATTTCCGACCGCCTCCCCATCACCCACGTGGGCTCGCTCGTTCCCCCCACAACCTCGTTTTCAACTCTTATCTCTCACCCTCTCAGTCTTTCTCACACACATTTAAATTCCTTTTTTTTTTCTTCTTCCACTCTCCTATCCTCCCTTCCTATATTAATCACAGATTTTCTCTTCCTTCTTCTTTGTCTACAGCCCTCAAACACCCGTGTCCACTGCTCACCACTCACCCCCCCGTTAGAGGCCGTGACCTCTCTGCCCCGGCCACCATGTCGAGCAACTCCACCACCAGCCAGGTCAAATCTCAGGCAGGAATCCTGGAGGGCAGCAATCCGACCGTGTACGACTCATCGAACCCGATCATCCTCTTCATCATCCAAGCGAGCATCATCATCGTGCTGTGTCGACTGCTCCACTGGCCCCTCTCGAAGATCCGACAGCCGCGCGTCATTGCCGAAGTGATCGCGGGCGTAGTGCTGGGCCCGTCGGTGATGGGACGCATCCCCGGCTTCACCGACGCCATCTTCCCCAAGGCCTCGATCCCGGGGCTGAACCTCGTCGCCAACCTCGGTCTGATCCTGTTCTTGTTCCTGGTCGGCTTGGAGACCAACCTGCGCTTCCTGATCAGCAACTGGCGGGTGGCGGTCAGCGTCTCGGCCGCGGGGATGGTGCTCCCCTTCGGCCTGGGCTGCGCCGTCGCCTACGGGCTGTATAATGCCTTCCGCAACGAACCCGACACGGTGGACATCAACTTCGGCACGTATCTGCTGTTCATCGGCATCGCGATGGCTATCACCGCCTTCCCCGTGCTGTGCCGCATCCTCACCGAGCTGAAGCTGCTCGGCACCAACGTGGGCGTGATCGTGCTCTCGGCGGGCGTGGGCAACGACGTCGTGGGCTGGATCCTGCTGGCGCTGTGCGTCGCCCTCGTGAACGCGGGCTCCGGGCTGACCGCGCTCTGGGTGCTGCTGGTCTGCGTGGGCTACGTGCTGTTCCTGATCTTCATCTTCCGGCCCCTGTTCCTGCGCTTCCTCGCCCACACGGGCAGTCTGCAGAAGGGGCCCAGCCAGTCCGTCGTGGCCATCACCCTGCTGCTCGCCCTGGCCTCGGCCTTCTTCACCCAGGTGATCGGGGTCCACGCCATCTTCGGCGGGTTTCTGATCGGCCTGCTGTGTCCGCACGAGGGCGGCTTCGCTATCAAGCTGACCGAGAAGATCGAGGATTTGGTGGCGGCGCTGTTCTTGCCGCTGTACTTCACGCTCAGTGGCCTGCAGACCAACCTGGGATTGTTGGACAACGGCACCGTGTGGGGGTACGTGATCGCCATCATCGCGATCGCGTTCATCGCCAAGGTCACCGGCGGGGCGCTGGCGTCCCGGTTGAACGGGCTGCTCTGGCGGGAGAGTTTCTCGATCGGCGTGCTGATGAGTTGTAAGGGGCTGGTGGAGTTGATTGTTTTGGTACCCTTCCCTCGCTGTTACCTCTCCTCCCCAGCACCAAGACTGACATGAATAGAACATCGGCCTCCAAGCCAAAATCCTCAGCACGCGCACCTTCACGATGTTCGTCGTCATGGCCCTCGTCACGACCTTCGCGACCACCCCGCTGACCGTCGCCCTGTACCCGAAATGGTACCAGATCAAGGTCGACCGGTGGCGACGCGGCGAGATCGACTGGGCGACGGGCAAACCCCTGCCGCCCGACAGCCGCATGGACAGCATCACGGCCGCCAAGTCCGCGCACCACGGCGACCACCACGAAACCCTGGGCCACCACCGCCCCGTCCGCAACCTGCTCGTCTACCTGCGTCTGGACGGCCTCTCCGGCCTGTGCACGCTAGCCGGCCTCCTGGCCCCGAACACGCACACCCACAACAACACCCACAACCACCCGCGCGTCCACCCGGACAAACGCACCCCGACCAGCCTCGACCCGGACACCAAGCACGCCGACGAGTCCGCGCCCGCGGAGACGGAAATCACGGAGCTCGACGCGCCCGCCCCGCAGAGCCTGCAGGTGCACGGCGTGCGGCTTCTGGAACTGACGGACCGCGACTCGAGCGTGATGAAGGTCTCGGAGATCGAGCAGTACACGCTCTCGGACCCGGTGGTCAACACCTTCCGGGCGTTCGGGCAGTGGCACGACCTGTCGATCGTGGCGGGCGTGTCCGTCGTGCCGGAGCACTCGTTCGCCGACACGGTGGTGGGCATGGCGCGCGAGGAGGCCGCCGACCTGGTGCTGCTGCCGTGGAGCGAGACCGGCGCCATGGGCGAGCAGTACCACCTGCATTCGCCCGTCGAGGAGGGTGTCCGCTTCCTGGACGGCCAGCCCTACGCCGCCTTCGTCGGCAGTGTCCTGGACGGGTCCCCGGCGGCCAGCGCCAATGTCGGTGTCTTGGTTGAGCGCAATCTGTACGCCCCGCAGCATGCGCTGGGCGCCGCGGGGGGTGGGGCCAGTGGGGTCAGGCATCGCCCGTCGCTCGGGGCGATGAGTGTGCAGCGCAGTTCGTCGGTGTGGAATGCCCGCGGCGGCGGTGGGGCGGCCAAGGCGCATCATATCGTCGTGCCGTTTGTCGGGGGGCGGGATGATCGGCTGGCGGTGAGGTTCGTGTGCCAGGTGGCCAGCTGTGATTTGGTCACCGTGTCGGTCGTGCATTTGGAGATTCCCGGTGCCACTGGTGCCACTGGGAGTGTGAGTGCCAGTGGGAGCGGGGTCGTTCCGGAGGAGTTGGTCGAGTCGGATGCCGCTTTCTTGTCGGTGATGAAGGACTCGTTGGACGAGGAGGTGCTGGATCGTGTGGTGTTTAAGAAGACCGCGGTCAAGACGGAGGCAGAGGCCGTCGCTACGATGGTCGAGCTGGTCAAGGACGAGATGGTCCGCTCGTATCACAAGGCGGGCAACCTGGTCGTCGTGGGCCGACGGCATTCGGCGCTGGATGAGCTGCTCGCGTCTCAGCCCGATGGCGGTGCCGCGTCGGCGGCGGCGCACGATGAGGTCGGCGCGGAGGCAGCGCGCGTGCTGGGCGTCCTGGGCCAGGCCTTGGTGAAGAAGGAGAACCGCATCGTCGGCGATGTGCTGGTCATGCAGAGTAAATAGAGGCGCGAGATCCTCAACCTAGGACGAACATACGTGATACCCCCCGCCCCTTACCTTAAGATTGGAAACTATCCTACTGGTCTCTTATGATTTACTGAAGAAATGAATCGAAATTTGATGTTTTGGTTTTGGTATTTGGATTTCATCATGATTGTAGATATGTATGTGCAAAACATTTGGGGTTGCAATGCTAAATAACCCCCGACATGACACTTATGTACTGTACTTTCAAATATGCAAATGCAATGCTAACATGACAGATTGACTTTGACCTGGCCTGTCCGGCAGGATCCACTTTGTTTTGTTTGGTTTTGTTTTTATCGTTTCACATCATCATTAGACCTTCTCGTTGTCCTCCCCAGCGTGGCTGACCAGACTCGCCAGCTTGGACTTGGCCCGCAGCTTGGGGCCGTACATGAACAGCACGTAGGGGATGAGGGTCAGGGCGGTGGCGATCAGAGCCAGAATCAACCCGGCGTACTGGCTGCCCACGTTGTGGAAGAACTGCGAGGCGAACAGGGGCGAGACGGCACCCAGCGTGTTCCGCATGAAACCCTGGCCGGCGATGGCGGAGGAGGAGCTCTCGCCGTAGCAGTCGGAGGTGTAGCTGTAGCAGCTCTCAAAGATGAAGAAGATACCGATGCAGATCAGCACCAGGGCGATGACGGGGGCGATCCAGGGCAGGTCGGCGTATTGGGTGAAGGAGTAGATGAAGAGGCCGATGGGGAGCCAGACGGCACCGAAGAGGGCGCCGTACAGACGGGACTCGGGGCGGGCCTGGCCGGCCTGGAAGAGGGCGTTGTACTTGCGGATCTGGAAGAAGTTGAGACCGAAGCCGATGGTGCAGCCAATGCAGAGGCCGATGTAGGGCAGGCCGGACATGCCCTCGTTCCAGCCCTTCTTCTCCTGGAAGGTGATGGGGATGACCGACAGGAACAGGAAGGTCAGGAACCAGGCGAAGGCGATCCAGAGACCGAAGGCGAACACCACGGGCTCGGTGATGAGCATCTTGATCGCCTTGACCGAGGAGTTGTGCAGCATGTGCTTCAGCGAGGGGGCCTCGAGGTCGTTCTCGGTCACGTAGCGGTCGTCGCCGGTGTGCTTGCGGAGCAGCTTGGCCCGCTTGCCGAGGGCGACGCTACCACGGGTCTCAGGGAGGAAGAACAGGATGACCAGGGCGAGCGGGATGTTGGCCAGACCCTGGATACCTTCCACCCAGCGCCAGTGGAGGGCCTGGTCGATGAAGCCGGCGTAGATCGGGGCGGCCACGGTACCGAAGATGGCGATCCACGAGAAGGTGGCGACGGGAATGGCGCGGTCCTGAGGGTAGTACATATCACCGAAGGTACCACCGACCAGGATGGTACCGACGCAACCGAACAGACCGAGCAGGGCACGGCAGACGAGGATGGTGCCGATGTTCTTACCCAGGGCGAGACCGATAAACATGATGACGAAGCAGAAGTAGGCTCCGACGTAGACGACACGGCGACCCGCCAACTCACAGAAGGGGGCCAGAAAGAGGGGAGCGAGGGCGCAGATGAAGTTGAAGAGGAAGAGACCCAGTTCGGCGATCTCCTCGGTCACACCCAGATCCGAAGCCATATCACCCAATCCAGAGCTGTAAGCTGTCGTGGCGAGACCGATGAACAGGGTCATCAGACAGAGCAGGGCGGAGATGAAAGCCTTGTATTTGCCATCCCAGTTGAACGGGTTCTCCTTGTCACCGGGGACGAAGTCGAGGACGATATACTGGTTGCCGTCCTGGACGATGCGTTCGGTCTGGGTTAACGGCATGTCGAAGTCGACGGTCTGTAGGGGGCCGTCTGCCTGAGCAGGGGCAGAGCTGTCATCGAGGCCCTCGAGGTACTTTCCACCGGCGATGCGTCCTTTGCAGGTGGAGTCGATGTGGCTGGAGGAGCCGGCGGAGGCATTCTCCGTATGGGAGGCCAGGCCAGGCTGGGACTTGTCCATCTTGTCCATTGTGAGAATGTATGGATGGGATGGAGGAGAGGAGGAGAGGAGGAGAGGAGGAGAGGAGGAGAGGAGGAGAGGAAGAGGGAGGAGTAAGAAGAAGAGAGGTGAGGTCGAGTGGAAGAAACAGGCAGGAAACAGCAGGGAAGGAGGAGGTATAAAAGGACAATCAAAACACTGGGGAAAGGAACCCGTCTCATCCGGCTTCTCCAGTTTTATTTTTTTCGTGTCGGCCCACCCGAGTCAGGGCTTCAGTCCATCTTCTTCTGGGGTGCGTCATAAAGTCGGGGTGGACTGGGAGACTCTGGAGTGGGCATGGGAAAGGCATCCGCCTCATTGTAATGCAGGCTACGGAGTACAGTTCCTGGCCAGGAATGCTCCACGAGATGGATCCGGGATGGCGTTGGAAAGTAGTGGGTCACCAGAGTTTGCGGTCGATCAAACTGAGAAACTTCGGGGAAACTGGTCTGATGTGCAGATATTGGCAGTTGGGATGGATGGGTGATAGATGAGGAGGGGAGTTCACAGTCTCTGATAGTCTTGTCAGAGATGTTAAAGATAAAGAGCACTTGCTCGATCACCTTCTGTCACCCACCAGTCACAACAACCTTCACTATACTCTTTTCCTGCCTCCTTGTGGTGTTGAAACAGCAGCAAGGAAGAAGTAATTCGGAAGTCGACCGAGGATGACTTCATCTCGGCATCCCGACTTGCCTCCAACTGGCTCCTTCTCCATCGGGCCGACTCGGTCCCCCACGTCCTTTGGGGGGCAAAAGCCATACAGAGTTTCGGTTGCACTTCGGCGAAATCCTCACCGTCGCTGAACTCGGAAGGTTGTCGGTCGGTCCGTTGCAGGGATGGTGATTTAGTCGTCTTGTCTCCTCACAAGATGAGCCAAAAAAAAAAAAAAAAAGTATTGCCGTTTCTGTTGTGAATATCCTCCATTCAATCCCCAAGACCAAGTTAAATACTGTCAAACCCACCCGCGAAACCCTACTGATTATCTCTTTCTCGACTTCTTCCACGTTATCGATAAGAAGGTGCAGCAGAGAACTCGAAGCCCGTGCAGACTGAAACCCCCATGATGCATTGGGGATCCACCATTCCGGCCCAGAGAAACTCGGCTGACCTGCTTGCCCTCGGGCCAGAACAGGCAGGACAGCCACTGACGCCGAATACAACGCCATCTGACCGGTCCGAGAGATCTCCTGTCGGGCTGGTGGGCGCTGGCCTGGACATGCCAGCTCGATGATTCGCTGCTTGCCTTTCCGCTTGGACGCCTGTTGCCAGAACCATCGACCCTGACACGTAGGGATTCAGGAAAAAAGCGGACCCCCCACACTACTCCGACTGCATTGCCTCGCAATTTTTTATGCTAGGCTCCTTACACAACTTGGTCACGAGGGCGCAATCATCATAATTCCGTAGACTCTAGGAGGCAGTCCGGGTTTTTCCGATGCCAAAACCGGCCCTCAACCAAGCCCAACCCAGTCAAGCTTAGGTTGGATTGGGGTGAATGACGACATGGCGCGGATGACGCCCATGGTTGAATGATTACATTAGATGTAGAGCTTTCAATGTTAAAGGAGTCTGGCCATTCAAGATTGTGTTCTCGACCTGACCTGATTTGTGGTGTGATTGTTGTGGTTGCGGTGGCAAAAATTGAGTTGTACTCAAAACGTTTTCGGTAGGGATTCCCACTGTGGCCGGTTCATATTTGTGCCTGATTGACTGGATGATCGACACTCTTATCCAGCTTGCTTGAGCCTATTTTGATGTGGTGCACCGGGACTAATCAGGACAGCTGTCAAGGTTCATGCTGTAGTAGCATTCCTCCAAGAAATGGCCGGTTGGTGTAGTTGGTTATCACGTATCCTTCACACGGATAAGGTCCTGGGTTCGAGTCCCTGACCAGTCATCTTTTTGTCCTATTCTCTTTTTTTGCTCTCTGCATTTCTCCCTTCAAAATGTCTTGCTCTCTAGGGCATGGCGAATGCTTTTTTTTTTTTTCTTCCGCTTGATCGTCGGTCTCTCCGATGAACCACGATCTGGTTCCTGATAAAGTTTATTCGAGAATAACCCTGGAAAGATTTTTCTCTTCGGTGGCAATGCTGGATCTTGCCACAGGAGGGATGACAAAGCGATCGGCATCGGGCCCCCTTTCATCGCCAGGGGCAGAGCACCTGTACCTGACACTATACTCGAGGTGACGTGAAGGATGGACATTCGATGTCTTTTCTGATGGTTACTATCATTTGCAAGGTTAAATATACCAGCTAACTGGGCAACACAGCTCAATAAGTTCATCAAGCCTGATAGAAACAATAATCCAAACACTACGGATATATGTTGCCGCGCAACCTGCGTAATGTATAACACTACCAATTAACCGTACTCTTATGTACACTCCTATGATATCAGTAAGGAGCCCATAGGTATTCTCCAATTGCGGCTACATATATATTTCGATTATTGTGGTAAAACGCGCCTGTTATAATGCTCCCTTGGTATTCATCAACAAGCGGGCGCAAAGGGAGATGTGCACTGCTAAACCTCCGGAGCACATTCAGTATTGCGTGTGCGAAACAACCACAATTGCCCGCCCACTCCCCTGCAGGAGCTCGTTCGAGAGCCTCGTACTGACCAAACTCCCAGCGCTGCATACTGGCAGCAACCACTCTATGCTGTGATATGGAGGCAATGCGGGCCATTGCACAACCATGCAATGGGCAAAAAGATGGAGCTGCGGGGAATCGAACCCCGGACCTCTCCCATGCTAAGGGAATATTATACCACTAAACCACAGCCCCAATTGATGAAAGAGGACTTTAAATATGCATATATCAACCTTGGAGTGCCTTTGTGGGTAGCACCTGACGAAACAACGCAGCTGGATAGAACTGTGCTTACACCAGCATGTGCCTTGCCAGTACGAGTTGTGATCATGCAAAGGCCTTCGCCCAGAACCGTATGTAGTGCAGTTATGGTTGGTAATTATGTTCCCCGTGGCCTCAGGCACATATACCCATCCACGTGTTCACTACATTCTCTTGAGGCTATTATGGTCTAGCCAGCCTGAGTGAACGAGTTGGCAGTGGGCAATGTGGCAGTCTTGTCTCTTGTGAAGGGGCTGGCACCCAGCCGCTGGTTGCTATTCCGTGTCTAACCCATAACCCCCTTAGCGTTGTTTTACCCCGCACACCATTTTCCCCCCTTTCATGATAAGGAAGCTGTTCTCGGAACATCGGATTTGAAGATAAGGGATTATCGTGGTCAGCCGGTGATCTCTGGTGACGGCCTGAGGGACGAGGCACTTACACCATAGCGAAACTCCAACCCCAAGTCACCCGACAAATGTTGAGACCGATCCCAGCAATGACTCTTTCAATGACTGAGAGTGCAACGACCCATTCAAAATCATGGCCGATATTCTGGTTGCAATCTACCCACCGGGAAACCACCAGGTGTACATGATCCTGGGCCTAGGACAGGGCGCGAGTCTGACACAACACCGCCCAATTTTGCGGTATGTTGGAAGCTGGCTCACAGCCTTTCGGATGGCGGGTCTCTACAGGGCGCGGAGACCATCTTCGTGGGTGCTTCGACCCTCGCCTGGGATTTAAGTAGACTATCGCTGAGCTTGACTGATGGACGTTTCTCTTATAGGGTACGTTTCAACCATGCAGCCGCTGGGATACAGGCTCGTTGATCGCCGCGATCGAACTTTATGTGTCCTCCATTCGATGAGAGTCATACCTGATACCGTGCGTACCAACGTGACTGGGGGGTTTCATCCATTGAAAGCGCATAAGCTGGATCCATTGCATCTTCAATGGCAATTTCTGGACGATACTCGGTACGATAGACTTACAGGGCGAGTTCGCTAGTCGCAGCTCTGTGGGCAAAATACAATGGCCCCAGAAACTTGGGTGCTTTGAAGTATCTCCTGGAAGACGAACGTCCGAAGGTCCTCGGGCTGTGTCGACTTCGACATCATGAATATGGCTAAGCTTTCTGAAAAGCATGATGTCAAGCTTCTGACGCGTGGTACCTTGGTATGTGACCCGATGCACCTCCGACTATATGCTCCCAGTCATCAACACTAGCACCAAACACGCACCCTCTCACATTTGCCAGTTAACGAATAATTGTCAGAAGACTTCCTCCCTTCCATATGAATCAATAATCCTCAAACAGGCCTCCACAGCGAACCATGGCATCCAGTCTAAGCAAGGGAAAGTGGCACCACATCGACAAGATCCGATCTGCAACGAACATCCCCAATGAAGAGAACTACCGTCGGTATTATGCCACAATGACCTGCCGCGGAAGCTGGTTGCTCTCTCAAGAACTTCTCCGCGCTGTGAGAGCCATCGCCGATAACATAGCGTTGGCAGCAAGCGACTTACGGCCTCCGGACTGGAGGGTACTGGGCGGCCATTGCGGGCGCGCGCATGCGAGCCTGCGAGCAAGCTGAAGACATACTGAAGAGTTCCAGATGGTCATCAGACGAGGCGGATTGGGAGCTCATAGAGAGATTCATAGAAGTTGACCTGCGGCGATACTTGGGTCGATGGGGAATTACGAAGGAGAGTGTGGCTGAATTATCAAACACCCGGAAGACACTGCCTATAGCTATAGCAACGATGATGAGGACGGCGCTCGACAACTACCACGTCACACATTCTATTTTCATTTACCGAATGATCAGATGGAATATAGAAAAAATTACTGCCCCCACCGCGCACACACCAACCCCAAATCACCCCCGACTAGCCATCAACGCGTCCTCCGACACCGCCGTCGACAGAACACTAAACTCGTCCTTCCGGCGGATCCGCTCCAGCTTGACCGGCGGGGTTCGCTCGTTATCCGAGCTGGCATAATACCGGGACCCGAAGCACGCGGGGAGGAGGGGCTTCAGTAGTGCAGGCAGACAGGGCATGCAAGCGCACACGATCGCGACGTCGCACTCTACCATGCTCCAGTAGATGGCGGGGTTGTTGTCCACTTCATTTTGGATTCTGTCAGTAGGCGCCCACTAGACAAGTGGTCTGTGGGAAGTGAGGCTTACTGCTGATATTGGCGGATTTGGAGAAGCGGATGAGGGATTGGAGACGGAGGCAGCTGACGACGGTGATCCTTGTGGTTGTTAGTGGGGTCTGTGCATGGAAGGTTTCCAAAAGGGGGAAGCGGAGGTTGGGGAGTGGCTTACAAGAACCCCGTGCAGAACATCAGCAAGACAAGCGTCTTCTTCCGGCGGCTCAACGCGAGCTTTGACAGCGGGTAGATGGGTAGTGCGATGATGGACAGGTCCATCGCAATTTGCATGGCGGCACGATACCACGAGTAGGTGTTGATGTCAATGCAGTGGCCTGTTGCCTCCCCGGACCAGCTGTTCCAGAAGTAGGAGACTGGAAGGCATTGGAAGATCATGATCAAGGTGTTGGAGATGCCGAAGCAGATCGAGATGCCAGCGAGGGTGTAGACAATGTATCGGAAATTGCCGGGAGGGAAGATGCGGAGGTAGAAGGCTAGGAAGGATAGCTGGGTCAAGGCTTCGGCGGGCATGTAAAAGATCTCGGCGATGAGAAGCAGCTGGGTTCGGGTTAGACTGAAACCCAAAGGAGTGGAAGCGTGACAAACTTTGAGCTGGGTAGTAATGTCTTTGAATGGGATTGTCCAGATGTTGGTCCCGAGGCCGTGTTTTTGCACTGGCTTGTTAGTGATTGCTTGCTTCAGGAGGGATGTGCACTCACTGGGGAAAGCCATGATGTTCAGTATTGCAGCACAGGCCTGTATTGAGTTAGCTTGTATCATTTACCGGGTATTAACAGTCCAACCCATACCATAGCCATCAATATCAGCCCATCGTCCCAGCCAAACGATCGCTTCATCATGGTTCGTTGAGCCATGCGCAGGCAGGTCATGATGAAGGCCAGCATGCCCAGTGAGCCGGCCAGTGCAGGCGTCAAGCTGGCCTTACTCTCTTCATGGATCCCACAGGCTGCACGAGTGTAATTTGTCGAGACTAGAACGTTAGGCGACTCCGACTGCTAGGCAGTTAGACTACCTACATAGGTTCTGCTTCGGGGTGCAAGATAGACTGTAGCACCCCAGTGCCGTTTCCAAAATGCTCTCCCCGGTACAAATGCACCATCGATCTGTCGTTGCGCACGAGCTGACATTCATTGCGGTTTCGAAGCATTGAGCCTGGACAGTTAGGATTGATGATCATCCAACAAGGTTTCGAGTGAAGCATACCGCACATGCTGGCAGGTCACTGAGGAACTCCGGGAGTAGGGTTGAGTTCATCCTGGGCTAATTGAGAATCGACTCGGTTGACAGCTGCATCACATAAGCTTCTCTGTTGCCAATTCTATAAGTAACATCGGAATCTCAGTCGGCCTGAATTTTTAAGGCTGGAAGAATGGGAAGGCTGTCCGAGTTTATTGATCCATTCTTGCGCCTGTCAGCCCAAGCATGCTTGTTGATGTATCGAGGTTGTTGATACTGACGGCGTGCGAGGTGCAGTACGACAGAGGCCGATCGATGGTTGCAAGGATCCAGCAGGGACCAAGGTACGGGATTGTACTCATCATGGACAGTGCGCAACGGTCGGTCGATCTCCAATGCAGAGCAGTGGATTGATAGGGCAGCGCGGACAGGGATCCTGGCCTGGAATGGCCCAGTGGGGGGAGGAGGATGAGATAGGCAAGTCCTCCGCATGCATGGTCGGAACATTTACACATGTCGTAATCACTGCCTGAAGTTTATCGCGATAAACATCGTGGAAGTTGGTCACGGAGTTTCTTCCGATGTATTTCTGCTGTTGCTTGATCGTATATCACAGGTGCTCCGCCACTAGGGCATGACCGGCAGGCCATAATACGCTTTTGAGGAATTCTGCGATTTCTTCCACGGTCGCAACATTCCTGTTTTCTGGCAGCTTTGACAGGATCCACCTGTCTACTGGCGTGTGTCCGAGCGTCTTCCAGGCTCCTGAAACAGCATGCATCATTGGTTGGGACGATAGGGTACTTTTTTCTCCCCCCCGCGTCGGTGGATAAAACTAGACCAACTTAAGTGATTAGTCCATCCCCGTTCGCCACTCAGTGAAGGCGATTTCTCTGCGTCTCCATATCTGTCAAATAGACTTCTGCAGACCCCTCTTGTCGTAACGGCCACACTAGACTAGCTGGCGAGAATGTCAACCGTTGGGGCTTACCTGGGCTTATCTGTTGACCGAGGTTGTTGGCCTATGTTGCGGAGGCGGACTTACAGTTCGTCGTTCACAGCCCTGACATTTTTGTGTTAGGTACTGCACATTCCAGGTGTCCAGAAATCAAGGGGGCTAGGAAAAAAGAACACGCAGATAGACAGATCATTTCTATATGTATGATTCTCCTTTGTGCTACTGTGTAAAACCCCCAGTGACTAATCTGCTATCGGGGATTAATATGGGTATAACAGAACCACCTCTACCTGCGTGAGACTAATCTAAATTCATGCTTTCGAGCGTCCCTGCCCACACTCTGACATTTCCTCGACGTCAAGGTTCCTGTGGAGAAATGTCCGTGCTCTGGTTTGCCTGTAGACGAGTCAGATTTAATTTAATAAGAGGGTGCCACCCCCGGTACTTTCTGCTTCTTGCGCTTGATCTGTTCACTCCTTCAGAACTGTACGCCCTCACCTCGCGTTTCATCGTTGTCCCACCATGACGACAACGACATTGATCCAAGGCCTGATCGGGCTGAGTTTACTTTATATCTTGCTGTCTCGACTTTTGTCCCGATCGCGATCATCTGCGCCTCTGCCACCGGGACCGAGAGGCAAGCCCATCATTGGCAATCTGGCAGACTTGCCTCCGCCGGGAGTACAGGAATGGAGGCACTGGTTGCAGTTTAAGGAGCGCTACGGTATTGCTTTTTTTCACCCCCCTTCCCCACACTAGGATTGCTTCTGCTCGCCTCTTTTTGCTTTCTGCTTTGCAATTAATCAGTATTTGAATTTGAATTATGCCCGAAATAGCTTGTTCACTATCCCCTTTGAGGCAGTCTCCCACTAGAATAATTCACGAGTCCCCGACCTAATGCACATCTCCTCGACACAGGTCCGATCAGCTCCCTGACCATTCTGGGCCAAACCATGGTGATCATCAATGATGCTCGCACGGCCTTCGATCTGCTCGAGAAGCGCTCGAACATCTATTCGTCGCGACCCCGACTGACCTTTGCGGGAGAAATGTGCGTGTTGGCCTCAAATTTGAGTCTCCCAATCACGAATCACAAGAGCTAACGCAGTCACCACTGCTTGTAACTAGTGTTGGCTGGAATGGCGCCCTGGCGATGCAGACCTACAGTGACCAATTCCGCGCCTACCGAAAAGTGATGCATCGCGTGCTGGGGACGAAGACGACGACGGCACGATTCAATTCGCTGCAGGAGGTGGAGGTGCGCCGGTTCCTGATGCGCGTGCTCGATCGCCCGGAGGACCTGGTCCAGCATATCCGGACGTAGGTACTTCTGTCGGATCCTCTTCCATGCCTTGTATACTGATAATGGCCTTCTCAGCGAGGCCGGGGCGGTGATTCTCAAGATCGCGTACGGATACACAATCGAGCCGCATGGACGCGATCCCCTCGTCGACCTGGCCAACGAGGCCATGGACCAATTCTCTATCGCAGGCAGCCCGGGCCGCTGGTTGGTCGATACGATCCCACTCTGTATGTCTTCTTGGGTGTGTCTGTGTCCGAGACATGTTCGTCGACTAATGGATTGTGCACGTAGTGAAACACGTCCCCGCATGGTTCCCTGGCGCCGGCTTCAAACGCACGGGGCTCGCGTGGAACCGCATCCTGCTCACCACCGTCGAGAAGCCCTACCAATTTGTGCGCCAGCAGATGCAGCGTGAGAAATTCACTCCCTCGTATGTGTCGAGTCTGCTCGAGGGACGCGCTCTGGACACCCTGACGCCGGAGGAGGAGCATATTATCAAATGGACTGCCGGGTCGCTTTACACAGGGGGTGCTGATACGGTTAGTCACACCATCTTTCTCGAGGGCTTAGTCTGGAAGTCATCGATAGTCAAAGTGAACTGATCCGAATCAAACAGACCGTCTCCGTCCTCTCCACATTCTTCCTCGCAATGGCCCTGCACCCGGAAATCCAAGGCAAGGCCTACGAGGAACTCGAGCGCGTAGTGGGACGCGCCCGTCTGCCCACCTTCGCCGACCGCGAGAACCTCCCGTATATCGATGCGATCGTGAAGGAGGCCCTGCGCTGGCACCCGATCGCCCCCACAGGGATCCCGCACCAGTGTACGGAGGATGACATCTACGAGGGATATCTGATCCCCAAGGGGGCGATTATCATCCCGCATATATGGTATGGATGTCCTTCCCTCCCTTTTCGTCTCCCAAGTCATGCAAACCCATTCGCGCGCTATCTCTACCTGACGCCCATCATGAAACCACATGCTGACAATGGAGGGGCAAAAGGCAAATGACCCAAGACCCCACCATCTACCCCAGCCCGAACAAGTTCGACCCGACTCGATTCCTGTCGCCCGAGCCCCAGCTGGACCCCCACAATCTGGCGTTCGGCTTCGGGCGCCGCATCTGTCCCGGCCGGTTGCTGGCCGACAACACCATCTTCCTGACGATCGCGCAGTCGCTGGCTGTGTTCCGGTTCATGCCACGGGATGACGCTGCGCCATTAAAGGCGGAGTTTGCGCCGGGGGTGGTCAGTCATCCGTTGCCGTTTGCGCTGCGGGTGGAGGTACGCGGGGAGGAGCATTTGAAGGTGGTCAGGGGCGGGGTGGAGGAGGTTGGGTGGGGGTCTAGTGATGCTGGGGCTTTGGCGGGGGTGGTCTGTTAGGGAGTTAGAGGGGGATTGTAATGAGCTTGAGAAAGGAGATACTTTAGTATAATAGTTTAGGGCTGAGTTTAATAGAGGTTATCGGTCTGCTCAGATAGTTATGCCGTTTGGCTGGCACGGATGATACTACTCGAGATGAAGCAATTTGATAAAGCGGTTGTGCATTCTAGCTAATCAACAAAACATAACGAAAGAAAATCAAAATTGCGAACAGGGATGAACCAAGTCTCGTTTTCCAATCATCAGCCGAATTCCGAAAGAGTCACCAAAGTGTAAGATTACGACTCATCGAAATGGTTACTCCGTGTCGATCGTTGACTGGAAACAATTGAACTTGTCCTCAGCAACGCGTGATGATCGTATGAGTCACGGTACGAGGGATGTAAGTGGTAGAAGGTACGGGGATACAGTTCGAGCTTGATGAATTGTGAGGACAGTAGGCTGTGACTGTGGTGGTGTGGTCAGGGATAGGGATAGGGACGAGGGGGTGGATGGTGGTAATAGGCATGAAGTCAGTTCTTGAAGTTGGGCTGTCGGTGCAGTAGCTTGTGATTTTGACGGTGCTGCAACCTGAGCTCGGTTCATGTCCACAGTGAGTGGTAATGATCACGGTGTGGTCGGCGATAGGAGTGGAGATCACGGAGCCGCAGCTGAGTGACTGCAGTGGCCTGTCACGATGGTCGAAGGATTTGCACTTAAAACCGTAGTAGAAGTGAAAAAAAAAAAGAATGACTCACACTTGGAATTGAAGTAGGAGTCACAGTGCCACAGTTGGAGTGACTGCATTGGCCGCTCGCAGTGGTAGAAAGATTCACGCTGGGAATTGAAGCAAAAGTTGAAGAGCTGTAGCTGGAGTAACTGCAGTGGCCCGTCACGATGATAGAGTAACTCGAGCCTATAATCGAGGCGGAGGGCATAGAACCAGTTCCGTGACAAGAGGTGGTTGTGGCCGTTGTTGGAGCAGGAGTAGGAGTATGGGTAGCAGTGAGGATGGAAGTCACCGACCCAGAACAGTGAGTTGATCCAGATACATGTGGAGTACTCGCTGGTGGAGCACTGCTGCTGGCGACCCTAGTGCTAGAGGGAGAAGGGGTAGGTTTACTGCTCGGTGCAGAGGCAGCAATACCCGCACAGACCTCAAATCCTGCAGGCAGGTATTCACACATTTTGTTGGGACCCACCACATCAGGATTCCAGGCATAGAAGTCCTTGACGGAGATACCGTTGGCCAGAGTGATCAGAAGACATGTATCGGTCCTGTAGGCATTGTTTGTTAGTGTCGGCTGAAGACTGGGACGCGAGAAATTGATCTTCTTTCATGGAAAAGGTAAGAAAGAAACTGTATACTCACGGTCCGACTAGCCACCACTTGATACAATCACGAGTTACTCGAGGTTGATGGGGACAGGAGGTGGGGAAATCGGTGGGTGCAGGAAGTTTGGCAGTACGAGTTGAGGGGGTCGATGCATCACCAACACAGTAATAGTATCCAGGCTAGGTTTGAGCAACGTGTCAGTCTAAATGTCAGAAGGGCGCAACAGGCAAATATCAAGACAGATCGGGGAAAAGAGGTCTAAAGGGAATCGATTGATCGCGACAGTGGGGGCAACCATACGATAAGTTTAAGACACTCTCTTCCAAGGTTAGGATTCCAAGACACGAACTGCTCTCGCGAGAACGTGCCAAACGTAGTCACAATCAAGCTGCAGGTATCTTCCTTGTCGGTCTGGTACCAAGTGGTGCAATTCTTCGCTGTGCCCTGCGGCGTCGGCTGGGGCGGAGTGGTAACATGTGGAGGAAGTGGGAGGTTGTCATAGGCAGCGATGCAGTAGTAATACCCGGGCCTCAAACCGGAACAGTCATCCTTGAGAGCAGGGTTCCACTGATGAAGAAGCTTCTCATTCAGTAGACCGTGTTTGAGTAGGATGTTATCGCAAGTATCATTCTGCTGGGATCAGACTCAGATCTTGATGAAAGGAGAGGTAAAGTACATACCGCAGCAGCCTTGTAGAAGGACTGACAGCTCGGGACTAGACTAGCCTGTGTCGGGGCAGGAACAACTGGCTCGAAGGTAATGTTTCGAGTCGGGGTTGGAGTCCATGAGGCGTATGGCGGAATGGAAACATTAAACGAGCCAGTGGGGTAGACCAGAGTCATACCAGAGCCGCCTGGAATTCCCACGCAGACCCAGTAGTCAATTAGAGGGTGCTCGCAGTCTTTTTTCAGCTCAGGATTCCAAGCCAACCTGTGTTTGTAAGCGCAGTCGCTGAAATTCTGACAAGCAGGACTTACAGCTCATCTAGAGAAATTGAGACACCAGAACGCTCTGAGATTGTCTGGCAAGAGTCGCCTGGCTTGACACGGTACCAACGGTTGCAAACACCCGGCTGGCCTGGCTGTCTCAACCGAGATAGGGTTAGGAGGCATAGTCGGCATTATTTCGGAAGTAACTGGCACGCGCGCACTGTAGGTGGATCCGACGGAGAGGCTCGTGGTATTGGCTGGTGCGGTCATAGTGGCCTTACTACCTGCCACAAGAGCCAGCAAGAATGCCAACAAGAGATGAAAGAACGCCATCTTGAACAGATCTCGCCTGATCTGAAGATAGATGACGGTAAAGGAAAGAATTCGCAACAAGAGGGTGGAAAGGTAGAAAGACTGGATAAGGAGGGGAAGGGCAAGGAGGGAGAAGAGGAGGAGTGGAGAAGAAAGGTGGAGGGGGGAGAGGAAGAGTGAGGAGAAGAGGAGAAAAATAGAGAGGGTGATGATACGTGATCGTATATAGCTGAAGAAGAAGGAACTAAGCGGGGAAAGGATTTTGACCAAGAGATAAGTCCTACATTCACTGTGTGTGATTCCTCGGATGTCTGGCTTACAACAAATCACATTCCTAGCGTAACGTCACAGATATTCTTGGTTCAAGGTTCACTACCAAACAAGTCAAAGACATCAAAACAAGATCACCTCCAAGTATCCCACAATTTTACCCCTCCTACAATCCTAAAACTTTGAACACTCCCAAGACTTTCACATAATCAATCCCTCACGCCGCATGAGCTGTATTGCTGGAACATTTCAAATTGAGGGCTTCTTGGATCAAGCCAAAAGGGCTCCCAATTGTTCGCAAAGGGCGAGTTATACATCTGCACCAATCCTGCCACGTCTCCAGCAGAAGGTACCCTGTTTGCCTTCCAGGTCTTACCGTCGTACGTAGTCAAGACAGGACCCTTACCCGCAGCATCAGACCCGTAGAGCATGCATGAGTCCCAATCGACGTCGTCGACGTGTGGCCAAGGCTCCCGTGGTCCGATGACATTCGCCGGGAAGGGCAGAAAATACGCTGCATTAAAGCCAGCCTTCGTAGCAGTCCACCAACTCACATATAGTCCATCAGGCCCCCAGATCTCCTCCTCAGTCTTGCCTCGGGTCTTCTCTTCGAAGTCGATCAGGTTTCTACAGTCAAACTTGAAGATCCAGGACCCATGGTCAGTTGGCCTCCACAGAGCCGGATCCTGGTGCTCGTGGATAAGTCCAAATGCGTGTCCGATTTCGTGAGCAATGTTGGCAAGGATGATGTCTTCATTCCAGCCTGCCGGGGTGGAAAGGTACATGTGGGCGGGTTCGAGCCTGACCCCCGGGTTCGGCACCATCGGGGGCATGCCAACGTTGGTGACAAACAGGTTAGGAGTGTCATAGACCGTAAGGACGTCGAAGATAGCGTTTTGGCAGATCACTGCGGATGTGGGGTGTAGTTTGAAGGTTTCGGGCAGGCCCGCAGCGTACCATAGTCGCATGGCTGCACGGAGTAGAGGTTTGTATTTCTGCTCGGCTGCTGGAGACTCATAGCAGATGGAAATGACCCCGTTGGGCCAGAGCCGGTTGACGTTGGCCCAGGGGCTCATTTCTGCCCATGTGTGAACCCGGGAGCCCAGGGAAACGAAGGTCAACAGCAGCAATAGTAGTCTATTCCAGGAGACAGAGAAGAGAGTCATGGTGATCCCTGGAGACTAAGGCTAAGTAGATGTTAGCACTAACAAGACTTTTTACAGAAGATAACTCACTTGGTCTGGACCTTGATTGTCACAAATGGTGATAGAGACTGTGACGATACATGGGTTGAGGAGAAGACGAAGGTGATGAAGACAAATATGGAAAAGGAAGATGAAGAAAAGTAGAAGAGAAATCAAACAGATTCTGACATCACGTAATGAGAAGCCAGAGGTAATTTTACTCATATGGCTAGGCACTGAGTGAATGTGTGAATATCAGTAACTCTTAAGATAGATTACCATATTTAATTTGATTATCTCCCACCCTCACAACATAGAACAACCTCTCTTCTCCATCGTTCTTAATAACCTCCACCTACGTTACTACCAACCATCATGACTACCCACAAAGTCATCCTATTCCTGCTCGCACTGCTTGTGTGGCAGTTCAAAACAGTGACAGCATATTCGAGCCACCATGGAGAGTTTCTTCATCGGGCCCCTGTTGGTGCCGACGATGAATATAGCTGTTCAAAGACTAAGAGGTGCAAGATCGGATGCTGCGGTCCTTTGTAAGCTAGACAGGTTCTGAACCTAACGGTTTCTGGCTAACTTGGAGGCATCCAGAGACAAAACCACTGGCACTGGCAACTGCGGCTATGGCTCAGACTTCTGTGGAAAAGCATGCAGTGCAGACTGTGACCGCAAGAGCGAATGTGACCCAGGCTGGGGACGCGAATGGTCGGTTGCCTCACACTGCCCTCTTAATGTCTGCTGCAGCAAGTTCGGATTCTGTGGTAAGTTTACCTTTGTGATCGTACACACAGCTCAGGCGAGACTACGATCTTAACACTTGTTGTACTATCATTAGGAAGCACATCCAGTTTCTGTGGGGATGTCAAGGTGCTCTCGCCTGAGTGCAATGGCAAGAGTGCCCATGGACGGACTATCGGATACTACGAAGGCTGGAACCTTGAGCATGCATGCGGAAGTTAGTGATCTGAAGTCTTTTTCATCTTTGCTCTTGAGTTCTGAACATCATTGCTAACCCGAATCAATAAAGAAATGATGCCAGAGCAGATCCCTCTCGGCTACTACACCCATCTAAATTTCGCCTTCGCGTACATTGATCCCCAGACCTTCCACATTGCCCCCATGGACAATAACACAGCATCACTGTATAAGGCAGTGACAGGCCTGAAGCGCAAGCAATCGAACCTGCAGGTGTGGATTGCCATCGGAGGCTGAGCCATGAACGACCCCAGTCCGACACAATTCACCTTCTCTGACCTGGCGGCCTCACAAACCGCCCAAGACGCATTCTTCGAGTCGCTCCTCAGCTTCATGCAGACCAACGAATTCGATGGAGTGGACTTGGACTGGGAGTACCCGGTGTCAGAGGACCATGGTGGTCGACCAGCAGACTTTGTCAACTTCGTGACGCTGCTAAAGCGACTCCGGGAGCGTCTGAACCAGTCGGGGCGAAGATACGGTATCTCAATCACTCTGGTGCGCTGCTTCCATCTTTTAGTCTTTCATTCCTGGGATTATGTGGGGAGACACCCGAGACCAACCCCTCGCGAAATTCATAGCCCGCATCCTACTGGTACCTCCGAGGTTTCGACATCATCAATCTCGAGCCCCACGTCGATTTCCTCAACATGATGACCTATGACATTCGTGAGCTTTTTCCTTTTCTCTCTTGTTCCATTTCCTCCTAGCAACCATACTAACCATGTCCATGTCTTAAGACGGAACCTGGGACAAAACCAACCACGACGACCCCTACAAGGCCTACGCGCACACCAACCTCACCGAAATCAACCGCGCCCTTGAGCTCCTCTGGCGCAACAACATCAACCCCGCCCGGGTGAACCTGGGCCTGGGCTTCTACGGCCGGAGCTTCACGATGAAAGACCCACAATGCATGGCGCCAGGCTGCCAATTCACGGCCGGCGGCCGCCCCGGCGAGTGCACGACCACCGCCGGCGTGCTGTCCAACACGGAGATCCAGAAGGTGCTCAACGCCAACGCTACAGGGACTCGTGTTACATTGTACAAGGAGGATGCCGTCAAGGTGCTCACGTGGGATAAAGATCAGTGGGTGAGTTATGACGACACGGAGACGCTGAAGCTCAAGCTGGAGCTGGCGAATCGCCGGTGTCTGGGGGGCACGATGGTGTGGGCGGTGGATCTGGATGCGGATGGAATGCTGATCGAGGCGTTGGGGTCGGCGATGGGGAAGAAGAAGGCCCAGGTCTGGGATATAGGGGAGATTTATTCGTTGTTGATTCCGGAGTGGGGCACTGAGGATGTGGATGATGTGTTGGGGTGGAAGAAGAAGCATCACGATCAGCAGCAGGCTCTTATGGGTTGAAATAGCCTGGGTGCTGTTGTGAGTTATGACTGATTTATTGGGCTCTGGAAGAAGTCTACTCCAGAACTACTGACTTTATTATGAGAACAAGTGATGTTCTGTTTGCAAGTTTGATTTGAATAAGAAGCACAGTTTGATTAACACAAAAATCTTCCAACCTATCTCAACAGTGGGAAACATTCCAAGAGCAAAAAGGATAGATCAACATTGTAAAACAGTAAGCGCATCCAAACGCACATACACATGCTGTAGCGTACATGCAATCCATGCCTTACAATGTATCTAACCTAACACCCATGAGTGAACCCACCAGACGCGAACTGCACAGCATTATTGCCAAAGCACCTGGGATTGCACCAAACCGGAGTGCGGAAGAAGACCTCCCACTCCATGCCATCCTTCTCCTCCGCGCCATTGAGATACTTGAAATCCCACGCCGTGACCCCGCCCCCGACACAAGACTTGGCATTAGGAAGCAAGGACTGCTGACCAAAGTCGCCGGTGGACCAGCCGCGGCCCCGGATCCAGTACGAGTCCCAGAGCCCGCGGTACTTGCTGTGGCAGCTGCCGTCAACCTCGCGGATGACGGGCCACGGCCGCTTGAACGAGTTTATCACGTTGACCTCGTAGATGTAGTTGCCGCGCACCCAGCGGCCGCCGAACTTCCAGTTTAGGGGGTTGTGCTCCGGGTCGTTGCCGTCGCACGAGTTGATGACCCGGTCGAAGCTCTCGAGGCACTGGTGCACGTCGAATTTGGCGCCGTTGCGCAGGGTCAGGCGGAACCAGTGCGTGTCGGGCGTCTGCTCGTTGAATCAGCGCTCCGAGCTCCACTCGCGCTCGTGCGAGCTGGTGGGCGGCTGGAACTCGTTGCAGAAGGTCTTGTAGTTGGCATTCATCAGGTCGGCCGAGGCGTAGTCCCTGCGGCCGTCCGGCTGCCAGCATTTGAAGATGTTGTCCATGGCCTGGCACATGGGGTTCGCGGCCTGCATGATCACGGCGCGCTGCGCGACGATCTCGCTGAGTACGAAGGAAGCGATGGTCTTGTGGCCGAACTCGTTCGGGTGGAAGAACTTGCCCCAGCCAACGGGAAGGCCGACATTGATCGAGCCGCCGTCGGCCGGACAGTTGGGGGGAGACGGATTGCGGGAATTAAGGAGCAGGCTGCGCTCGATCAGCTCGGCTTCGACGCGGGCAAGATCGGTCAGATTGGTGGTGGTGTTAATAGTGCTAATTCCCAGCATGGGGCGCAGTTCGCCGGCCAGCAGACTAGGGGTGTCATCGAAATGCAGATCCACCATAGCTTCCACTTCTCTCTTGCGCAGCTCCTGATGTCCATCGACCGCGGTGTCTGGTTTGAAGAAATGCAAGTATGGCTGTCTGGGGTCGGGGTACTCGCCCGTCGTGCCAGGGACACAGAACTGTCCTCTCATGCCGTAGCCCACAAAGGCGTCCCAATCAGCGATCCGGATGTAGGGATTTTGGTACACGTGCCCACGGACGCCAAGAATGGTCTCCCGGATTGCCTTGTTGATGTTGATGACGAGCTGGTTGAACTTGCGCCGGCGCTCAATCGTCAGAGGCAGCCCACTGACCACCCCCAGACGGGGGAATGACCAATCCTGGTGTGTGGCGCACTCCTCATTTTCGAGGTTGAAGAATTGGCCGTACAGCACCCAGACAATCATTCCGTTGTAGCTGAGCTTGTACCTCAGTATATCGATAATCTCACGGATGTTGGGCTTCAGGATGGTGTCGATGTTGTGCTGCGCCAGGTCCAGAACCTCCTGGCATTTGTCTTCGCCCTGAACTGGTAGAAAAATGCAGGTCTTGATGATATCGGCCTACTTCAGATGTTAGCTTCAGTCTGCCCCGGTAGGAAGAGCGATGTCCAGCAGGCAAAATCATACCAAGCATAGATCATTCCCTCCAGCGCTGATGACCACCACGTCGTGGCCGGTGGAAAGACTCTTGGCCTGCTCGAAGATCTGCCCCGTTCGAGCCCCACTGCAGGCCTTGTACTCAAAAAGCTTTACCTGAGGGCCAAAGACGTGCTTGAGCTGACCGGGGTAGGACTGATCGTAGCGAGAACACTTGCGGTCATCGGCACGCTCAGTCCAGAGTTTGCCACTACCAATCCCAGCAGTATAGCTGTCTCCGACCGCTGCCCACTTCTTAACCCAAGTGAAGTCGTGAGGTGATATGGTAGGGCGATCGCGTTCATGGAAAGTGACATTGTAAACTGAATCTGACAAATTAAATGAGACCGCGTGACTGGCTAGAAGACACATGAGAAGGATAAGGATCATCATGGTAAAGATGAAACAAACTTGATGTTGGCAACGAAACGATCAGGATACAAGAAAGGACGACAATAAAGGGTAGTAGGATTTCAAACAAAAGAAATGATAACGAGCGTGGTAAAAAGGAGAGATGGTGACAGGAAGAGAGTTGGGAGAAACGGAAAGTTGTAAATAACACAAGCGAGATGAGAAGATATACACGGAAGTTATTGATATGAACAAGATCTCTCTTGCTCTCGCGCTATACCGAAAGCAGGTATATCGGATTCATGAAAGGCTGCTTACCTCCATCAGGCTACAGTGATTGTGGAAATCCTCACACTTCAATAATAACTACTCCTCTGGCCAGGCTCGCTCGGCAACGTCAAACCACGTGATCATAACCGGACTCACGCGTCCTAGAAGATGCTGTTGGATATAGGACTCAAGTTGCTAACGCGTATAAGATCGTGTGGTTCTGCAATCTGAGGTGACAGCATACTCGTGAAGTTGAAATAGAACCCGCAGTAGCCAGAGACAAAAAGAGTCACTCTGTGAAAGAGTTCATTGCCAGGACCGTCAGAGCTCAAGCGCGTAGGGCTGAGAACATCAGCCTTTGCATCAAGCAAGTTGCTCGGAACCTATGTAAGAGTTTGGCCATACAAATCTACCTGCGACCATGAGACCAAGTCAGAAAAAAGTCCTTCCACAGAACATAGCCTTGGATTCTATAAATTCTTATCTGAGAGCGATCTGCCCTAATTGAACAGTCATGTACAGCACATGCTATATACAATCCACCTACTGCGCCGACGCATCCGTTTCATTCGAACCAGCAACCACATACATCTTCTCCGTCTTCAACTGATCCAAAGCACTCTGCGGCAATCGCAACGTGTCCGCCACGATCTGCTTGGGAGTGGACCCGATCCATTGACCGAGCGACACATCTGGTTTCTGGTTAGCAGAGTATCGCGAGAGCAAATATGACGAGCGGAAGAAAACAAAGGGCTTACCAGAGAACTGATCCGCTTGCAACACCTCGACAAAAACCAAATTCTCATCGCCGGTGTTCTCGATATAATGGCTGTTAGACTGAGGGAAATACCCCACGTCTCCAGCGCGGAAGTCAAAGGTAGTGGCGGTGCTGGGCGCGGTGAACAGAGTCGCGCGACCCTGGCCCTGGATGAAAAATGTCCACTCGTCGCTGGTCGGATGCCAGTGGATCTCGCGCATACCGCCAGGATGCACGGTGACCACGGCAGCGGCGAAGTTGTCGGCGACGGGAAAGGTCAGCGGATCGACGATCTTGACGGATCCGCCTTCCACCTCGTGGGCGGGCTGCTCGGAGAAATGGTAGGAGTAGCTTTGGCTCTGGGGGACAACGCCCGCGGTGCCGGTCACATTCTGCTCGCTGATGTTGGCTGGCGCGGGCGTGCCGGGGAAGATGTACAGTTCGTCCTCGGGGATATCGTCGAAGGCGGCGACGGGGAGGTCAAAGTTTTTGGCCAGGACGGATTTCTGTCGACCAGTAGATTAGCATTAGAGGCTGTAGGAAATAGGCGAGAAATTGGGTCAAGCCTACAGGTTGATGGGCGAACACTTCAGTGGCAAGGAATGTGTTGTCCTCGGAGAAGGCACCGTCATCAAAGACCAGTAGAAACTCTACCCCGGAGTCCAGGGCTTGGATCGAGTGCGGGATTCCACTAATTGCACATTTCGGGTCAGTGGTCGATTGGAAGACCAAATAATCAAGCTCATGTCGCAAAATTAGGCACGTACGGAGGGAAAAACCAGACATCGCCGGCTGTTACGTCATCGACAAACGTCTGGCCATTTTCGTTCACAGCCTGTGCAATGTTAGTGAGGGTATCCTTGAAAATCGCACTTAGCAAATTCATAACAAAGCTCACCTCAATCCGACATGATCCGTTCAAAACTAATGACCACTCGCCTGCAACATGCCAGTGCAGTTCACGATACGCCCCAGCCTCCAGGCGCATATCCACCCCGGCCATTTTTGTGGCTCCGGGCATCACCACGGTATTCTCCTGTCGCGCCCATCCGGATTCATTCATTCCAAGCCTATCCAATCAGCATTGCTTCGGTACTTGCAACGAGCCGACTTACCGATTGTGACTGAGTCCTGTTTAGCCCGTCAGTGGCGAACCTTAACCAGACGAACAAGAGCACTCACCCATGGGCCATTGCGCATTGATTGTTTGTCCTTCATCCGTGCCAGGGGGCGCCAATTTGTCACTGTTGATGCGATCGTAGTAGGTGTTTCCTGCATAAGTGTGACATTACATTAAACGTTCTGTTTCTCATCCTTTCCAAACGAGAAAATCTTACTTGGACCTGGATCCGTCGCGCCCTTATCCCCCCGGATCGGCTGCGGGCTGTCCGAATCCTCAAAATCAAGGTACACGCCGAGATCGGCGTCATCCGTTTGACCAGCCACCGGCGTGTACGTGACGTCTTCCGTTGTCTGATCGGAGAGCGTGTTCGACGAGGAATACCCAAGTAGGTCTTCCGATCCTCGCAGTGGGGGGTTGCTCGTCGGGGCGCCTTGAATTCGCGAGGCGAACAGCGTTGCGAGAGCGAGGGAAAGTAACAATGCAGACTTCATCGTGTCTCTGCGCGTGAGAAGTTTGAGAAGAGGAAATGAGAAGATCAGAATGGTTGCTTGGACGAAAAGGAGCTCTGCAATGCGTCCTGCAGCTTCTTATTTATACCCCTGGCCCAATATTGGGGTCAATTGTTGGAACCACAGGGTCACGGCAATCCTTCCCCTCACGCTGTAGCTGGTTGAGATGACGTTGGACCATGAATATTTGCTGCTTGACCTTTTGTTTATGTTTACCCCTCACGAAGCGGAGACATGGCGGGAATGGCTAGGGCTGCAGCCATTGCGCAGCTCGCTGGCTGGGCGCACAGCTGCTTACCGAGTGGAGATACTGGTAATTATGAGTTCTCAGAGACGGTCGTTTTTTTTTCTTGGTCGGTAGGTGAGCTAGGCAGGAGATGTAGGTAGGGAGGTGCTCATAAGGGCTAGCCGTCTGAGAGTTGACTTCTTCGGCACCATGGTGGAGCTGGGGGGACCTTGCTGGGCGAAATTACTACGCAAGCACGGTATGTCCACATCTATTGTAAACCTGCGGCACACGTACGATGTGCAGTAGCCGAGCATAGCGATTTGTGGTGGAGCTCGTTGGATGCCGCGTAGTCAGGATTGTAGGCGTCTGACGGATACCATAACTAACCCACTAACAGAAGCGAGGTGTGTATGTACATACAGTACTGCACATCTCCCCCTCCCGCGTGCGGGGAATTCTTGTCCAATGCTTGATTTTCCCGGCGCAGATGATCCAGTCCCAATTATGCAGCTGCATGGAGCCGCGACAAAAACGGCTTAAGGCCGTTAGCCAGACCCAGTCGTACCCAGTCGTGGCTGTTCGGTTCTCCAATCCGGGAGCTCGGCATCTTAGTCGCAGCCCCCCCGGATCAACCAGGAGGAATGCTGGTTGCTTTCCCCCCGCATAATATCAGATGCTTTTAATATCACTGCCACTGTTGGCTAGATGAGTCAAAACACTGGACGGAAATACTCGTTCCCGGGATGTCTAACCATCCACTGCGACGCCCTTCAGCCATCCCATTCTCAGGCCTGGTCCAGGAATAGCAGTCATCTCCGCGCATCACCGAGCCCTAACTCCGACGAGTGGCACGGACCTAGTATGTACATGTACCCTCCTCCAGATCAAGAATCCACTTCGAACGCCCGTCATCTTACTCTTTAGCGAACACTGTCATCATGGAACAAGCTGTCATCTAACCTGTCCTTATATTTCTCCTTCTCCTCACGACCCCTCATCTCATCCGCCTTTTCCGCTTTCTTTCCAGCTGACCTCCCCCTTGCGTCCCTCCCTTCCGCTTCCGCTTCACCAGTGTCAAATAGCGGTGTATCATCACAAACCACGAAGGGACGAAACGACATGAGAAGTGATGAGGTATTCGCAATCGGGCTAACCAGAGCGGCAACCTTGGGAGCCAATCCGCTCCACTCCTTCCCGCATCTACCTCCTTGACAACCAGTTAAACCTGCTTTTCACTTTCATCATGACCCAATTACCCCTGCACGCGGGATTTCTAAATCCTTCAGCCTGGTTATGCAAGGAGTCAGGCTCAAGCAAGAAATTTCCGTGTGCTGGTCAGGGAAATGTTTGGGGGCGATTTCGATGGTAAGTCAGCTCTTGGAAGACAACACGCCCTGCCACTGTGCACAAGTCTACTACCCTCCGTGACCAGATGATCGTTAACCATTTCACACATTTATCGTGGGCCTAATACACTGGCTACATGCTTAAGAAGAACCCTCCGAGGTACACGGCCTCAAAGATCTATTATTGGACATTCCTGAACAGAATCTCTTTATTATCGCAGTGAGAGTTACAAATGATCTGATCATGGAAGGCAGTACCTCACTATGCTGAAGAGGAAAATCTAGGGCAGGTATGTTCTGAGCAAGATTGCTCTCCGCGGCAGTATATGGTGGGTGCTAGTCTGATACCTGCGATTATGCCACTGCATTGACTTCCTAGCATGGCGAAATGCATTTTCAATCTGACCAGGTCAGGTTAATGCGTCGCTAGTCAGGAAACCAGCACCTGAAGAAGTACGAGAATAACTTCTACCCAATGGTATATTCTGTACCGTCGTCATTATGCTGACCTTCTCTGTTGTACGAGATTCTATACGCTTGTTGACCTGCTCTTCCTGTCCTACTTTCTCATATGGGATCAGGAAACCTGCCCTACATCCAGGGTCTCTTCATCCTGCACAATACACATTTCAAGGTTCTTGATGAAATGAATCTTCACTGAGGACCCTTGAAATATCTGGCTCAATTTGTCAAACGGATATCTCTTTGTCATGCCACTTCCGTCTGATAATAGTTAGCATCGAGACCCGTGCTTATGTCCATTCATTGTCTCTGCAACCTAGTCGTCTTACTCAGCACAACCCTTTTCAAGTTCTCCCTATATACAAGGGTCCATGAATCCCACCACCACGAACATGTGCATGCCAATCGCGGAGCGTCTTCCGCGTTTCCCGAACCCTCGAATAGACACGGTGCTCCGCTGCCGTCATTATATTACCACCAAGATTCGATATCCAGTCGACAGGTGATGATCCTGGCATGCGTACGTGTCTATACCTCCAAGCAAATAAGAGACAGCCCGCAAATCTCATTACCTACGCGCCACTGACCTAATCCTTCCCCTCCTTCCCGAGAGCACGGAACCCGAAAAGCAAACACCATTTGCACATCCCAGCCCTTGGAAATCACCCAATCAGTGGAAGGACAACCCCTCTTCTCGAATGTGGCAATGCCGAGGTCTAGAACAAGGATGGAAAAGAACAGGCCGGGCGGGTCGCTGTCCAAGTAAGCAAGCGGCGACCGGGGTGGAGATCGGGTCAGTGCGCGTGGACCTGTGACGGTCGCGCGATCCCTCCTTGCTGAATGGCATACTTAAGTATCTTCTCTCCTCTCTGCTTCTTGGGGCCCTACTTTCCCCTCTTCACTACAACTCTATGAGTTTGAAGTCGTTATAACGTTATTGTGGGCCTATCGCTGAATGTCTGAACTGGAAATATTGACAGGGGTGCCTGACTAGGGCACAGCTTATCACGGCAAGCACGGCAAGATCGAGGCTCCAAGGTATTTTTAGCTGCGTCTGGACTGTACATTCTTTCTAGCGTTGCCGCTAAGATCCGGGTTTTGTCTGCTGATGCTGATTTATGATAAGGGCCATTACAAATGATCTGCGGATTTGGTGCCGCTGTTGGTTGAGCCCCATCTACGCTGCACTCGATAAGAGATCAAGTATTCAATTGGCCTAGCTGTAGGACAAATCCAGCCCTACGAGGCATGCGGATTGAGTCAGATTTGTCGTACACCCTGATTTGTACGAGTTTCTGGGTCTCTCATCGGCTGTCTGTCCCAGCTGATCTTGCAGTGTACTGCCTTTCACCAACGGGACCCTCAGGCAGCAGTGATACGCGATCGAGATCCAGCTGTTGTGTTAGGCTTATGCGACGCACAGGATCATTGTGCAAGCCGTGAACCTTTTTGCAGTTGATCTTCCTCATCTTCCGTTCCATGGCAATCACACTGTGTGTCACATTTATCCCCGAATTAAGGAGAGAGCGACCCTCAGTCGCAGACCACCTCGTCCGATAGGATCACCGTCTCCGCAGTCCACTTCGGTCATGAGACAAGATAGCTATCGCTTACTTGAAGAGTACTGCTAAAAATGACGAAATGCAAACCCCCTTCGGCCCCATCCAGACCTTGAGCTTACCAGTGTACTGTACTGTACCTGCTACAACCAAGCAGCAAGAGCATCAAAGTAAGAACATCGGATTGACGTGTGCGTAAGACCCGCTAAATTTATCTTGAATACAGAAAGCTAAACGGTCTTCACCCCCGCACCCTGAATCAACACCCTAAACTCCTCCTGCGCCTCCGTCCCCAGCATGTGAAACGGCTTGCGCACGCCCCCGGTGGGGGTGCCCGTCAACTCGAGCCCCGTCTTCACGGCGGCGGCATAGTTATGCGACTCGAGGAACTTGCAGACCGGCCAGGCCTTGGCCCACAGCTCGCGGCCCTTGGCCAGGTCCCCGCGCACCGCGACCGCCTCCCACAGCTCGACCGCCAGCTCGGGGATGATGTTGGCCGCGCCCCAGACCCCGCCGCGCGCGCCCGCCGCCAGCCCGTAGAACGTCAGCGTGTCCCAGCCGTTGAACGCGGTGATCTTGTCCGACAAGCCGAACAGCATCTCCGTGAGCGCGGGCGCGTCGCCCGACGTGTCCTTCAGGTAGCGTACACCCACCTCCGACAGACTGGCCAGCTCGGTGGGCGTCAGTTTTAGGCCCGTGGCGGAGGGGATGTTGTAGTAGACGATGGGCAGCTGCGTCGCTTGCGTGATTTCGGTCATCAGGGTTTTGAGTTCGGTTAGGCTGACTGCGTCGTAGAAGGGGGGTACGACCATTAGTGCGGAGGCGCCGGCCTGGGCCGCGTGGATCGAGAGCTCGAGCGTCTCCCGGGTGGTGAGGCCCCCCGTGCCTGCGATGACGGGCACGCGGCCGTCGGTGTATTTGACGACGAGCTCGGTCAGTTGCTTGCGTTCGGGGATGGTCATGGCCGTGAATTCGCCGGTGCTGCCGCCGGGGACAAGGCCGTGCACACCGGCTTGGATGAGGCGGTCGATCAGGGCTTGCAGGCGCGGGGCGTCGATGGCCGTCTGGTCGTCGGTGAAGGGGGTGATCAGCGCCACCATGATTCCGTGGAGGTCGGCCATTGTGTTGGGTGTGGTGATGTCGGGTGGATGCTTTGGATCTGGATTGATGATGGGGGTTCGGGTGTGGAGGAGAGAAGACTGAGCACACTCAAGGATTTAGAGTAAAAATCTGTTTGATTGAGATAACACTGAACAAAAGCTCGAACTGGTTATCACTTAAATAACTAGAGCTTCTGGTGACAGATTCGTTGATAGAGGATGTTTCTGAGCTGCCCCTCCAGCTGATCGCCTGAATTGGCAGGTGGTTCCGCGGAACTCCGTATTCGGCAGGTTGGCCGTCAGCCCTGAAAACCGGGGTAGCTCTGAACACATCATCTGATAAGGATGTTTTTCCGAAATTGTGAACTACTCCCTATGGACTGGCAATATTTATACCTTGACATGGCTTATCGTGAAGCGAATCTCGACGTCATATGTGCACATTATTTGGTAGGAATTTGACCGGAGCCTCCGATCGCGAAAAGTATGCTGATGTCTGCAAGTGCGGGCATCAGGGCACCACAGATTTTGGAAGCAGACCATTCCCTGGGGCAAAACCTGCAGAAGAGTTTTTGGCGTGAGCTATAAGTCTAGAGCGACGAGAGAGATATCTACTGATTCTGGGGACAATAGCTCCAACACTAGGATTTCTACTTCAAGATTTGAATGTATTCACAACGACATTTAAAACGTCAAGTGATTGTCTCACTGGATCTAGATACAAGAACCAGTCACTGCCTTGCTATTGCACTCTTATATACACAAATGCACAGATTGATGAACGGTAACCGGGGTTCCTTATTTATCATTGTTGGCACAAGACCAGGCCGACGAACCCCCGGACTTCTCGTAAGACGAGATAATGCTCACTATAGAGCTATAGGTGCCCCCAATCGTCAAGAAGAAGCCGGTCAGGATGATCAAAATACACCAGGCAACCATCAAGCACCACCTCAGTGACTTCTTCTGCCGGCCCGGTCCCCAATTATCGTACAACCACATACATCCCATCGGTTGGAAGCATAAGGATGTGGCTAAAAGAGCCCCCACAAGTGATACCAGATCGCTGAATACGGGGATGCTGCTTGCAACGATATATGCGACCGAGGTTACGGTGAAGGTCGACCCGAGCCAGACGATCCAGTGCGTCCGAGTCTGGCCGGTCAGGTGTCTGGTGCCTCGAAGGATGCGGATAAAGATGTGTTTGGCGGGTAACTTGTGGACAGTTAGTTGAGGGCGAGGCATGGTAAAGGGATCGAAATCAGCACGGCGAGCACTCACATGAAGCATCAGAGTGGCGGAGACAGCCAGCCCCGGAAGAGCAAACCCGTAGCTAATCTTCTTGATCAGGATTCCCGCAGAGCCGAGAGCGGGCGATGCAACATGGGATCCGCAGTAATAGTACACGACCGTTCCGACTACAATATAAATGACCGTGACAGTGACTTGACAGATGGTGAGGGCTCGAGTAAAGTGTCGCGGGTTACGCATCTCCGAGACGATGTTGAAGAAGGCTGGGGTCCCCGCGTAAGTCAACGAGATGGTGGAGAGAGCAGTCATGGCCTCGACGAACGTCGGATTGCCAAAGAGCTTGTAGTCTGATTCTGGGATCACACCGTCCGTCACCGGAGCGTGGCCTTGGATTCCAACAGCGATCGTGAGGATAAAGACTGGCAATCGTTTAATTCCACCTGAATATATGGAGGGACTCGGCTCAACGTACCTGCAGTAATGATGCATGCAGCACCTACCCAGGCCAGCCAGCTGATACGACCAAGTGTTTGGATGCTGGAGAAGAGCAACCCAATAATGGCAGCGACAGCCACGAAGACTGCAGTGCAAGCTCCGTGGTCGGAGAGCGCGTTCAGGGAAATCGACATGCTCAACAGAGCCGAGCCACCAACAAAGATCCAGTCTAGCAAGAGGTTAGAACCTTGGTCAAAACCATTTCGAAGGATGAGCTCTCACACAGGGTGTATGCTGCGCCGAGTAACTCATAACCAAAGCGTCCAAACAGCATTTTCCCCACGTCGTCGATTCCATAGACACTGGGGTGGCGTAGTTTGAAGACACCCACCATCCAGTTCGACCAGGACGTCATCGCGGCAATTGTGAGAAGAAGGATTATTCCAGGCACGATTCCAAGAATGTCGAAGACTTTTGGCATCGAGAGAACGCCCAGGCCGATTTGAGTTTTGATCATAAGAGCTGTGGTTCCCAACCAGCTCACCTAGGCCTGGTCAGCTCGATGTGATGGTTCATGCAGTAACCCCTAGAGAGCTCACATTACGATAGTTGGTATCCCCTTCACGAATCTCACCGAATACAGCATCCTCTTGAATCGGCTCGCTGGATGCCTCATCGATCTGAGATTGCACAGGGGCAATGCTGTCCCGATCAAGGTCAGGGGTTTCTTGTTTCTTCATAGCAGACATAGCGTTGATAGAAGGTGTAGAAGACATAGAGATGAACTCGGGACAGGTGGCATCCCAATATCCCTACGAGTGCACTAATTATTTAGACTTGACGCAACCCCGGTTATTACTTGAATGCGCCTAGTGTGGCCCACCCGTGAGATATGGGGATGCGGGGAAGGAGATAAAGTAGAGAATATGGAAACTCCTTCCGGAGAAAAGTAACATGATAAGTGCTGCACCTTCTCATTGCACCGTTACGCCGAGGGTGGGGTGGGGAGATCATCTTGCTGCGGTCCGAAGAGCCAGTGACATGCCCGTTCTCGAATTCAGTTTCTTATCGGGTGCATATCACTCCCAGCATGTTTCCCACGCTGCAGGTTATCAAGAGGAGTCTTGATTGCAGGTCAAATCGTACAGTCCTGTCTATATCGGTAGATGTGGCGGGACACCCATCTAGGCAGAAAGCCTAATAGGCAGGTGCTCCCCTGCTTCGCATTGATTTGCTCAATCATATTCCGATAACACGAAAACTACATATGGTCTAGATATTACTTCTTGGACTTATAGATAGCAATGTATGACCCCTTCTCATGGAGGTTATGCATAACATGCCCATTTAATGTATTTGATGACGCCTCAGAGAGGTGGAAGATGCTTGGATTCTGACTATGTTAGGCTAACTGTGAGAACTAGCTAAGGCCACTGAGGTGGGTGATGAGCTGGCAGCCTCAGGCAAGGCCGCAGGCCGACGCCGTCAGGAATGCTTATCCTTTTCCTCAGTCCGGTATAATCTGCCCCAAAAACATCTCACAAGCGACTCCTCGGAGCCTCATCTTGCTTCACAATCGAGTCAACCAGCTCCCGCACCTTCATCGCCACGCCGTAACTGAAAATATACCCCAGGCCGGCGAATCCGTAGGCATGCACGACATCCCCCTCAGCTTCAAGTCGATATCCCCCTTTCCTCCCCGGCCGAAACGCGACGATATCCTTCTGAACATCCTTCTCCAGATCGACCGCCGCAAGACCGCCATTCGTCATCGTATTCACCCGCTGGAGGATATCCGCACGTAGATCTCTATCAACGTTACGCTCCAGATTCCCGGGCTGGCTCACGCCCCCAATGATAGCACCGTTCGTGAACATCCGCGGGATAACATAGGTGTAGTGCGAGCCCTGATGCATCATCAACTCTTCGACGAAGTCTGTCTTGACAAACATGGTCTGTCCGCGAATCGCCTCCACGTTCTTGTCGCCGGCGAGAGTGTATGCACCTAGCCCGGAGGCGTGGACGATGATCTTCGCTCCGGTGATTTTCTTAGCTTCTGCGATCGAGCTCAGCGTCTTCCGGATGAAGGTCACCCCACGAGCCTGCAGCTGTTTTTGGATCCACGGGAGGAGGTATGCGGGATTGATCGTCATGGAGGTGTATGTGAACCCGAGCTTCACTCCATCGGGCAGCTTTTCCTTCGAAAGCAGACGGTAGCGCGGCACGACCGTCTTGTACCAGATGGTGGAGTCGTCGTCTCGGTCGTCGTAGTGTTCCGTTGCCTTGATGATCTGGAAATATCGAAGGGCATGGTTTAGTGGGGAGGTCATGGCACAAGCAGGCTACTGAATGGCTGACTTACTTGAACACCGCTCGTTGGATCCCGATGTGCTAATGCCCAGAAGTATTTGAAATTCTCGGTCTGGAGGGATTCGCCGCCTGCGTCGGGGTGAGGGAAGATCGATACGCCGGCCCTGTTGTATCTCAGTTTAGCAGGTCGCTCAGTAGAAGACACCCAACAATTGTGAAGAAACAGCAAGTCTCACCAAGGACTGGCCCAATCTTGACTTTCATCGCCCGGTAGATCGCGGGCCACGATGGTCACTTTGTAGCCGGCATCGGTGAGGGTCAGAGCCGACAGGAGGCCGATGATGCCCGAGCCAATAATGCCCACTTTCTGCATTTCTGGTAGATGACGGGGGTTGTTGAACAGTAGAACAGTGAGTTGAGATTGCCAGGAGAATCGGTTTACGTTCGAGGTATTTACCTAGATAATAGATAGCGACAGGAGCTAACTATTTTCTGTATAGTTGCAATCCGATCGGCCTAAGATAACACCGGAATCACTTGCCGAAATCGGAATGTCCCGCAAACCTCAGGCCGAGATCCCCGCGTTTTCATGGGTCCCCGGATCAGTACCACCATTTTGTGCTCATGATTACTCCTTTGAGGTAACGCATCTGATGGTAATCCAAGTATCGTCGGGGTTTCTAGTTTTCTTGATGATGGAATTACCCTTCCGGAGAGTGGTTTAAGTAGAGACCATGCCTAGAACCCGATTTCACCGCAGGGTGGCAACATCCATTGAATAATTTCACAAGATATTGCGCTTTCACAGGTTCTGTGTGTAGTGTGCACTACCAGTTTAAACCAGAGATAAACTTGATGTCTTCCTTGCACTTGACACTTAACAATGTTCAGAATTGGGGATATGACGGATCAGTCAAAGATTGCTCTGTGCAGCAAACAGAATAGGAAAGAGCTCCCGGAAGCCCTCGGAAATGGCACAGAACCTAATCGAGTCGCCAAAAGGGTTGCTATCAAAAAAAGAAATATAGCAAGTTGCTCCGTCGGTGATCTTTGATAATAAGAAAGATCTGTTATACCCAATCTCCCATTGCGGCCCAGTGACTGATTCCTACCATACCTACCTGACATATAAGTTACTGCAACAATAAATCCAGAGCATAGCACAACCGCCAAAGGAAGACGGAAAAATGCGATCCCGACGCAACATCTCCTTGGTCTGCTCCCACTGCGAAGGCGAAGTGGGCGACGTGATCGTCAGCGGGGTCCTCGACCTCCCCGCGCCGACGATGCACGCCAAACTCGTGCGCTACATGGCTGAGCACGACGACCTGCGTCGGCTGATCCTCCATGAGCCCCGGGGGCGCCTCGAGATGAGCGTGAACCTCGTCCTCCCGCCGTGCGACCCGCGCGCCGACGCCGGCTTCCTGATTATGGCCCCGGGCGACTGGGTCCCCATGTCCGGGTCGAACACCATCTGCACCACCACCGTCCTTCTCGAGACCGGGATGATCCCGATGCAAGAGCCCAGAACCGAGGTGAAGCTCGACACAGCGGCCGGACTGGTCACGGCCACAGCGGAGTGCCACGAGGGACGGTGCAAGTCCGTCTCGTTCGACAACGTGCCTGCGTTTGTGTACGCGCTCGACATGGAGGTCTCGATTCCGGATATAGGAAGTGTTCGGGTGGATATTGCTTACGGCGGTCAGTGGTATGTGATCGCCCAGGCGGAGGACTTGGGGAATATTCGGGTTCGGACGTCGGAGAAAGACCGGCTGGTCGAGCTGGGTCAGCAGCTGAAGGCGGCGGTGTTGGCGCGATGTATGCCCACGCACCCGGAGAATCCGGCCATCCGGGGCATCAACAATGTGATTATCAGCGAGCCGCTTGCAGATCAGGATGGTGAGCTTTCTGTGAGGCATACGGTCATTGTCACGCCGGGGAGGCTGGACCGGAGTCCCTGCGGGACGGGAAGCTCCTCTCGTCTGGCAGTGCTCCATGCACGAGGACAGGTACAAGTTGGGGGAACAGTGACCTTCCGCAGTATCATCGATACCGCATTCGTTGGCACCATACGCGGGGTACAGAAGGTCGGGGAGGTTGATGCGGTGCTGCCGACCATTCGTGGCAGAGCGTGGATTACAGGCGAGCGTCAGGTGCGATTAGATCCTGATGACCCATTCCAGACCGGTTTCTTGATCTAGGTTGATATGGACCTATGTGTGCTTGGGGTCACGAATGAGAGTATCGTCAAAAAGGGGCTTGCCATTATCAGGAGACATAAAGATCTTCCCCCCCCCCAAAGGGGTTATAGATGCGGGTGATAGTGTAGCTCCGACTGAAGGTGATAAAGGAATGCAGGGACTCTTCACAGAACAGACCTTGACCAAACAGTATCCTTCCCGCATCCGACCCCTTGATATGATGGCTTGCAAAGCACGAGATCATCACATGAAGATGATGCTTGGGGTGTACGGATGTGAGGAGCCTCGAGAATGTGTAGTCGGCCGGAACGGGTCTTGGTCGGGGAGGAGCCTTGAAGAAATATAAAGAGACAACTTCTGTATCACATTTCCGGACTTTTGCGAACCTATTGTTGGAGTGGGTAAGAATACCATTATCAGCATCTTTGGACTAAAAAGAGTCTCTTTTAATATAAACACAAAATCGAGGGCGAGGTACTGAGTCGCTGATTTGGGAAACTTCATAACATTATAGTTGATTTTCTACTGAGAAAGATAGTGCGATACTCGCAGTCAATCACTGTGAGCTAAAGCAATTCATATAGTGCAAAAATAAATGTTATGCGCAAGGAAATATACATACAAGTTTAGTGTATAAAGCATCATAGCCAAGCCCTAAATGTGCAACCCCGGGATCCAGCCCCTCCACTGTCGCAGCCACACATCCATCAAACAAGCATCCACCGGTCCCAGCCCGCGTAAAGCCGCACTGTACCTCTGCGCATTGCTAGTATCCGCAACAGGCCTTACCCAGCCCCGAGAGTTTGCCAGCACGGTGAAGAAGTCCATGAGAGATGCCGCAGGCAAGCCTTTCAAGGTGGTCTGATCCAGGTTTGGGTCCGACAGCCGTCGTTCCAAGCGCTGGATCCAGTCTCTGAGTGGGATGATCTTGGCATCGCAGGCACGACTGACTACTCGGGCCAGTGGCTCCCAGGCGCTGATATGTGGGTTGACGATGTGGTAGACCTCTGCACGGCGCGCAGGGGGCGAACACAATGGGTCGACGCCACTTCGCGCGAGGGTGATCTGGGTGATACTTCGTGCAGCAATATCCTAGACATCATGTCAGTCTTTGCCGGCCATAAAGGTGTCCGTTCCCACAGACTACTTACAATCGGAACCCAATCCACGGGAATCGAACCCAAGCTGTCGGGCAGCTCTCCCATCGTGTGGGAGGTCCGGATCAGGGCAGGGAGCCAGTCCCGGGAGGTCCACATGCCCGCCTGTGCATGCGAAGGGCCTGCCAATTGACCTACTCGATGAATGGCGATCGTGTTCGGGCGCTCCTGTGCGAACAGGTCGCAGAGAACCTCGGCCGCAAACTTCGACTCCGCATAGCCTTGGGTGAGGACTAGGGACGAGTCATGCAGCGCTTCGGTGATATGACTGGCCGTGACCGGCGCATCCGAGCTGCAACCACTGATGGCGGCAATCGAGGAAACAAAATGAAGGGCCGCCTGGCGGGTCGAGCCCTCAATCAAGGCCAGCAGGCGCCGAGTCCCCTCCAACTGGGTCTCGAAGCTCGAAAGGGGCAGGTTAAAGTTCACCATCCATGCATTATGCACGACCACGTCGACCTGCTCGTGCAGGTGGTGGTATGCATCGGATGTCAAACCAAGATTCTCTTGGCTCAAGTCGGCTTGCCAGAAATGTACGCGGGAGGTTTCCTGCAGCCAGCCGTCTGCGAGGTCCTTCCCTCGGAATTGGGCCAGCTGTCGAGCTTGGGCATCCGCAGTTCGGTTGAGGCAAAAGATCTGCATGACAGTCGGATCCTGCAGCAGTTCATGCAGGAGGTAGCTGCCCAGCTCCCCCGTGGATCCAGTCAACAGCACAGTCTTCCCACGGAGCTGCAATCTCTGCGCCTGCTGCCAGACCGCACGGGTTAGCATATGCTCACGCGGCCAGGTTGCTGACGTGGGTGACTGGCCCTCCGCGGTATCCGCTGCAGAGCTCTGTGTTTTGTGTATGTACAGCGCGTCGGCAAGCCGCCGCACTGTTGCACGCTCATAAACAGCTGCGCTGGTCCAGGAGAATTCCGGCTGTTGAGACGGTCGGATTTGATTGGTAGCGTCCTGTAGTACTTGTACGAGTTGAACGACTTGAAGCGAGTCGATGCCCAAGTTGACGATGTCGGCGTCCAGATCCATTGTACTGACCCCTGATATCTTCGCCACAAGGCGTTGCGCCCACTGCTGCAGCTCTTCATGACTCGCGTCCGGCAGCGCGTCCAGATTATCTCCGGTGTTGTCGTGCTCTGGAGTAGGGTTATACAAAGCATCAATGATATCCTTGTAAAGTTGGCCGGTTTCTCGCCGGCGTATTATACCCTTTGGTGCCAGTACAAACGGTCGATCGGGCGATGCAAGTGCGATGTGGGTGCGATGGACCTGTCCATGAGCCGGCAACAAGCCATTGGCTTCGTCGAGCAGGGGCTCCAAGTCACGCAAAAGTGACTCCTGGGTCCAAGTCTCCGGCAGGCTGTCCCAGTTAGGCTCTAGTATCAAGGCCACCTGGAACCGCTCCTGACCGAAGATGGCCGCCCGATGGACAAGAGGGTGGGTTTCCAACTGGCGTTCGGCGTCTACGGGATTCAGCTTCTCGCCGTTGCTGAGCACAATGACATCGTCTGCTCGCCCCTTGGCCCGCCAAAGATTGGGCTTGGAAGGGTGAGGTTCGAAAAGATCTCCAGTGTGATACTCGGTCAGATGCGGGAAGCTGTGGAAGACGCCGTGATATCGGCGGGAAGGAGGGCGAGGGAGTACCAGCTGCCACAGACCCTCACCGGCTTCCTCCATGCGGTGGTCGAAGGATGGATTCCATTCGAAAAATTCCCAGTCTGCGGGATCTTCGCAGAGAAGTGTCGCCGTGTACCCAGTCTCGCTACTGCCTATCAGAGTCTGCAGTCGGAGCTGAGTAGCGATCGCATCGCCGGTCGCGCTGTCGAGAGGCGCCCCGCCATAGTTCATATCCTGTAGTTGCAGCAAGGCTAGTCGTCCTTGCTCAGAAGACCAGAGATCTTGCAGGAGAAACGGGCTGAGTAGACCCCATCGAGGTGGAACGGGGGCGGACATGATGCGGGAGAACAGTTCAGGAGTGAGAGGCCGATCGGGAGCCAACAGGAAAGGGGTTTCATAAAAGATGCACTCAGCTAGACAGAGCAATCCCATGATATGAAACATGGGCCCGTGAAGAAATCGCATCTTGCCCATGTTCCGCAGAGCGCTCTGGGCGGGCTTCCGACCCGGAGGCACGGGGAGGGTCTGCATCTGGTCCAGAGTTGCCAGATACCCGTGTGTCAAAGTGATGGGCTTGGGCATCCCGGTGGTCCCTGAGCTATGGATTATCAAAGTTGGACGGTCTTCAATGTCATTGTAGCTGTCCGGGTGAGGATATTCTGGGACAGGAGACGATGCGAAAATGTCCCAGAATGGTGCCATCCGCCATCGCTCAAGTCCAAGATCCGAGCAACTTTCCTCGACCTCGTCAATGATCTTCTGTAATTGAGCTCGTTCGCTGCCATCAATGAGCACTGAACAACTTGTCTCTGAGATCAGATGGCGGAAGGCAGGCTGCGAGTTGCGTGTGGAAAGGAGTAGTGCCTAGTAGATGTTACGGTCAGCCAGGAACCCCAGCTTCGTTGTGAAAACAAAAGAAAGAGAACCACACAAAGAACACAATGATAGCAGAAGGGTTTCTTACGACATGACCTGTTTTCATACACGCTAGCGCAAAAGCACAGTATCGCAGATCATTTGTCCCGATGTATGCAAGGACCTGTTTCTCTTTCTCCTGGAGCTTCGCCTCAATCCACCAGGCTACGCGGTCCACAGCATACGACAAGTGCTGGTACGTGATCGGACGCCATTCGCACTCGGCATCTTGGGAGGCTGGGTGAACACAATATAAACAGTCAGGCTGTCGTTTTGCTTGCTGGTCTACCAACTGAGTTAGGAGTCTTGGTGCAATATCATTAGATCCCATGCTGTCTGCGGTCGTCTTGAAGGGTTGATGAGATGAACACGATGTCGATTAGCAGCGAGACAACATTGAAACTTATGTATTCTGCTATTGGCCTCGCTTCGCAGACTCGCCATGGTGGCCAAGTTGCTTCATTGTGAATCCGGATTGCGCGGGGTGCATCTGTGATCGGCGATACTATGATGCAATTCTGCAGAAGTGATCTTCTTATCTAGAAAAGAGCAATGGCGGTCGTGCAACATTCCAGAAATCCTTGGACTACAGAGACAACCAGAACCATCAGCACTGGCACGGTCTAATATTTCTACTGCCTAAATAGTCCCTCATTGACCTCATAGGAAGTCCGTAATACCACAAATCTGTTCTCCCTTGTGTTGCGGTATGACGTTGCACACCCAAGGTAGACTTCAAGCATCATTATCTGTGATGTGATTACTCGGCACCCCATCAGCTACGGGATGGCCGAGGATAGGTTCTTCTCTAGCAGGGTCTGACGAGACGATGGCACAGCGTCTATGTGAACATGGAATTGCTATCGCCAAGTCCTGCACAAGTCTTCGGGATCATAAATGTATCAATCCGCTGGATCATCGCTCTCAAGCAACCGAGATTAGATGATCAATATAGCCCACCATACCAGGTCCCCCGCAGACTATCAAGATACAGTACCATGTGACCTAAGTGATGAATATAAGAACATCATGACGATTAACCCACTTGATGTTAAGCAACTGAGCATATTGCTCTACAGTCTTGGTCCAGTACTTGGCTTCCTTATTGATAGAACGTAGTCTTCTCCTCACAATTTAAACTGGCTTGCCAACTGGCTCTGTGCAGCCACCCACTCCACGCCGGATAGGAAACTCTTTACCTCCGGTCCTGACCGGGGAAGATCATGCCCGACAGAATGTTCCATCGTCTTTCTCGTGTTCAGATTGCAGAACGATTGCACCAGCACCGTGCAATCGACCAACCCCGGCAGATCCTTCTTGCCGCGCAGCCTCACTTCTGAAAGGTGATGTCGCAAGATGTCAGGGCCCGTTCCGTAGCCGTGCACGCCTAATATACACAATATGCTTCGGCTTCGCCTATTTTATACTCGTTAGGATATGACGTTTGATATTCGTTTATTGTGGGTGGCACACTGTAGTGATGATGTGAATGTGCTTAAATGATGTGCTTGGCCGGTGTGAAATACTGGATTTGGAAATCATCTTGCAGAGCGGGACAATGCCTGCCTGCCCTATTTTGGGGGCTATTACCATAGTGGATGCTTTGTGCGTGCCATAATCTTCAAGCTCGTGTGGATTTAAACCCTCCTTGCCGCATGGTTTGCATCAGATTCTGCAAGTGCCGCTGGGTCACATTTCTCGAGTCGAAGCAAGGGGCTGATGTGAGATCGCCTTATCTGGGATTGAAAATATTACAGTACAACCTCCTGCCACGTCGGACCTTTGTATTCCGAATGTGTGATCACTATAGACTGAAACCTCAAAGACGCCTTCTCCGACCCCAGCAGCAGCAGCAGCAATGGCGACGGCGGACTGGAATTTTTCGCGATTCTGTCCTCGGTGGCTAGTGTGATCGGCAACATGGGCCAAGCCAACTACTCCGAAGTTCAGAGCTGGGTGAATCGGGAGATGGGCGCAGAGATCTCCTCGTCTGGAATCCCCGGGGTCGCAGTCTGTGAGAACTTTGGCCGAAGGTATCGCCGCGGGGAGTTCGTTTATTCCTGCTGCTGCTGCGTGGTTTGCTTTGCTTGGATTCAATGTTAGAGGAAGGGTAGATATCTTTGGCAAGACTTGAAAATTAACACAGTACTCGATAAGTGTCCTTGCAGTGGAATCACTGTGTTTTCGGGGGTGTGATAAATGCTCAGGAAGGCCAGCAGATGTTTTAACGAGGGCACTGGGCAGCAGTTGCATAATAGACAATCGCTGTTCAGTGTAGTGTCTGTGTGATACATGTTGTAAGATTTCCGGTGTTCTTTTATCATCCACTGAGTTCCGATGCGAAGTATTTCAGGATTGCTATCAGGATTATCCGGGGGTTGCGATGTGGGTGGGCCGGCCCATCCCAGAAAAGAAGGAATTATTCTCTAACGTAATCGTCAGCCGAGCGAGCCACGCAAGCGAGCGAGCCAGCAGATCCACCAAATGCAGCACCAACATGGATTCTTGATTTGTATACAAATATATGGTGTTTTGAAGCATTAATTACACTATTTTAAAC